TCACGACGTGCTTTATCTGAATCTTTGATTATCTAAATTAGAATTAGAATTATCTTGGATTTAGAAAGAAGAATGCACGTTTTCAAACTAATTTACTTTAAGAGCACATTTACGTTTGGTAACACGTTGCCAACACGTCAGAACTTTACCATTTATACCAATACCTAAAGATTCTTCTGACACTTCATATTCATCTGTTATAGCATTACGACGTGTTGGAAATGGAAATTGACGATATTTTTCAGAAATATTTTCTGGCCTAGATAAACATGTTAACTCAATTTTAGTTGAACTAACAAAATTAAATTAAATAAATAAAATCATTTCTACTTACACTCGACTATTGAGATCAATAGATTTTATATAACGAGATTTTGGTGTCTGTTGTTGCTGCGGTATTTGAGATTTTTTATTGATAGTGGAGCAAGACGGAATTTCATTTCTATTTTTATACTTTCGAAAAAAGTCTCGTAGTCCCATATTTATTCAAAAAAAAATACTCTTTAATAATGACTAGACTATATCTGTAAAAACAAAGAAAATCAACTAGCAATACTAATAAAATAAATAAATAATACCCCTGTTTCCTTGCGTATTGGATATTCACACGCTCCACTATACTGACCAGTCTCACAATCCTTATTTTTCTTTTTCACCGTCACTTACAGTATATAGCTATACATGTGTATAGATAAATAAGGCGGCGAAATGAACTTAGTCTCACGTAAGCGTACTGTCAGTGTACTACAGACTAGCACTAATGCACACAAAATTTGTTATCGTTGCCTCGTTTTTATTCTCACCTATATATATATATATCCATGCCATATCTAATGACGTGTTCTGTATACCACGTTCGTCATCATCGCTCTTAACTCATTTATATTTACATTATACGGTGGTAGTTGTTACTATTTCATTTGCAAGAATTATTATCGTCGGTTTAAGAAATCAAGAAACTTACGCAAGGCATATGAAATAACTGAGTTTGCTATAGTATGTTTTTAAATCAAAAAAAGAATATTTTTTTATGAAATCTATTTATTTCTAAATTGAAGTCAGTATGACTCATATTTTCCTACAAAGCAAATTTTAACGAATTAAAAAAAATACAACTCAATCAAGTATAAATTCATGGCATCAGCAGTGATAATACTGCTGTTTTTTGTTCATAAGGGACATACAATAGTTAATTTCAGAAATAGCTATCAAAACAATGTTAGAAGATTCTATGCTTACTTTTTTTTCGGTGACTTTTTCTTGTCTGTCATTATGTATTAAGATCGATTCGAAAGATGAAACGAAAATCTGAAAGCATCCATCGAAAGAGGATCATAAAATAATATTCAATCTTTTTTTTGGTGGTTTTTTCCAGAAATAATGTGACCATACGGCGACAAGGTTTATTGGGCTTTTTTCCTTACAAAAAAGTCTAAGCAAAATAAAAATCAACGAAAATAACAAAAACAGAACAAATATTGTGATGACGAATCGACAAGCGAATAGGCTCGAGCTCGTTTTTTTATGTTTATCGGTATTAATTTAAGTTCATATAAATTAGTTGTAATCGTTTTTTTTTAAATAGGATTTTGTAGTAATGCATAATGATTGATCAGATATGTGTAAAATCTCGATCGTCATTAGTAGAGTAACAAGTCAACGAAAAGACTATATCCATCACACTGACAGCGCTATTTTTGTATTTGTCATTGTTAGCCAATCCTAATTCATTTTTAACTAAATATATTATTATATCATTCAAATAATTTGTATCTTATTTTAGAAAAATCAAATAATAAATCAAGTCCATGACCGATGCTATGTGTTGATTCTTATTTGTTATCTATCAAATGCTGTTTAAAACAATTTCATATATTATTGTTTAAAATAGTTTCACAAAAATTTCAGCGAGAGAAGATTTTTAAGTTGAGTATGCACTCTTGATTACATAAATGTAATAATAACGTGTATATGAAGACACAGCTGCAGTATTACTACGTTTGCATTTCATCACCACTGATCGGAATGATAAAATATTTTTCTTTATCATAGCCATAAAAATTTTGTGGTCCAACCTCGTGTTAACATCCATTTTTCTGATAAAAACACATGGAAAAAGATATTAGTTTCGGATACTTGTATTGTATATATTTGGAAATTTAGATATTCATTATAAATGAAATTGTTCATTATAAAATTAATGAAATATTATTTATATTGCAGAAGAAGGAGAATTATTTTTTTATTAAATATAATAAATGTTTTCAAAAATCTTTATCTTTTATAGCAATAGATGCATTTTTTCAAGACCATAATTAAATATGTTCACTATCAAAGTTAGATTTGAAGTTTTCAAATAGAAAGAAAACTAGTCTGATAAAATTATTATTTACTCATGACATGAATCTAAAGTAATATTGATTTAGTTCTATCCCAATGGATTTCAGAATATCAACATTTATTTATGGTTTGCTTTGAGAAATGGTGCAATAACGTGTTGAGAGATAAAATATTACTTTTTTAAACTGTTAATAACGATTTAAGTAAATAAAAATCAATCGTGGTTTTTTCAAATGACAAAAAGGCAGGGAAAATGAAAATTCCATACTAAACCAATACTTTAGTGTACCTTTAAGTACTTGTCACTTCATTGTCAGATATATGAACAAAATATGAACTGACATCGTTACACTTATCGCGCACCGTGATAGATATTATTAAAACGTTGACAAGGATTAATTTGGAATAGCCTTGGATTACGCTAAACTGTTGAGTCTTTATTTATTTATTTTATTCTTGGTATCTACACTAATTGATCCAAGCGATAGCATTGATTTTCTTCTTTGTAATATTTGATGAAGTGAACAAGCGTAGCTGATTTTAACCGATGAACTCAATTCATTGTTTTTATAGGATATTCAAATAAAAGAAGGTGTTGATCAACTTATTATCTGTTATTCTACAGCTGGAAATTGATCGTGCTGCTTCGCCTGAAAAAATAAAGATTGTAAATAGATATTTATGAATATGAATGTTAATGTTTAGTATTAGAACTGAAGACGATATGAGATAATAATGCCATTTTAATCGATTCTGATTTCTTTTGAATTAGAAATTTAGGATAAATCAAATTTTCACCAATGATCATAGTATCCAGTAAAAGATTTTCGGATTCTTGTGGAACAAAATCAAGGTTTCAATTGATTTGGTAGAATTTTCTCTTCAAAAACCAAATATCTTTGCAATTGATAAGTGACATGAACTGTTTCATATTGAGAAATATAAAGTATTTAGTGCATCATCGATCCTTTATTCTTCAACAATAATTATAAAAATCAGTTTTCAAACTAAATTTAATGATAATAGACTACTTAAACATTTGCGAAATATAATATCATTAATTGTTATTTTAACCAACGTTGTATGAATAAAACAAAACTACTTCCAATCAGAGGAGAAAAGAAGCTACATAAATAGATGCTTGATTTAATGACAAAATGGTTATATGAGGGGAAAAGTCTCATCAAATCATCATATTATCCTTTCTTCTAGATATCCAACATCACAATGTTAAATAGACATTTTTCTTATTTCTTTGCTGAAGGAAAAGATTGTATATGAATTAGTTTGATAAATAAACAAAAGAATGATGAATGATCAATGATATAAATTTAAAAACAAAACAATGATATAAAAGACATTTATTGATCATGTGCACAAATCTTTTTATCAACGATCTTAAGAGACAGAGAGAAAGAAAAATTTTCTTTTACATAGTATCTAAGTTTCGATAGATTCTTTCAAATTAACCTTCATCCATCGAAGAATTGTGTCGTTTCTTTTTTTAATTCATTGTTTTTATCAATAGTTCAATTTGAAATACTCTATTTATGACATTAAGTAACATATTCAATTTGTCAAAAATACAAGATTCTTTATTTTTTTAAAGGGCTCTTCTTTCTATCAGATAAAAGAAAGCTAATTAATTTTTCAATTTTCTACTCCCATCTGCTTTTTATTTCGATGTTCATTTCGATATTATCTCAAGGTGATATCGCATATAAATCTTGTCGCATAAGCTAATTGCATCTGACAGAAAGAGTAACAGCATTCATCGATGTGTATGTATGCATGTGAGGAAACGCCCTATTCAATCTGTGTCTGTTTCTGACAACGTATTGAATATCGCTCGACAGATCACCGAATGTCTGCCGCTTGTCAACTGTTTATTATGGCTTCCCGCATCGATTCATCGTTTATGTTTTTTTACAGTTAGTCAAAAGTGCCATACATCCTATGATGAATCAAGATCAAAGAGGACACCTTTTATCAAAAAGGATTATGACGAGTGAAATCTAAATCGTCATCTCAATGGATATGTCTCATCCATCAAAAAGGAAAGAAATAGTCATCGACATATTGTCATCTCTCCCTAATAACTATCATATCCATTTGAATATCAATTTAGTGCGGCTCCATTTACTTTCTATATGTGCGATGTTAATCAATGTAGACTCTTCATATATGTATATACATATATACTTTGCCGATTAGCAATCACCAAAGAAGTAAAGCTTTCTCTTTGTTGACGCAAGCTCATAGAAGCGGCAAAAACGAGTGGGATATGTAAACATTGATGATTTTCTTTTTATGTAATGAACATTCATCTTCTTGGCAGTCTTATTTAAACATACATATACATACATCTCTATGTATGTATATTTGTATATACACATCGAAAGACGTTTGTTTAAGGATCTATATTGAAATTTGATATTAGAAATTTCATGTTTTTGTTCATTAGTCATTTGAGTAAGAAGACTAAAGTTCATTAGACATGACAACATTTTATCTGATAAGAGGAAACAAAGATTCTAATCATAACTTCCATTGATCCAATATGAAACCTTACTTATTCATAATCAAATCAGTCAAATAGAAAATAGAAAATGTACATTCATACAACCGAGAGAAGGTATTAGCGGCTTTTACTTTAAAACAAAAAAAAAGAAAGAAAAAGCTCATTATTATTACTTTTTTCTTAGCAGGGGTCAAATATCCGGTGATTGTAAGTAACGCAAACATCGCCTCAACTAACCGAGACATGTTCGAAACAATCAAGCAACAAAATAGTATGACATCGAGCTTGCTGCTTATTTTTCATCTTTATTAAACACACATAACATACACACACACACACATTCTATTTAACAAGAAAAAAAATAAGAAACCGTTGATATATGAAACAAAGAGAAAGCAAATAAAGAGACAACAACGAATGTTTTATCTCGATAAAATGATCAATAGACATCCAGCCGAATGGCATCATCACTGGAATACTGAAAAGAAAAGAAAACAAAACAAACAATATAGTTTATGTCCAATAATTCGTACATACCTGAGTGTAAGAGAGAGAATTTCTGTTATTATCACAGTCATTTGGCATCTTTGTTGAACAATATTATTCAGAAATAAGCCGCCACAAATAGAAGAACATATAATGTCATCATCTGGTATTTAGTATTAATAGCTAGTGAAGAAAAAAAAGACACAAGATAATCAAAATCGATATTGACCTATTTAATTCAAATTATCATCATCATAGTAAAGTGGCCGCTACGATGGTTTGTTTGATGTTTTTTTCCTAAACGTCTTTTTCAATTGAATTAATTGAGTAGTTTTAGCTCTTCAATTTTCCTCGGGGCATTTTCTTTCTATATCTTTCGTCTCATCAATCAGAACTGAAATGGAGAAGAAAAGGTCGTGACAATCTTTTTCAATCCTAATCGATACTTATCTCTCTCTCTTTCTCTCTCTCTATATATATAAATAGTTATAGTATCACTATTGACCTTGAATGAACAGAAAGCAACACATTTATCATCATTTACCTTGTGATGATGTGATAGTCATCTCTCTTAAAAGTTCTGTTGAACGAAAAAATTCTTGTGATATAGTTGTTGTTGTTGTTGTTCGAGTATGTTTTGGACGTTTACGTCGTGCAACAGTCATGAGTGAAGCTGATAATTCATTTATTATAGATGATGATGATGTTGTTGTTGTTATAAATGTGGTACTAATGATTGTTGTTGTTGTTGTTGTTGATGGTGGTAAAGTTGTTGGTGCCAGTAGTAATTGAATACTTTTTGAACTTGTTCCCAATGAATTTGAAGCAACACATAAATAATCACCTTGATCTTCATTTGAAAATTCTTTTATAACAAGTTCAGATATAATAAAATTATCCATTGAAGTTGAAACATGTTGATGCATACGATGATTATTTATTAATTTATGATTATCTTTTGTCCAATAAATTCTATCTAATGGATTCATAATAGCTAGACATTTAAGTCGAATTTCATGCTGATTTGAGTCAATAAATACTAATGATGATGTTAATTCATCATTTATTTTTGATACATAAACAAGATTTAATTCAGGTGCATATTGTACTGTTAATTGAAATGAACGTGCTACATCCGGTGGATAACCATTACTAGCGATACATTCATAACGACGGCGTGTATGACGAGATACATCATAGAGAGTTACTTCATTGTGCTCACTGATAACTATTATAAATAGAAACAAAAGATATAGATATAATGCATTGAACCCAATGAAATGCGAAGCCTCTACAGGGTCGAGTGTCTCAATTATCCTCTTTTTATACGACACCACTAATACAAAACTCTTTATGTTGTTTTTGTTGTTCTATATACACACATAAAAATATCAGAGAGACCTCAACTGTTCAATTAAACAATGTTATTCTAAGAGATTCGTTTCTTTTTTGTTATATTTTAGTCAAAAGATAAAAATTATCATGAAATGAATTCGAGTAGAAATTTTTACTCAAATGATGTAACAAAGACTGCGAAATAAAATCACTACCCAATTCACTGAATAAGAGTAAGAGAAATAATAATAGTAATAATAGTAATCTTTCCCCGAGGGCAGCATACTTTTAGCATCGTCTGATTGATCATACGAAAGAATGCGAATTTTTGGCATTGGTTTACCATGTGCATAACATTTTATTGTAAAATTTGAACCTGATCTTATCGGTGATGGATAAGGTTCTGTTGTTAATTCGTCAATTATTTTTGGTGGAACTGAAATATTTCGAAAAAGTTTTATTTTAAAATTTTTGTTTATTCGATTTTTCTTTCTATTTTTTTACCTTTAACATCTAATGTTAATGTTTTATACATGCCCGTATTAATAACACATTGATAAATACCAGCATCATCTTCATCAATATCATCAATTTGTAAATTCCATTCGTCAGCATACGCATGTAATAATGATATACGTGGATCACCATTGATAGCTCGATCTTCCATAGTTAAAATTGAACTATTATTTAATTTCATCCAAATAATCTAGTAAATAAATAAATATATATATATATATATATATATATATGATAAGATTTTTCTTTTCATCGATATATATGTATATAATTACTTTAAACGGACTATTTCCATTATTAGCAGCGTCTTTTATTGATACGTAACATGGTAATAATGCTCGTTTACCGACAACAACAGAAACAGTTTCATGTGACCGATCAAATTTTGGTTGATCTGTAAGAAAGAACATACAATCTTATTTTGTCATGAAAAGAGCACGATATAATTATATACGAGTATGTAACCGATTAGTTCTGTCGTGGAATGTCGACAAGAATGATCAATGATAGACTAACAGAGTGAAAAACTTATCGGAATATTTATTCTTATAATAGATAACCGTATCTTATTTTGTTTTTCTTTTGTCTAGATGAGAATTTGATTCTTTCATCTATTTATCTACATAAATCTCATTTATTTTCAAATTAGTACAAGGTAAAAATCAACCAAACTATCATTATCATGTATAAGTCATTTGTTAATCATCTCTGTTCGATCGATTTAAATGACATAGATTTCATTTCGTTTCAATTGAGTATCTCTTAACAAATACAAAGAGATTTATTATGTTCTCATAGTAGGGAGCCAAAAAATCGATGGATGAACACACACACACTTTTCTTCTAAACATACTTCAGACAGAAACACTCTCTGTCTCTTCTTTTTCTCATGTATCGTCTAATGACAATAACTTAGCCGATTTTTATGGTTAACTAACAGTGAGCATGTCGCCGGTATCAATATAATATGCATTTCCGTTTTTTGCTAATCTGTTACTAATCACATCGAAGTGCTAAAATCAGTTAAAAGCCATCGATGTAATCTATTGTTATTACTATGTTAAAAATGATGTACATATATATATATATAGTTTCTTCTCGGTTATTTAATTAAAAAACGCTTTCCTATCAATTAAAATGCTTGAAAGAACAAACTGGTTCCATACAATGACTACTCAATCATCATCTGGTGCATTCGAATAGAATAAATTTCTGATGTCATCAAGAGTTTTTTTTACCTGAAGTATCAGCGATCGTAGTTGAAAAAATTGAAATTATAAAAAATATAAATAGTAGCATTGTAATAAAAAAAAGAATTGTACAGTTCGTCTTCGTTTATCTGGAGAGATGCTTTATATATGTACAGTTCGTGATTCTATTTAATAATAAATATCAAAAAAATGTATTCACGCTTCGTTTAGAGATGCAAAAGAGAAAATGTAGATCTCTTTTTTCTCGTTCTCTCTCTCTCTCTACATAAATAACAGTGGAACGATAGAAAGGCGAGACGAAGAGAGAAAGAAAAAATATGAATGAACAGTCGCTTGCTCGTTCTTGCGGTTTCTCTGTCTCTTTCGTTCGTTCTGAAGTTGACTCTTTTGGTAAGCTGAAGAAATCTACCGCGAGACTGAAAAACGAGCTGATGATGATCAGTATACATCAGAGAAGCAAAGAAGAGCGGTAGTTTCTTCTTCTTCATCATCATCATTGCTCTGTTGTTTTATATTTATTGAAAGAGAAGAGATGCTGTATTGCACATGTATTTATACACACACTGACTATAATTTATCTTTTGAAGCATTCGACAATGACCCGTAACTGCTACTATAAGTGATTGGACGACAATACTTATAATCATAATAAAACATACTGATTTATGAAGGAGAAAAGAAACATGTTTTGACTTTATTAAATAAAATTGATTTAATTGTCGTCTGTCCCAATTGGTTCTATCTTGTAGTGATGATTTCATTTGCGTCATAAGCATAAAATAGGTGTGGATAATCATTAATGAACCGTGACATGTTGGTTGAGTGTCTCTTAAAACTGTCGAATGCTTGGCATGCTGCTGAGTAAAATAGCGTCAAAATATTCATTTTAACTTATGCATAAATATGTGAACAAGAGCCAGTTTATATCGATGAGTTCACTTATAAAAGACGCGTTCCTCCTTTTTTTTTATAAATATTATCGCTTGAACGATTGTCCTACTGTAATCTAGCAGAGAAGAAAAAAAAAAGAATCTAATCGTACATTTGATACTCATGTATTTATTGCATAAGTTCACAATAATAATGAAATTGCATATATAAAAATTATGTATTATGTGAGCATATACATATATATATATGATAAATGAAATGAATACAAAACTTTGGAACTATAGATGTATATATTTATATGTATAACGTGTATGGGTGTTTTTTTTGTTGTTATTCGAAGTATGATCATTTTACTCGAATGATTAACTTTGGATAGGAAGGACATTGAACGATGATAAACGAAATTAGATAGATTTAGCCACAAGAGAGAGAGAGAACTGGCTGAATAGCTTAAATTACACTTACCACCCAGGCAGCAACGCAGTATAGTACATCTTCATTTGACTGATGAAGAGAATCTCATTGAAAAGAAATTGAAGTGAAATTACGTCTTGCTGTCTGTTCTTCACACACACACACACATATATATAATGTGAGTAACAAATCTGGAAAGAAGTTAATGTCTGTACGCCATAGAATAATCAAACTAACAGCTTAAGAATCGAATATTGAGTGTGAAGAAGAATCAATGATAGATTGATCATATTTAAACTTGATTTATATCACAGATATCAGAAGAAGATCATGTTTCTTTAGCAATAAATGACTATAAACTTTCATCAGAAATAAATCCTCTCTACTAATGAAAAGATAAGGTCTCTCAAATATTTCATCGTAGAAAAGAATATTGAAATTTAATTGTAAGGATAAAAATTGTATTTTTTTGTTTTTATTCCTGTTAATATTAACACTATGTAGAAATGTTTTTCCTTTAGCTTATTTTTCATTTTCTTTATCAGATGAAAATTCGCCTATTTCGATTGAACAGGTGTAATAGACGAACTGAAACATCTTTTATAATCAAGATGATTTCTTCACATTCCATTAAGAGAAAGCTTCACAATCGTTTCTTTTGAAAGCAGCGGTGAATTTCAATATAGTTAACACTTGATAATTCATGTTGCCGATTATTCTCTTGGTTAATTATCTAATTGATTATTTAATCAATTCGAATCATTACCATTATATAACAATATGACGCTGAATTGTTATTAGCTATTTCTTCATACACACAAAAAAAGACAACATACATACTAAACCCTATATTTTATTCTTTGAACAAAATTTTTGAATCTTTCCAAAGTGTTTGACAAAGGGTTCCGATGAAAGAAAGTAATCGTCGGCCGAAACTTGTTTTTAAGTCAATTAGAGATCATATTGATTCATTACTGTGTGTTTTCCGATGAAAATAATCAACATATATGTCGAGACGATGAAGTGAATGTGTTCTAATCTTTCTCTCTAAATACAACACATCTTCTATATTAGGTTAACTAAAGAATCATGATAATAAAAAGCTGAAATTGTTAAACACAATTAATGTCTGCTCCTTCTTCAACTGTTTCGCAAGATTACTTCTGAAAAATGAATACATTATCTGAATGAAATTCTTTTTTTTCATAATAAAATAGCGAAGCTAGTTGAATTCTTTCTTTTTGAGTACTGGACTTGCACAGAAAAGAAGTACAATCAATTTGTTACTGATGAAAAATAGCTTTACATTTCTGAATAAACTCGAACTGAAATGTTTAGTTTTTGTTGAAGCATTTTTTTTCTTGCATAAGATATGACTGTTTGCTGTTGTAAATTAACATGGAGAATATTTTCAAGAAAAATTCTTAATGGTAATATATGTTCTGTTGGTTCCATCCATGATGTAAGAACATTTTCAATAATATGATGTATACGGGTTGATGATGTCAAAGGTAAAAAGCCAGCTTTAACATTTTCAAAATCTATTTCTAATTAAAATAAGCAGTAAATATGTTTAACAAGTTCGTTTTCAATTGTTTAAATTTACCTTCCAATGAAGAATCATAATAATAAAGAACAGGATGAAGAAAATTAGATCTATCAGCTGTATCTACTGAAGCAGAAACACGATCAAATGCAAATACATCACGACCTATTCATTGAAAAGAAAATGAATAAATAATCAAATTTAATAAATGAAAATATTATGATTCTACCGGCTCCAGAATAATTCATTCCATATTGCATATTCAGTATCAGTAAGTTTTCAGATCTGTAACCTGCTATTTCTTCTAAACGTGGAAGTAATCGTGCTGGATATTCTTCAATGAATCGACACTGACGATTTATTCTATTCATACGTTATTTTACACAATTATGAAATACAGAGAAAAAAGGTCGCATACCTATCAATTAATATAACATCGACAAGTTGTCCAAACATTTGATAGATTCCATCAGCTTCGTTCATTCTTTTAATTAAATAATTTGTTAATGAATACCATGAAAATGTGATTGATGGCCATTTATTTTCGTGATAACGATATTCAAATATTCGATAAAGTGTTTGCGTTAGATAACGAAAACCATGTATAAAGCCACCAGATGATTTTCGAAAGTCAATTGAATGCATTAATGTACCAGTAAAATATAAATGATCGTAATCAAACGATTGATAATCAAACTGAATTTTTGGATATTTATTTGTTCGACCAAGATTTTTTTCTATTTTGACATCCCTGCACATTCAAAAAGTTCTAGTTTAGATTTAGATAAATCCTTTCTTTGAATGAAGTGATTAAACGCAATTGTCATCACTGAATAGATTTTCTTCTCAGGTAAAAATCGACAACTATTACGCTGATTGCTTCAAAAACTTCGTACTACTGCTTGTTCATGATATTATTTTAATTAAATTGCTTTTTGATTGTAACTAGTCAAGTTCTATTATGTAAAATAGTTTTAATCAGCTCACTTAAAAAGCGCACTATACTCACTTTTGTAAATTATCTCTTATGTGAAATTAAACAAATTTTTATTTTTTTTAAGCAACCTTTTGTTTTTTTACAGCAGTGATGTTTTGCATAAGAACTTCTTGTTCTGTAATACGAACGAATATGACTGATATATTTACATAAAATAGATGTGTCTTCTAGTTTCAAACTAATAAACATTCACTTTTAACAGGTATGCCAGGATCAATCTTCCTCTGCGTATTTTCTCAATATTGCCATTAAAGGTCGTCGTTATATTTTGATTTTCCTGTTACAGATTCAACATTCAATACTCGACAATTTCCAAAAAATGTCGCATGCGATGAAATAAAGAACTCTTTTGAAATTCTGATCATTCATTCAGTCTAATGCACAATTCATTGCTCTCAAAGTGAAAATAATTTTCAGTTGCTCAGATTAACTTTTGGTTGACTGGTAGAAAATTGTCTATCAATCTTAAAAATACTTGCTGAACAATGCTTAATGGAAATTCTTTTTGAAGTGCTACAAGATTGTCTTTTACCATTCATGTACTTCAAAACGTTAACCAATACAATGAAAATAATTATTTATTCTTCTTTTTGTTTGAAAGTTCGGCTTATCAGACGTTCGAAGTTTATTTTATCTGATTTTTCACGTTGACGCTTTTTTTATCAAAAGTTTTCTAGGTTGTTGTCGAAAATTGAATGCTGAATCTTTCTGCAGAAATATTTATTCTGGCACACTCATTTTCATAAAAATTTCTGTAGTTGTATATGAATAAATTATACTGTTTAAGATGAAACGTTCTACATCGCTGTAATTTAAATATATGAAGAAACCTGAGTGTGCCTACTAGCATTATTGTGAGCTATTAAGAAAAATAGTTGGTATCTAGTTGAAAGAGTGTAAACCTAAGTATACTAACGGATGCCAAATAGAATCATCAAATTTGAATCCTAAACATCGAATAACTTTATCATAAGCTACTGCTTCTTGTCGTTCGTGAATATTTATATCCGTATCAGATATTTTATATTTAATTTGAATGCGACCATCAACCGGATTTTGAAGTAATTCATGTTCCATTAAATCAATTTCAACAAGAGCATCAAGTGATTTCAATTGATATGTATCAAGTAATTGATTATTAATAGCTCTATAGAAATATAGTATATAAATGGCTGAAAATATATTGTAACAAAAATATTATTTTCAGACCTCAAATCTCCAACATAATGCGTTGCATAAGCATTGCGTACACGTGATCGAGATATCATATGAATATAATTAGTAGCATCATAAATATGTTGAGCAACTTCGAACGCTGCATTTCCTCTACCTAAAATATCAGTTTTTCACTTCTATAGAACAAACATATTTATATTTAACCTAATATTAAAACGGATTTATTTTCGAATTCTTCAGTAACAAGTGATACATTTTCATATCCAACGGCTAAATCAATACCATCGATCGGTGGAATGTTAGGAATAGAAAGGCCAGTAGCAACAATGACAATTCTAAAATTGTAAAATTGATCTTCGGACCATTTGAAAAAAACAAAAAACAAAAATAGAAACCAACCCACAAGTATATGAATTATCATATTGATCATTCATTCGAAAGCGAGCAGTTGATAAAAATGAACAATCTTTTGAACTACATGTTGTTGTTTGTTCTGATATTGGTTTTAAATTTTTTATGGTTATATTAAGTTGAATATGAAGATTATGGTGACGATAAAAATCATTCAAATAATTAACCATAAGATCTGCTGATGGGAAAAGTTTCTTTGAACGATGCGTAAATCGTAAATGATCATCATTGGATAGTAGAGAATTCCAATCGTGTCTTAAATTAAATTTTCGATTTTTTTCTCCCGTATTACGTTTATTAATACTAATCAATTGACGATGTCGAGGATAGTTGATAAAAAATGAACCTGAGATAAATGATATTAAATTTAGGAATTCTTATTATTAATTATCTACCTGCTTGAGAGGATCTTTCGTACGCAATATAGTCTCGTTTAGCTTTGTGAAGAAAATAAGCTAACTGTATACCTGCAGGACCAGCTCCTATGATACAGTAATCATGAAAATGTTCTTGATCAAGAGTAAGAATATAATTGATTAGGAATAGGAAAAGGAACAAGATCGACTTCATTTTTTGATTTAAGAAAAAAATTCACTTTTACTATTTCGAAATTTATTAAACCCAGTGAGAATGAATACCAGCTGGTCGATTTGCTAAACATTAGGAAGACTGACTCATTGATATATATATAGCATTCACAATCAAGTAAGCAACGATTTTTAAGACACAAGAAATACAAATGATGATAAGTTATTACATATTTAAATCAATTCTATAACTAAGCTAGTTCACTAGTCAAAAAGTCATTATGTTTTATTTCTGCCCGAGAAATAATGTATCGAAAACTAATGACAAGCCAAATGTTTTTCAGAGAGTAGTTACAAGTTTTATTTCATAAATCGATAACTGACTGAAGCATTTGAAATTTAGTATTATTGATCTTTGGTAGGAAGTATCTATTTTTGTCTCGCAGTTGAACGATTATAATTTTACGCTACATTAGTCAAATTTTTGTTCATGAATTCACTTGAAATCTTTTTTAATCATCAGAAAGAAATAAAATTATCGCGAGAAAATATTTTGTTGACTTTTTTGTAGAATACTCTTCGTTTATCCGATATCTACTCATAAATCGAGGAAACAAATCATAAACTGGAACCAGTGGATTTGTCGAATGATGGTTACGAAAATGGCTATATTTTATACATGATATCATATATTTTTGTTACTGCAGTTCATGATATTATGTGCTTTTTGCTATAGAAGCAAAATGTCTCATAAATTCTAATGATTGATTCAAATTTGTGACTACAAAAGTTTTGAGCAAGTATTTCGATTATCAATTGTAATCATTCTATTTTTATTTTTAAATTATCTGATTTTATCATGCAATTTTCAAGTTGAGCAAGCTTTTTCATGCAAACTACGTGGAAGATATATAGTTATTTACAAGCAAAAATGATATATATATATATAGTTATGTGTGTGTGTATAGATATAACCAACAAAACATTTATCTGAAATGCAGATAATTGATCTAAGAGTTAAAAAGTATTCATAATGTACATTATTAAGTTGTGTTGTTCATTCTTCACTTTAACGTTGCAGTACTACCTTAATGAAATCTTCATACATTATCATGCCCTTTTTATCTTCGAATTCCGAAATAAGTTGTTCGACTTCATCATCTGTCAATCGTTCCCCTATTAAATATGTGCATATTAAATCCATTAGTTCTAATACTTTTTGTTTTTAATCAAAACTATTTCATACCTAATGTAGTCAGTAAATGACGTAGTTCTGTTGCAGGTATTAAACCATTTCCATCTTTATCAAAAACACGTAAACCATCAATAAATTCTTCTACCGGTACAACATAATCCTTTTGTCGATTAAGTCGTTCAAAAATAACTTGAAATTGTTGCATGGACAAACGTTCGATACGATTAAGATCAGCTAGAGTAAGACGAATTTCAGCTTCTGTAGGATTGAGTCCTAATGCTCGAAGTGCTTCACCTAAATAATGTTTCGGTATTTGATGATCTCCACGATCATCATATAAACTAAAGACTAGATAGATAAAAATAAAATCATTTTTCATTCAAAAGTCAACCGTTTTTTTTCATTACCATCACGAATTTCAGTTAATATTTCATCAGTAAGTCCCGGCATGTTGTAAATAAAAAAGAAAAGACGAGTCGACTGTTTTATTTACTGGATGATAAGTGAGTAAATATGAGAAGAAAGATAATGAACGACCTATTCTTTCTTTCACAAACATGACAGACCGATCTTTAAGTTTGCACAACTGTTACACAACGAATAATAATCGACAATCAATGGATGTCACTGCTCAACAGTATTCTGAAGGATGAGATGAGTTCAAGATTGTACAAAGAACATTATTCTCTAGCATACTGTACTGTGATTATTATCGTTTCTTGTTATCATATGGAATTCTACCTAGTATGCGTAATTGTCGAGGATATATCAAATTGCAATTTTGACTTACACAAAAATTACTGACATTGGTCAGATAGAATATTTACGAGAATTCATAACTTGATCATTCTCGAGAAACTTATTGAGAAAAAACGAATAATAAATTCAACTAGACCTCCTATGAAAAAATTCCAGTCTATTATAACATGTGAAAATTGTAGTAGGAAATATTAGAACTGTACACTATTATTAGTTAGAATATGGAGACAAGCAATCATCGCTTTATTTTTCAACAGTGACGAATAACGTAACTCGAATTACTTTTACATGATATTCTTAATAAGATTGAAAATTTATATTTCTAATCATATGTTTTGATGCAATATGATTATTTTAAAAATTTTAAATGTCATGTTTTGCTGATATGACACATATTCGCTTCAGATTATTTTTACGACGAAGGTTTCTTTTTTGCTACAATTATTATCAATCAAACCATTTAACAATAAGATCAATTAGATTTTTCTTAGCACATCAACATTTTCTATGACTTTCAATATAAATGTATTTGTCATCGATGAGGAATAAAAAAATGCATAACAAAGAATATGGCCGCACTATTTTATTTTTCTGTTTTACTACAGTATATCAAATCAAATGATCATTATAACTACTTAGTTCCAATTTATTTTTCTTAAAAGATTTGATGTTTTCGCGATAAGCGAAACACAACAATAATGATTAAACATTTAAATACTGATTCTGAACGAGATGTTTTAAATGAACAACTTATGCAAGTATTGATTAAACAGATTAGTTTTATTATTTTCATCATTTGCATTCTTATATTCATTACTTTTGAATAAACAATATTTTCCCTTGTTATTTTACTTTCTATTAAAGTTCGATGAGTATTGATAAAAATTATTGAATGTATTTACTACGAGCAAAATGGCGAACAATCAAATGAAATTTATCGCGATAAAAAGACTATCTATGAAAAAAAACTTTTTCATATTGTTAGAATGAAACCAAGCATAAATTATCTTGTAATATAAATATATTAGAAGCATAAGTTGCTAAGCCAAAACGTTCTGTCAAAAAGCAAGAAATTTGATTATAATTGTAGTCCCTTATCTTGCTTAATATATGCATAGTTCATAAAAAAATATTTATTTAAGCAAAACCAACAAGATACAAAAAACATATTTCCTGAGTAAAAAGGAAAATATCATTTTGTTAAAATGTTTCATTAAATTTTCAGTAAAAATAATTTAATTAGCGTTAGATTCGCTCTTGATTCAAAATTAACGAGTCATAGGATATGAAAATAGACAGGATTAACTGAGAAGATGAAAAATTTAACATAATCGGAAAGATGAGAATCGGGAATAATGTCCCATTAATTAAATTAACTCTAAAAAACAAATAAATCTAGCGATTAAAACTTAGCTGAAAATAGTTTCTCAAATATTTAAATCAGATTTGTATTCTCTTCGTCTAATAAAAAAAAATGATTGAAATTTACACATCAGCATTATTCAAAGAAGTATTATAAAAAGCAATTTAAATTTATTTTGAAATTTTACTGATAGAATTGCAACTGCGTCTCATTTTTACTATAAAAAATGAAGGCATACGCCAGTAATTGTTTCTGCTGCGAATTAAATTGATTGATAACAACAAAAGAGAGAAGGTATTTTATGGAAATCGATACCATAGACATTTTTCTAATATAGATATAATAGCTGAATTAATTTTACGTTCAAAATATTTGCAGACAATTTTTATGTATTAACCAATATATTTATTCTTCTAAATTCTTTTGTTTTCTCTATAAATCAGTCAGTCAGATGGAGTATCAACAAAATGACTTTAACTGACACGTTATATTAATTTTCTTATCAGTTGTATTTGAACGGAACATGTTGCAAACACTTTATATTGTTGAAAGGCTTATTTTTTTCTTGAAAACTTGATTTTGCCTTTCTTTTTACTAGCTGACAGTAAAATATAGAATTGTCAAAGTTGCATTTTTATCAATGATTCTGTATTTATTTCAATACTTTTATAATCATCTATATGAGAGTCATAATGATTTATAAGTTTCTACTGGTAAGCATCAATTCGTGATGAGGAGGAGTAGGACGAGTAGTTGTCGTATTCGTTTACAGATCGAAAATATCATATTTTTCATTTGTCTGTACTCTTTTATAAAAAATCTTCAGAGCATTTAACCTAATGAAAATATTTCAGATTATAAAGTAATCATACTGTCGCAGCGTCAAATGAAACATATTTTGTATTACGGCTCATACTATATATATATGAATGCAAGACAAAAACAGAATAAAAGAAAACATAATATTATTTACATACAATTTTTCGTATTCAATGCGTCTCAATCATTATTCATTTTCGTTTTATTACTATATTACTCTGTAAGTTTATGTGAAGGCTATTTTTACATTCTTCTTTTTTTTGTGAGTACCAGTTTATAACAAATAATTCGCTTGAAAATAGATATCGTAAGTAACCTATCTAATAAGAATAATCCAAGTAAAAAGTGAATAATTATGCGATAGGATCTTGATCTCATGATTGTGCTCGGAAGCACATTTGAGAAAATAAGAGCATATATTTATTTAACAGTTTTATTACTTTATTATGCTTAGCTGTGATAACATTTGAATAATATTATTTTTTGCGATGAAATAATCATTGTAGAACAAAAACTATTTATGGATTTTATTTTTGTATGTGTTGTATAAATCAAAACATAGCAGTACATTTTTTTTCTACACGCAACTAATTCTAAAAGAACATCTGGTGTGTGAGAAAAAGCAATTTTTCGTATTTCTTTGATCGCCAAAATCAAAATAACAGATTGCCAACGATATTTTTTTCAATTCCATATCAGTAAGAAAATAGAAACTGGTCAAGTTAAACGTATGTATGCAAACTCTATTAAAGACATCATACCTTCATCATTTTTCTCGAAGATTAGTACACTTTTTTATACTTTCGTAGCACTTTCTGAATTATCCTTTCTCGATTCAGGCTCGCTCTTGCTAGTGTAAAAGAAAAATTAATTATTTGTAATTAGCTAATTTAAAATAATACATTTATGATCCAATTTGTACTGTCCGGGCACGACTATTGGCAGTAGACTATTTCTATTGACATATTCTTTGTTTTTTCTTTTTGTTTATCCACGGCAAATATGTATGACACGAATATTGTTTGGTTTTTAATCTGCACATACTTGTGCGATGTCGGTAGTCGATAAAAATAACTAAATCATAAGGTTGAAAAAGAATCAACACAAAAAGAGAACGAAAACGAAACGAGCAAATATTTTTTGTATATGCATCAGTAGAAAATAACAAAAATATACCTTCCATCGGACTACAAAATAAATAGGTGCATAGTTAGTCATGTATGAGATATGACATATCAGTATTTTGTATTTGAGTTTCGAGAACGTATTTCATTTGACGAACGTAAGTTTACTCAGGATCTATCGCCTCATTTTACATATATGGTGAAATGACATTTAATATATATATCTATTGAAGAAAAAAAGAAGTTTTTGCTACCCTTCTGTGTTTGCATTTATATTAAAAGGAATAAAAAAAATCAATATTTATTACAGCTACTCTTCCTCAAAAGAAAAATATGAACTCTATGAAATTTTTTAGTTTCTTTTTGACTTATCAAAATATAGAATAATTATTATATTTCATAAATAGATGAAAAATCTATTTCGATCTCGTCTACCACCAACATTAACATCTACGCAAATCAATAAATTAGCTGACGAATCCCATTTATCAGCACAAGATATTGAAGAATGGTATCAACGTTTTAATAGCTGTTATCCATGCGGTTATCTTTCTTATAAAGAATTTATAAGCTATTTAAAAACTGTCAAGAATCAGAATGGTAATGATAGTCGTATTACAAAATCGGTGGTTAAACAATTATATCGTGTATTAGATTTAAATCAAGATAAAAAATTAAATTTTGAAGAATTTTTTCTGTTTAATATCGTACTCAATCAAGGGTCATTCGAAGATAAATTTAAATTAACATTAGATTTATATGATCGAGAAAAAGAAAAATATTTAACACGAGCACAATTAGAACGTATCTTAGTGGATATGTTTGATTTATTAAATCTTTCGAAAGCAAAAGATGGTTTATCACAAAGAATTGATGAAATATTAACTAGTGCTAATTTTAATAATAAAGATAATGAAATAAGTTGGCATACATTTAGTACATATGTTCGAAACAATCAATCATTATTTGCAACTTTGATATCAAAGGATATTGGTGGGAAAAAATCCGACGATGATTTTACTACTGTAACGGCACGATTTTGAAATCTTGTATTTAATATAAAACTGTTTTCTCATGCACAAAATTCTATTTATGCAAATCTCTATGAAATAATTAATAATTAATTGCGAACTCCTTAAGTAACAAGATATATTTTTAATATAGATGTTTAGCGATAGATAGATGCTCACTAAGATAAGGATGTGTTAAATACTCAATTGTCAGTGAACTATGTCAAACTAAGTGACAAGTTGTAGCAGAATAATCATTATTGAAAATAAATTTTAATTAATATTTGTAATTAATATGATATTAATATGCTTCGGGTATGTATGAAAATCACAAAAAGTACGACTGATTGATGGGAACGATATGATAACATTCATTTGCTTATAGACACAAAGTTTATTAGCTTTGCTTTTCAAACATATTGATTTAAAAGTAAATATTATACAAACTGCTACAGTTACGAGAGCATTTTTTCTTCGTTGTTTTGTCTTGCCATCCACTGTTGTTCTCATGAGTTCGACCATCTGTATTCAATTTTGCTCTTGAATATTAGATAGGTCTATAGATGATATAATTTATAAATTTATATTCAATAATCAACGATTTACTTTTTTTTTTGAATACATGTTACATTCTTTTTATTTTGAGTGGTAATTTGAAATATGAAAAATGATGTGTTCGAAATAATATAATAAATATGCTGAGGACGAAAAATAGGCATTAGAAAATAATTTAAAATTATCGAAAGTTGGCATTTATTTGTTAAAAACTAAAACTATAAGAAGAATATTACAAAGCGTTAAATGTAAATATCAGGTTTTTACCTTCTTTTTTTTGTTTTATCATCATGACTCATGTTAGTTCTATAAAAGAAACAAGAACGAAGAGTATAGTTTAATGTTAGAATTAATTTATTATTTTTTTTAATGCCGACGGTTTTTCTTAATTTTCCTAGTCCTCGCTTTGATGCAATAACAGGTTGCAAGTACTATACAAGTGAAGATGCCATGAATTTAACACCTGAGCAATACGAAGAATGAATTTACTCGAATAAAACTAAATATGTCGATGAAGTTCATTTTTATAAAAATCAAAATCTTGGAATTTCTTACTAAACAAATCACTTCCTTTTTACCACTATTGTTTTGGCCTTTTATAATATCTTATTTAATAGCACCAATAACATTAACAAGATCCTATTGGATTCTAATTGTTTTTCTTTCTTTCGTTTCCAATTGAGTATCTATGTCATCGTTTTCTATTTCATTTACCAATCATTGGTTAACGCTCACAAAATTTTCAATTTTTTCTACACGGTATTCATCATGTTTGCTCCAAATGATTTATGGCATGTATTTTCACCTGTCCATGAATTAGACACTCAAGCACTTATTCGTTGGATCATCTTTAAAAATTTTAATTGGCATATCCAAATGCTTTAATAAGTGGATTATTAATCAATTATCTTTGATATGATTCAATTCGTTATTTAATTCATGTCTATAATCCAGATAAAATTTTGAAAATACCAGTAATAGGAAATTACCTGAAAAAAAATGTTCTATTCATCATTGCCAACATCATTTTTCAAATCTACGAAAACATTTTACAATTAGTTTTATTTCTTTATTGTTAGACTAAAACTATAAATCAAAGTCTATATCTGAAAATAGTAAAAGTAAAGAAATTTTCTTATCTTATTTCCACTAGTGAATTGTTCAGTAATTGCTAGTCAAAGCAATAATAAAATCGATGTTCATTCAGCTACAATACCATAATGTCTTCAGTTGGTTTTTGATCACACCTATTTTCTCTTATTCATGAATTTTAGTGACTTCAAAAAGAAACGAGAACGGCAGAAATTGTAATTCGAAAAACCTAAATAATCTTCTAATTATTCGTTGAAATTATGTTATGCATAGAAAATGTGATATAAGAATACACCATTTTTCTCTCTCTGTCAGAATATGAGAAAAAACGAAATCAACCGTGAATCGATAAGCATCAAATTTATGCCTACTGATTTTGTATAAACCATGCATAATATATTCTTAACTAATCATCAAAATCCATGACTTCTTCTTCAGTAACAAAACTGATTGATACTGCTCATATTATTGAATCGAAAGGCATGCATCGTTATTCGATTATTTGGTTTCATGGTTTTGGTGATAGTTCAGATGGCTACAAAGATTTATTTACTCAAATCCAACCACCAAATACAAGAATTGTTTTACCAAATGCTTCAAAACAATTGGCAACGATTGAAGGTCGCCAGCATTATTTACGAAGCTGGTACGAACATGATGAAACAAGTATAGAAAAAGGTTTACAAGTCATCGAATCAGCAAAAGAATTGATTGAACAAGAAATTCAACTTATCGACGATGCCTTGCTTATAATTATTGGTGGCTTTAGGTATTTGTACAATTTTATTTTCATTATAGAATGTTCGATAATCTATTTCCAGCCAAGGTGCTTGTCTATCATTAATAACTGCGTTAACTCATACAAGACAACAATTGGGTGGTGTCATTTGTTGTAGTGGCCAATTAGTATTACAGGAGAAAATTCCACAAATGTTAAGTGAATATGCAAGAAAAATACCGATTTTAGTTTTACATGGAAAAGATGATAATCGAATTAAATGGGGCGATGTTAAAGTTGGTTTAGAATTATTAAAAAAGAATGGAATCGATGATAATATGCAAGTCGTATTAAAAGACGGAGTAGAACACACCATTAGTCAACGTGGATTCCAACTAATAATTATGTTTATTAGCAAACAATTCAAATTGTAACTTATCTTTTTAATATCTAAATCTTCGATATTTACTTCTGATTTTATTTAATGACTTTACAACACTAGATACATTCTGACAAAAATAAAATTTTAATAAATATGAATTTGTCAGTGGTATGATCAATCTATGTAAGCACCTCTTTATACGTACTAGACAGTCTGTCCTTGCCAGTAAGAAGGCTTAGTAACAAATCTAGACTCCAAAAAAATAAGATCTTTAGTTCTAGAAATTACTATGAATAATGAGAATCTCACGTCAGTCGCATGATCAACATATTCAAATCTATCAGTTGCTTACAAGATGAGAGAAAAAAGTGATAGCGTCAAGTGCGCTGCGTTATGATAAGCAATCAAGGGTAGGGGATACTCAAGGAACGGTCATGAACTAGCCTTAGATATTTTAAAGAACTAAAAAAAAACAGTACTTGACAACAGTAACAAAATTTGGTTAAATGCCGGTTCCTGTACTCTCATGATCGATAGTTATATTCGTTGCCAATACGTGATAATATATCTCGTATTAAAATATTTCAATTAGTAGATGCTTGCAAACAAGAAAAAAAATCACCATTTGCTGATGAAAAACAACTGCAGTTGAATACTTGTAGATTGTACAAAAGAACATGAGAGTTTCTCCATGAAGGTTACCTTCGTAAAGTCTGTACCATGGGTCGATCCAAATGGTGTCAGTATTTCAAAAATTAAAATATATCGATAGATGTTTGCAATGTTGGTGTTTAAACATAAGTTTCCATTGAAAAATAAACATATTCTAAGCTACCAAATTTATAATTCAAACTAAAATGTATTATTTTTGCATTAAACAGTGCAATGCCATACTCTTTATAATTTTGAGTTAATCTCTGCATTGAAAACAGTGATAGGTCATTTTTTCAGAATATCTATTTATTTTTACTGCATCTATGCTTTGTTCAGCATGAAATAAATTATTATTTTTTTACCAATTTTGAGTCTTTCGATCGTTCTCAATTATCATTGAAAACAAATTTTATTTTATCGTACTTTGAAATGATTGTTGTCAAAAAGGTCTGAGAACAAAAGCAATCAATATTCAGGTGATCGTGTCACTTCTATCAATTTATTTGAAAAACAAAATATATATACTTCGTGTGCGAGACAATCGTTTTTTCGTGTACATACAATAGATAACAGTAAAGCAAACGGAAACGGCTGCACGATAACACTCTGTTCGAGTGACAAAGTTTTGGCAATTCAGTAATCGATTTTCATGTAATAGATAATCGATGAAGACGCATGTTAAAAAAGAAATCATATGACAAGTATCTCAGCAAGTGACTACTTTTTTCCTTATCCTATTCATTCGAATATGCAACTAAAGAAAAAGAATAGAATCTTTTTTTGTTTTTTATAAACAACGATATCTGCATTAGTCGTATTAGTGTCATCAATATTCATGCTGCTTAGTACTGTTTAATCGGTTGTAGAAATTTGATTCTCCGAACTAGGTTACATAATTTAGTTTGATAATCATTCAATGATGATATGTTTTGAGAAAGCCATCATTTTTTATTTGCTATTCTCGATTAGAATATCATTGGGGAAGATGAATTATCATCACTATCAACTATGACCCATACAAAGAATATCTCTTCTATGCGCAACACAATACGCAGTTTAATGGAACACACCTTCTGCTCTTCTTTTTTTTCTGGGGTGACCTTGCTACATTATCTTGATGTGTTTAACATTCTTTATTCTCAGAGTCAACTGAAAATAAAGTAAAAGAGAAAAAAAGAAAAAAGAGGTACCTCATACGTATTCAAGAAACGAATAGAAAAGGTAGATAAGAACAGCAAGTATTTAATACGCTTTATTTATACACTCGTATAGAAACAATTGCAGTTATTTTCATTCATATGTCTATATAGGACTACCTATAATACTTTCACAGCAGGCAGATAAAAAATAAATAGAATTATTTTATATTTCCTATATACTATAGAATAATATGAAAAAATCTATGGCAAATGGAATAGAAAATGATTGGTCACCAATTGCAGCATCAAGAAGTGCTAGAAACACAATCAATCCTATCCGACGCATTGTTGATCGAATGAAAATAAGTCCTAATCCAGCTAAAGAAATGATATCCTTATCCATTGGAGACCCAACACATTATGGGAATATGCTTCCACCCGTTGAAGCGTTAGAAGCAATACTTCAAGCCGTGCAATTACCTACGTCACATGGATATCCACCATCATTTGGTATACTGTATATAATCACAATTTCTATTCATTTCTTTTCTTTTTCTGAACCTTGTAGGCACACTCGATGCACGAAAAGCAGTGGCTCAGTTTTGGTCTCGATCTAATTATCAAGTAAAACCTGAAGTAATAATCAGAAAAAAAAGCAAACTTATTTTTAAAAACAAAATCTTGCTATTTTTATTATATAGAATGTTATTTTAACTAGTGGTTGTTCTCATGCATTAGAACTATGCTTTGATTGTATGGCCGATCCAGGAGATAATATTCTTCTTCCTCGACCTGGGTTTTCACTATACGTTACATTATGCCAATCGCTTGGCATTGAAACTCGATTCTATGATTTAATCGTAAATTAAATTCGAAAAAACGAAAAAAATAGGGTCCATTCTATATTTTCTATTAATTTAGCCGGATGAAAACTGGCAAGTTAATATAGATCATCTTGAATCATTAATTGATGATCGAACACGAGCTGTTCTAATTAATAATCCAAGTAATCCATGCGGAGCTGTTTATACAGCAGCACATTTACGAAAAATTTTACTTGTATGTGAACGAAATCATTTACCAATTATTGCTGACGAAATTTATGCAGATATGGTAAATAATACAAAAAAAAACCGAACTGACATGATTTTCATTTCATATTATGATTGATTCTTTTGTGAAGGTTTTCCCGAATAATGAATTTCATTTTCTTGGAATACTTTCGGAAAATGTGCCCATCGTTTCTTGCGGTGGCATTGCAAAACGTTTTATATGTCCAGGATGGCGTCTCGGTTGGATTGTTGTTCATGATAGACATAATCTTTTTAAAGGTAAAACAGAATGATAAAAGACAAACTTCGAATGGCTTTATTATGCTAGATACAATTCAACCTGGCTTAATTGACTTGTCTAGTCGTATTCTTGGTCCGAGCTCCGTCACTCAAGCAGCTCTATCTCATATTCTTTCTGAAACACCAGAGTCTTATTTTGATGATATTCTTCATCAAATACAAGTAAAAGTTGAATAGTAAATTTTATCTCTTCATTTACCTAAGTCTATTTAGAGTAATGCAGATTATTTTTATCATTCACTATTGAATACACCTGGTCTTCAACCAATTATGCCTCAAGGTGCTATGTATATGCTTATACGTATAAACACAAAGGATTTTAAAGACATTGAAAATGACAAAGACTTCTTCACTAAATTAATTTGCGAAGAATCAATATCTTGTCTTCCAGCATCTGTAAGTAATATTTCTACGTATTGAACACGTAAATTTGTTTTTTTAGGTATTTGGTATTGATAATTTCTTTCGTATTGTACTTACGACACCAATGGATAAAACTGAAGAGGCGTGTCAACGAATACTCGAATTTTGTCAACGACACATCAAATCTGTTACTTGAATAAATAAAATTTACTTATTTATTTATTTGTTTGTTTGTTTTTCATTTTAAAAATAAAAGGAAAGCAAAAATATAATACTGAGCGCGATTACTAATCCTAATAATAATTCAAGTAAATATCTGCAATAGTTCAGTTTACCTATAAATTATACAGACATTAATAGGAAACTTTTACTCTTCATATTTCTTACAACACGGACTCAACAATATGTTTTCAGTCAATTTATAAAAAAATCAAACAAACTTAGTGAACAATCGTCTACATGAATTTTAAAAAGAATTTAAAAAAAGATCAAACAAGATCTACGATATCAAATAGCCTTCTTGTTCTTATCATTGCTTGTCTAGTCATAGTAGTGGTAACATTAGCGTAAGTCAAGTTTAAGTTCTGGATAGAAAAAGAAAAGTTTTTATTTTATTGATTATTAACTGTTTATTTCTATAAAGATCAAATAAAAAACACAGTTACAAATATTGGTTTAAGTATACGTACCACAGTTATTCATCAATTTCATCCGGAAATTCTTTTTTGTTCATCAATACGTGAACAACATAAACAAGAAACACCATTATATGAGCAAACTCATGCTCGATTACCGACAAATACCAAGGTTAAGTCTATGCATGAAAATGAAAAACGAAAGCGAACATCTGTGCATACATTTATGAATTCATATGATAAAGATCAACAGAATTTAATTAAACATTCAAAATCAGCAGCTGACCTTTTTTAGATCATTAAAATTTGACAAATTTAAATAATTTCACATATCATATGAAAATATTCGATGGAATTCATAATAGAACAGTAGTGTCAATAAATATCTTGAAAATCGGGAATGTTGAAGAAGTGAGGACAGATGTGTGAGGCATCAAACAATATATACAACGATTCTATTAGTAGGATTTCGTTTTTGCCTTTTAGACAAGAACTCACGCAATAAATATGCGCCCTTCATAGATCTGTATTAATGACGAGTGAAAACATACTGGCATACACACAATTCTCAGTATTTCTTCATTATAGGTCAATTACTACATTCACTGCAAAAACACAGTGCTGTCGTACAATTGCAAACATCGCATATGTCATCCTGAACTAGAAAATAAAATCTTGGACATTGTAGCTGCCAAAATTTCATCAAATCGTATGTAGCCTGTTCCAATTTGTTGTTCATTTAACACAAAAAATAGTGCTTCAATTTTAAATATCTTTTCAATATGTATCCTTTATTAAATTGTCGTGTCAAAATGCACACACAAATCAAAAATAAGAACTTTCGCAAAAAAAAGAAGTCCAACAAGAAACACAAAGAAAAATTTTCGTACACATGAAGAATTATTTAAATAAACAACACGTATTATTTTATTTATCTCAATCAATATTGAAAACTATACAGACTCATTAACTAATAATACAATCTTTTTTCCTTCGAGCTTCATTTGATTTCTTATCTTTTTTATTTAATGTCATGGATTTTTTCATTAATGTTGGATTAATTGTATTGGATCGTAGACCCGCACATTCATCAACATAACTTATTTTCGTTCCATAATTCATTGACTTTTTAATACGATTACCATGTATGTCAAATTGTTGATAAATGGAATTAAAATCATCTTGTTCATCATCATCGGACGACGATGACGAAGATGACCGACGTATTGTTGAAACATTTTTCTTTGATCTATAACTCATTGTTGGTGAACGTTTATAAACTTTTTCTTTATCATCATCAACAAATCGAACATGATGTTGTTTCGTAAAACGTGTTGAACCATTTAGTGAACGGGAGCGTGGAAATTGTGCTGACATTGTTGAATACGCTGTTGATTTAGGTCTTGAAATAGGATACATTATTTCATTGGAATCAAAATTTTTCAAACGAGTTGTTGGCCGATCAACTAAGGTTTCTTGAGATATGGTTGGATAGGTTTTCACTTTCGGTTTCGATATTGATTTATTACTTAGATCAGGTAATGATGCATGTGATGATTTTGATGCTGAGCAACGTGCGATTTCAAGTGTTGCACCATGACGATCAAGTTGTTCGAGATTCAAATCATTATAGAATTGAATTGGTTCACGTGAACGACTTCGTGTTATATTCAATTTTTGTTGTTCGTGACGATCATTTGTTAACGTTGAATCAGGAGACGTTTGATATTGAAGAAAAACTTGTGGTTGATGACGATTATAACGACGACTACTCGTACCATCGGATAAATAACCATTCGTATAATCACGTTTATATTTTTGAACACCAGCTCCATCTGATAAATAACCTGTTGGTTCTTTTGTTCGTCGATTTGATGTAATTTGTTGTTGATTATTAATTTTAGAACGTGCTGGAATAATTTTAACATGTTGATTTGTATATGAATATGATGTTGGAATAATATCAGGACTTTGATGAAATTTATTTTGTTGAATTAATTTTGTATTTATTAAACGATTATTTCTTTGCGATGCGCATTCATTTGAACAAAATAATGCTCCATAACGCGGAAAGAAGCCACGATTATGAAGTGGTATACGGCATGTATAACAATAAAAACAGGTGTCTGTTGCATGCCAATGTTGAGATTCATGTGCCATTTGTGGTTGATCAGTTTCAATACGTTCACCACATGTATCACAATATTCAGCATACATTGTTTCAAAACAAGTTAGGCAAAATGGTTGACTTTGGCGCATAACATAACGTTCACCACCTAAACGTTTTTTACAATTTGAACAACAAAAATGATCCATATGCCAACTATAACCTTCGGCTTCGGTACATTCGTCACTGAAGATGATCTAAATGAATGAATATATGTTTGTTTTCATATTCAACTAGATATAAAGAGATCATGATCGTCTATAACACTCACAAAATACTCAATTATTCATTGATGCAATATCGTGTGATAAACAATATGTCTATGCTGACATTCATAAAAAGATGTATACATCAAGTAACTATAAGGTTTCATATATCAAAAGTATAAAAAATAAAGTAAAGTTATCATCACTCAGTACCTTATGTTGAAACAATGATAATATTCTTCTATGTGTATGTGGATACTCCAAACAAGTAACCCAATAATTTTTGCTTTGTTTTTGTGAGTATGCATCTATCTATATATATATATATATATATATACATATATGCAGTTCAATGTCTACGAATGTGTTCATTTCTGTCATGTCTATATTATTATCTCTAATGATTATCGAATCAATTATAGTTGCTTTTGAACGACAACTGTTCTCGTTTCTTTCGTATTGATTAAACAACATGCTTATAGCGTTTGTTTCTTTTCTATTTAAGTAATCATTAAATACATACTTCGTCACATCCTGTACATCGTGGTTTATATAATTCAGCATGATGTCGTCCACAATAAAGTTGACCATCTTTGTAAAAATATATTAAATTAACAAGGAATTCGTTGCATTGTTTACAAGTAAAACATTGTGGATGCCAAAGACCAGTACGACCGGCTCGTTCGGCGAATACACATATCGAACCTGAGTCAATTAAATTTTGACACTACAAAACAAAGTGAAAGCCAATTAATTTCGATCTCTTTTCTTTATTCAACAAATGTCTATTATTATAACGTTTCGGGATATCTGTCTTTGATTTCACACTTAGTGCCATAACAAATGCCAAATACACTTGCTGTTCACTACAGTCAATGAACTTTGCATTGCCCGTATGTTCAGCACAATTAACTTTTCTATCGTGTTTGATAATGATTTTCTTCTATGATGCATGTCTAGTAACAATATGTATCTTTATATGAGATTGATATTCTATATTATAGAAGATATTTGTATTTCATTTTACGAAATAACTCCATTGATCGTTATCAGAATCGGATCAGCGTGACGACGATCTTAACTTTTTGCAAAACTGAAACTACTGATTATATGCTTTGATCAGACATTGAACTCATGTCAAAAAGATATTAATTTTCTTAATTCTCTCCATAAATATTTCTTTTATGAATCCGCTAGCCTTAAATGTCAAATATTGAAATATGATATATCTTTTTTTTAAAGTGCTGTGAATTTGTTCTAGTGTCGTAACTTGCACATATATTAATCTTCCATCGAATAAAAATGAACAAAGAGTTGAATGATATACTTTTCAACTTACTCCACGACATGGCATAGGAGATTGTGTCAAAGGTAATTGTCTAGCAGAACCGCGACCAAGTGCATTATGCCGTTGTTGTTCATTAAAAATTCTTAATTCATTTTTTTCATCTTCTGTTAATGTACGACAATATTTGGGATCTGAATCATGTGGAGGTAATTGCTCTTCAAGCATTTTCTGTTACGAAAATAGAAAAATAGAATTATGACCTAATAAAAAAAAATAAGATAATCAAATCAATTTACTGTTCGATATTTTTCACCAATCGAATTAAGAAATGGAACTTTATCTTCAGGAAAACACTTGAAAAATTGTCGCACCTAAAGCAAATATTACTGCATAGTTGAATTCTCATGTACTATTTATAAATTTACTAACCTGTTCTGCTTTAAGACCAGAAGGACACCATGCATATTCTTCCAAAGCACAACCAGAATCATCATCACTGTTTGATAGACGAGAATGTTGTTGAAGCATTTTTGTATTCATCAAGATCAATTAGATGTTTGTGTAAACTCTAGAAAGAACAGTAAATGAATAAGTACAATTTAATGCATCATGTCTGTATGTCTCGATTATACGATTAAAAAGAAAAGAAAAGGAAGAGAGATTTATCTCTCTCGCGCCTTTCAAAAGACATGAGAACAAAACGAACGATTATGTATGGACTACTAAATCATCAAGATAACATAGTGAACTTTTTTTGTTAAAAAAAAAAGATGAAATAACAGTTGTCACACTGAATGGGTGTTCGCTTAAGGTCAGGGATATATAAGAGAAAACTTCTTCTTCTTACATATAAACGTCAAATTTCAAGAACTATTCAATGGTCATATTCTCTATTTGCTTAACAATAAGAGGCAAAAAAAAAGTATGACAGATGTTCAAAAAATTAGAATAATTGGATAATAGACTGGTTCTACCTTGGGTGCAATTAGATAAGAAATATTTCAATAGTTTTCATTCAAAATATCTAGTTTAAAAATGTAGACAGAGAGGAACAGCTTTCTTCTTTTTTTTCGTCTTTACCGTATCTCTAATAACTTGTTTACAGTTATGATGCAATAAAACAATGATGACCAGATGATTTCTCTAACGTATTCTCATATATTGACAAGTTCTTGATGAATAAAATAAACATAACATTTAGAAGAAAAAAAAACTCTCCGAATAAAATATTTGAAGAAAGATGTATTCTTTTTTTGCTTACTTATCGAGAATAATCATGGCAGGATTGATCAAAGATTTTTCTTTTAGACGTAACCGATGAATGTATAGTATACTTATCGGGAAACGAACAAAAAGGCATGCATTGCGGTAGTAAAGAAAAAAGTACCTAATTAACAATAATCATACGTCGTGGAGAAGCATGTAAACGTACGATTGCGTGTAGGCTCAGCTAGAATTCATGTTTAAATGTAAATGAGTTATAATGGTTTTGATCGTATTTGAAACCATTAGTGATTAGAAAAATTTTCAATTTATCCCACATTTTTTTCTTTTTACCTTTATATGTTGTTGTCATGTTGTGAATATCGATTTTTGATTTCGTTTCTTTGTCTTCAGTTTTTAATAAAAATATGTGTGTGTCGTTCTTTTCCCGGATTCGTTCGTATGCGATTGTGAATGAATGGATAGGAAACGAACTGGACGAACAACCGAACAAAGACACAATGGTGCTCGTTCAGTGACGACCGATTTGATCGATGAGAAGAAGAAAAAATATATATATAAATATACGTTGGTTCGCCTGCTATAGCTACTATATAAACAAATCGATGCTGGTTCGTTCGTTTGTTCGATTATTTTTTTCGTTCGCGCCGTAGCCGCGAATATTCAAAATTTGCGCTTTCGCTCATTAAATGTAAGGCGAGAGAGGGAGAGAGATTATAAGTAAAATAAAAGAACCGAAAAAGAAGAGAACAAGAGAACGATTGTTCAACGCGTTATTGCTTGTGCAAACATCTGTTGACATCGAAAGACGCATAGCGCCACACTTTGATGTTTCTCCTATTCTACTTTCAAGCTTGAATATATTTTTCATCTCCACCCCTTCTGGTCATCAGATCTGTTAAATGAATAAAGATGTGTAGCGTATTGAAGCAAAAGGAAAGAAAAAAAAATTGAACACTTATTAGAGAAAAGAAAAACATTTGACTCTTTTTAGGTTAAAAGTGTGTATGTCTTGTTTTTCTTTACTTAAGTATACTATACTGGATCAAGAGGTAGGTTACGTGTCAATGTACATATAGACATGTGTCAATAATAACCTATACTTGTACATGTATGTCTAAAGTAACGGTGTGAATTTACGCATTGGATGATCCAGATATTTATTGAGTTTTGCTTATTGAAGTAATTAATATTACGAAAAGATCAAGGGATCAAGACGAATGCTCTTGAACATTATACTCTATGCTTGTCTCTAAAAATATACGATAGTTAACTACAGGGAAAAATAGAAGTCAAAACGTTTAGATCAAGAAATTTGATGATAATCAGACGATCAATACCGTAAAAAATAACTATTTTAATTACTTGTTCTTGATCGTTGCTAATCATGTGCATTAGATTTCATGCATTTCAATGTGTCGGCGTTCGATGTCTATCCATAATATTCATTAGTCGTATTCCATCACCTTGATATTCATAGATATGTAAAAGAAAGTGTCTTAAAAAGCCATATAAAATCATTATGATTAAAGTGGTAAACATGAAATACTCATTTTTTTGTACATGAATTCAAATATTTTACGCAGTACAGTACTGTATGTTTAAAAAATAAGCAAGATCAGTCTCATTTGTGAATCCATGCAAAATGTTAGAATTCGATACGACTCAAAGTGTTATTCACATGAAAAAAAATAATGTGAGTGAACATTTCTTTACAAAATCGATTCATTCATGTGTAGATATTGCAAATCTGATCAAAATTGTACTTGTTTGTTTTCCTACGGTTAGTTGACTTAAGATACAAAAACATCGATTGTATTTTTGGTAAATAAATGAATTGATACTTCAAGATGCGATGAGCCTAAAATCAGTTGATTACGTAACAACATATTTTACAGATTCTATCATCGAGTATTAGTAATCGTCTTGACCTTGGTTATATGAAATCATTTCTCTTAGTACGAATGAATATATATGACTTTTGAATCGTTTTGAAATAAAATAGTTGTGTTGTTACTTGAAAAATCTACATTTGGATAATGATCACACAATCCATATTAAAACCAATTAGTGATTGTCACGCTGTATGATATTATGACGAATTTCTCTTTTATAGCAAATAGAAGTCATATTCAATATCAAGACTTATCCATAATATGATAGATTTGAATAAAAAAAACGTGTCCTACAAGAAATAATTATCTGCTTCATGGTTGAGTGTTTAATAATAGCTTGTTGGCGTTCTTGAAAAAGAATTTAATTATAATAATATTTTAGTTTGAAAAAGAAGGTTTAATGAAGCTTTAAATAAAAATAATCAACTACTGATCATTTCTCTATAATACATAGTATCTAAATTTCTCAATTTCTTTTTCAACAAAATAAAATAAAACCACACAAGCACTTTAGTAATGCAAATCGGAAGGAAAAAAAACACACGGTTGATAGTAGAACTAGCATAACGATATAACTGATGTAATAAAGAAAAGAAAACAGAAATCACAATTATTTTCTCTCTATTTTGTTTGATATTAATGTTCCTGTTTTCTTTTTGTTATGAGCGATCATTTTGAATTACATGAAGCCTGTATCACTTTCAGTAGCATAATCGGAAACTCGATTTCCATCAATATCAATCGTTTCGATTTTTGTTCCACCACTTTTATAAACTATTTCACTTTTCGTTCGAACTTTATTTGTATCAATTGGTTCTTCCAGAAATTCATTTAATGCTTCAGATACTGTTCGATCAGGTCGACAATTCTAAAAAGATATATTTTATTTTATTTACTAAAATTTTCATCGAACTATTTTAACCTTGGGTTTTTCACGATGTGTATTTACAGCTTCAGTTCCCAATGGTATACATTCCATTAAACAACCGTAAGCCATAGGTGTTAATTTAATTACTGTATGCAATGGTACTTTTGTGTAGGGAAGATCGTCTAAGAAATTTTCAATAAGATAAGTCTAATGTAATATTACTAGTATACCGGCATCTTTATTTAGAAAATAAGCAAGAATACAACGTGCAACAGCCTGATGACAAACCACAAGAACATTTTCAGCACGTTCTAATTCCATTATGACTGGTTCCAAACGTGCAACAAGATCTTGATAAGACTAGAATAAAAAAATAAATGATTTAAAAATCATCTTATAGTGTTACACAAGACTCTGGCAAGATGAACTCAAAATTCGATAGAGCAAGTTCAAGTGATTCAAAGATCTTGTTTTTGTATTTTTAGAAAAATGTAATTCATTCAAATCTCTGGATAAGCCTGCTCGAAAAAATAATCTCTTTCACGTATGAAAAGACAATAGATATTTTGTTTTCTTCCGAAACAAATTCAAATTTAGGGTTCTTTTCTTTTAATAAAAATTTATCTCTTATTATTTTTTGGAACTGCACTTATTTTATTGATGGACTCGCATTGGAAGTATCATTGGCTGATTTTTAATATTCTTTAAAAAAAAATGAAAGCATGATTTGACTCATTCAACCATAACTGTGAAATAATGTATTAAGTTTTATTTCACTTATAATTGAAATATCTATCAAAAATAAAATCTGTGCAGAAGTATTGTTCAAAAAGAATCTATCATCTGTTTATCTGATTTTAATATCGTTACGCAAAAACTTTCTTTTCATATTACCTCTCCACCAGGATAACGATAATGATATTTAGCTTGATCGCGAGCAGAAAATTCTTCTGGATAGCGAGTTGCTATTTCTACATATGTTAAACCCTCACAAATACCCTAGATAAAACAAATAAAAACCAATAAATTTCTATAGTAAAATGTATATACCGCATTAATTTCATTCAAAGCTTTCCATTGTTCTTTTGGCGCATTAATTTTAGCTGCTGATTGAATAGTTCTTTGCATTTGACTTGTCCAAACAATTAAATCGGGAATATTTTCTAGAAAAAATTAAAACTGCGAATGGATTTTTTATGATTTTTGTTTTGATTTGATTTACCATGAGCTACATAGTTGGCAAGTGCATCGGCATACTAGAAAAAATAACAAATAGGCATCGAAAAATTGATTAATTTAATAGAATTAATACCGCTTTTCCATTAATTGATAATGGTGGATCGCCACCAATACGTTGTTGAACATTCAATTCGGATTCACCATGCTAGAAATGAGGAAGAATATTTCGTCCGAGATAAACTTTCATTTTAATTTACTCGTGTTAAATAGATTGTTCTGGGCGTTACATGAATATTCATAAGAAAATAAACGACACGACTTTGAATATGACCTGGAAAGTACGTATTAGAATATGAATGATTCTTTTTTGAAAATTTTTAGTTTACCTCCAATTTTATGAACAAGAAACCGTTCACCACAATTGAAAATTTTAATAAATGAAAAAAGTTTCTCGTCAGTTTTATCATCAATCGGTTGATAACGTTTTTCATATTGTTCAATTCGTAAAAGAAAATCTGCTACAGCTTCTTCTTGTGCAACATCTTTATAATCAGGACTTTTTAATTTGACTTCCTTAAAAAAGATGGTTTATTTAAATTTGTCTTCATTCAGTAGTTTGTTTTACTCGACTGAACATACTTTAATATTTGCTTCAATTATTTCTGATGAATCACAAATAGACTCAACAAAAAATACTCGAAAACAATAGGTTTGTGTACAAAAATCATGAATAGCTCTACGTCGTTCACGTGTTATATTGGTTGCATCAAAAATAGCAACTTCACCTTCATCGGCAAGAAAATTGCATGCATCTTCGAGTGCTTTTTGTGCACATTGACTAAAAAATAAAAATATGTATTCTTTGTTTTTTTCTCGAATTGCTAAATTTTGAAATAGAATATATACTTTAGTACAGCCATAGCTTCAGCATTATCGGGATCAAAGAAGTTTTTATCGGCATGAGACTTAACAGCACGACGATATTCTCCAACATTGAAGACTAGAAACCAAAGCATTCTTTTAAATGAATATTCTCATTCCATTTGAAATTTTATCGTCCAAGAAAATATTTATAAAAACAAGATAAGTGCATGGCCTTATAATATGATGTCAAAGGGATTCGTTTTCCTTTAGATTTTTAAAATATAGTTTATATATAGTAAGGTAGCTATATATATGTTCGACTATTGGTTTCTTTTTTTGTTCTACATGTAAAGTATGATTGATGTATCATGTGAACTTTTAACTAAATGCGCCAGTATTTACTTAGCCACTGTATTCTATTAAAGTAGTTCTAAAGTGTTCTTTTTTTAAATTTTAACCTTGTCGATGGTTTTCTTTTGCTGACGGCTTACTTTTTTTCTTTACATCTATATTCGTCTCTTAAATGATTCTCATGATCTGTATTTTTATCAAAATAATAATGATAAGTGTTAACGTCAATAAACGTTGGTATAGGTGGAGAATTTTTTCCTGAAATCCACAATATCACCTTTGGATTGCTTATATTTATATAATACTAGTGATATTTTATTCACGTACCTTTTGTTTTTATTCCGATCCATTGTAAATAACGAGCCAACTTACGTGAAATATACGTCTTTAAAAATGAAGGAACATGAAAATAATTTGTATGATCAGCTAGAAAATTTTACTTTGCCTCTAGCTGGTAATCCAGCCATAGCCTTAATAAAAAATAAGCATGATACAAGTTTAACAAGGAAAACGGTTTTTATAGATAATTTTTCTACATACAATAATGGTTGGGGTCCGAACGAGACGATCGCGACATGCTACAAAAAAAATATAATAGAAAAGAAGAAAAAAACAAGAATATAAAATTATTTCTTTTTCATTCATTTGAACAATTTTGATTAGTAAACGAATCTGATAGTTATATGTTACTAATGTGCGCTCACCTTGACTCAATCGTCGGCGATTCATTATCGGATTATCTGGATCAAGAAATGAGCGACGTTTTCGCCAATAATTCAAATCAAATTTTGATGCATCTTCCGTGTCATCCGTTGTAGTTGGTTCTTCTAGCATATCATCATTGTCTGATGGTATCGACATAGTTTAGTATTTTCAAAATATTAATAATCTTTGCGAACGTTCTACTTCTTTAATAAAAAAAAAGAAGAAAAGCTATTGCCAGTTGAGCCCGTCTTACTATTTGCTGATAGTGTGGCAATAGTGCCGATCAAAAAAAAACAAATGCCATTTTCTTTTCTTCTTTTGCTTCCTTACTCTTCTCGTCGAACAAAATATCATTTTAAAAAACAGTTTTATTTTTATTTTTTCTATACGTGTATGTAATGTACTTAAATATTCTCCAATTGATTTTTAAATGAAAGAAAACTGCGACGAGTCATGAATGTTTATTTTGCTCAATTACATCTAGTTAATGATTGTGTATGAAATTCTATACCCTTTTTCTGTTTTCATATAAGACAAGCGCAACACCAAGTAAATAAACAATAATCAAATTCTATCATTCTTTCAGATGTGTCGGTGCATTTCATGTCTTCTTTTATTTCTCATCTATCTATGTAGTTATGTTAGTATAGAGTGTTAAACTCGTTGGTAAACTATCAGCACAACGGAGTAAGGTAATGACCATATATTTGTACGAAGCGTTCGTTGTCATGTGATTTTTTTCTATATGAATGAGTAGCGTGGCAAGAACAAAAAACATATGTGATACGCACAAGTAAACGCGAATGACAACAACGTCATTCATTTGTACATTTAATTTCTTTTTACTTTGTGTTAGTAAAAGACACAGAAAGATAAGAACAAAACAATCACGTGCTTGAAATACGAGTTTGTATTTTATTAATAGAGAAGATAGCTATTTAGCTAGTAATCGTGTGATAAGAAAAGGAAACATGACTTAACCTTAGACTGTTTTCAGCTGTCTAAAGATACAACACAGCAAATATGTGAGCGCAGAACGAGAGAAAATTTGCGCGAATAAGAAAATAATTGAATAAAATATACTGTTAATACATATGCAAATATAAAGATATTGGAAAGAATACGATACAGAAAAGATGTTAATAATTACCTTTTGATGGTATTGGTACCTTTTCAAACGTTGATGGCCGACCAACAAACGATGATGATGATGATGATGATGATGCTATGAGGTCTCCACTTCTAAAAAAAATACAAATCAATAATTTTTCTGTAATATTTTTTGAAATTTCTATTGAAATGTTCCTCAGGTATCAATGAAATTAGCTCGAAAGTCGTTGAATAACAATATAGTCACGGTAAGCTGTATTAAACTATTAATTCGATTTTTTTTAAACCACAAATGTTGTACAAAATATGGCCAGTGAAAAAAAAGTTTAGTTTATATTTCAGTGCAATCAAATGCCAATGTTTTCTGTCATAATACAAGAAATATCAGTATTCGACATTGAATAGACTTTTTAGCGTGTTTTTTTCTTTTTACAAGTAATCGTAGTTACTATTTGTTGATGACAATCTACTAAGATTAGTATCACTGAGAAAAAATAATTACCATATGAGCTAATACTTCAATAATTACTACATGGTTTATCATGAACCGTATACGCTCTTCTCGGTTCTGTTTGAAATAGTTTGTATTTGAATTAGAGATTATTTTGTATTGTCCTAGCGTTTTATTTATCATATCATAAGAAGTCTATCTTTCAATGATCTTTTTCTTCTTTTGTATTGCTTGAAAACTACAATCAAGTATATAACTAATACTTTTGATTGTCTTCTATTTCATTTTAAGAAAATTTTATATATTATCTACAGTTTTTAATAGTAAGCAATTTTATAGAATACAAACGATACAATTGAATATTTTAGTCTAATGTCATTAGTATGCAATTACTGAGTAAATCATCAGTTCAATAATATCCATGCAAAGCAAATGAACTGCTATTGACAATACATGTAAAATAGCAAATATCGTTATAACATGCACAGTCCAAAAATGGCATAACCATTATCACCTGTGTAAAGATTACAGAACACATCACTCGTGATAAACGAATTAAAAATATAATAGAACACTTACAGCATCATTCTTATGTTGTCGTTTTTATAGTTTTTTCGTTTGCTTATAATAACAATAATCTGAATTGAAGAGAATCAATCGTTTTAAATTAAAAATATTGTTCGTTTCCTTTTTATGTGAAATGTTCGGTGAAAATAAAAGAAAAATTATTCAAGTCATAAGAGTATTTATTTTCTTTCTCGTGATGATTGACATGTATATAATTTATTTACATACGTTGGTGGCGTAGAAAGAAACCGACAAAAAATAGTTTTATATGTATAATAATAAGACGAAATGAAAGAAAAAAAAGCTACCGTACAATGAGAGAAGCAAAGATCACACCAGTAATATGTTTTTCAATTTTTTATTTTGTGCTTACGAATTCACGCCGGCACTGTTCTTGAATATATATGCGTGTTACGTGCAAAAACAACAAAATCAACCATTCTCAAAGTTTAACATGAATTACATGTGATTCACTGCTAGTTCCCGATGGCTTCTTTTTATAAGATGTTGCATGTTCAATATCGTCTGATGCTGGTGAATCAAACTGTTCAACAAGATCGTTTGCTAATGCAAGAATCGCTTCATCATTACGGTGAAATTTTGTTTGAATCAACTCTTTTTGTTGTACAACATCGTATGTTACCAAATATACTAAAGAAATAAAGTTAGAAAATACAGATAGTTATATACTATGGCATTTGAATATATTTTAAAGTAGTAAGACAACATACATTTGAATATGAGAAAGGATGATGATTTTCTCTCTGACACTAATTTAAATAGAAACATTGAGTTCAACTATACTATGCAGCGAGGAACAAAAACATTGCAGATCACTTAAATCGTATTTTATTCAAAATCAATCAAGCTATTATTTATCAACTAAAATTGATGTCGTTAAAAAACCGACCAAGGCATACGAATATTTTTGAGAAATATGATAATTAATAGATGTTGAATAATGCAGCAAAACAAACGTACTACATCTATTCTATCTTATACATTCAGGATAATATTCTTCATTCAGAATTTTTAGATTTCAATTTTTATTTTACGTATCAAATGTACTCGGTCATAAAATTCTTGAATGAATTCTATTGAGAGCTGTTTTTAACCTTGATAAGAGAAAGGCCACACGTATTAAATCATCACTGTACCTAAATGACTTTGAAATCGACCAAAACTGTACCTCGATCTTAGTCAGGTAACCAGAAAAAAACATCGAGTCGGAAAGAATGAACTTCGTGACCTTGCTGGTAATCGAATTAAATATTCTAAGAAATTGCTTTCACAGAAGACTCAAAGTCTCAGAGAGGCATTCACACTTACATCTAACTACATCATGAATAAACCTGCTTATTTAATATATTTCAGTTTCAAATGTCATTTTAAAATTATAATTTTAGCTTACCAGGATCATAGTGTAAATTATTATACAAAAGAAAAACTCGATAAGGATAATGTCGATCTTCACCGAAATAATCGATTCGTCCTTCACATTCTGTATTAATAACACATATTTCAATTTCATATTCTTGTGTTAATATAGCTAATTCAATTCCACCGCCCCATGAATCATCTAAAATTTTCATATAAATATGAACTAAGAAAAAAAACCGGAATTCAAATATGTTTGTCTTACCCTTTCGAATCCATTTTGAATATTCAGAATTTGTTCGACCAAGCATAGCTTCGGAATAAGTTATTTGATCGGATTCTATTTTTGTTGCAACTAAATTGCGTAAATATTTATTTGACGCTAAATCTAGTTTTCCTGAATGTAAAACAAAATAAATCGATGAGAAAAGACAGCTATTATCAGCCGGCACAGAAAATCTTATAAGCTGTCCAATAAGAGATTTTTTTGTTGATAAATTATTTGTTGTTTTTGCTTGGGTGAGAGATGATGATGATGATTCTTCTAAATTCAGTGAAGATGACGCCGTTGAATTGAAATAATCGGATTTATCTAATGAACTTGCAACATGTTTATCATTTGTTGATAGTTCATCATTATCTTGTTGTTGGCAAAGTATTAATTCAGTTAAATCAATAAAAAGTTCTTCATTACTTGATAAACTATATTTATCAAAGGTTATGGATACATCATAATGTGTAGTACTAAAATTATTATTAATAGGATAAAGTAATGAACAACCGTTGGGTCCACTTCGATAGATGGAAATATGTAGTAACTGATCAACTGTTAAATGTAAATCATGAGCTATTTGTTTAAATAAATCAATGATTCGATATCGAGCAGCAATTTCCATGCTATGATATTTATTAGGTTTAAGACGAATAAGAATTCGTAATAGAGGGCCAGCCATACTGGTTCAAATTATTATTTAACTAAAGGAATCTGAAATAAAGACGATAGATTATGTCTCTGTCAGAAACACGCGCTTATTTATATTGAAAAAAGACGTTTGTTGTTTATTATTTGATAGTTTGGGATGTAAATTGTTATTAGTCATTGTGAATCAATTGAATAGAATTTATTAACCACTCTTATGCTGAGTAGTTGAAAATTAATAATTATTCATGAATCAAATTTTTGCTTTTATTAATGTTACAAGTGATCTTTAATAGATAGTTATTTTACTAACATGAAACTAATTTAATTAAAGAAGATGTCACTAGAACCAAGAAAAAAAATACTATTACTGTATGTTATGTTCATGTTATTTCCTTTTCACTGTATTAAAGATCTTGTTTTTGTCATTGTCAGTTAAACTACTGATTCATAATTTTGAATTGATGGTAGCCTAGAGAAGAATTTATCTAAATTTAATTTTATCTTTGATCGAAATGTTCCCTGTTCGGATTCGGAGCAATAGTCTATAGAAAGACTTCTAGAGAAGTTTTACTTGTGGTAATGTAACATATCAAAACATTCTGAATTTTCCACATCGCTTGAAAATTTTCACTTGATGAAGATAGTGAGAAATGCATCTATATTTTATCAAGAAGTATTAGATTCAATATTAGTTTTACAATTTCTTTTACAAAAATGCCTTCTATTCAATATTTGATGTATATTTCGCATTGAACAACAACTCTTATTCAAGATATTTTAATTTAAAAAAAAACGATACCCGTTCACTGTAAGCATTAATCAACAAAAGGAAATAACAAATAAAAATTTTCAATGTTCATCTTTAGTAACTTCATGATATTGTTAAAGCAATACAAGAAAGTTCTGAGAATTTAAATATTCATTTGCTTCATAGTGAAATTATTACATCTACAAAATTGGTCAAAGACAAAAATACATGATAATCATCACGATGAGTTTCGGTTAATGCTCTTTAAAAAAATGGAATTTGACTGTATTCATATATACATATAAAAATCATGACAATACTTTCAAGTTAACTTTGTTCCAAGTAATATTTTCAGCAGACAAACCATTCAATAGTATATGATCTAGCAAAGTTTATGATAGATTTTCTGTTTGCATTTTCCCATTTCTTTACAATGTACACAAGCAATCATAATACATGTGAAAACAGTGAAAATAATACTTATACGCACAAACAGAAAAAAAAACGAAAAGCCTTATTTTGTATAAAAAAAAAATATAAACGTATATATCGATTGTTTTCACTGTCTATGAATGGAATCTTGAAAAATCAAACGAACAAATGGTTTTGTTTCTGATAAAGCTATTGAACAAAATGGACATATTGATTTTAAACCTTTAGTACCTAAAATAGAAAATAAAAATCTAGATGATAAACGTTCTATTATTGATATTCTTCTTACCATAAGGTACTTTTATTTTTGACCAATACAACGTTGTTGACTGTGAAGTCATATGTCCACATGGATGGAAAGCATATGAAGTGGTGGATTCATTATCTGAATTTGGTATAACATAAAATGCTGGTTCAATGCCAGGTATAATTGGAATAAGTGGACCAACTGTTCGACAAAGCGGACATTCACGTGATTCACTATTATCATTTTTTACACCCCATTTATGATTTCCATGAACATGTCCACATAAAACGTAAACATACGCATTTGGAGTATTTGAAGATGTAGATGCAAATGGATTAGTTTTTATGATTAATGTATTTAATCCCACAGGGCATTGTGGTTTTTTAGAATTTAATTGATCTAATTCAAGTTCAAGTAAACGACGCGTCTAGAAAATGATACTTAATTGACTTAAAGAAATTTGCAAAGAAAATATTTTACAGGTGTATTTTTAAGACCTTCAACTGATCTCCAAAGAAGTGTTGCTCCACATAGATCAATAAGACTTCCATCTAAGAGAATATTATCTGTGTTTGACGGAGGCTAAAAAGAATATACGTATATAATAAATATTATTTATGTTTTCTTAATTTAATTGTTATTTACTGTTGATTGATAATTGAATTTTAATCGCCCTTCACCTAAATCGAAAACACTTCCACAAACTGATACCTCTTTCCATTTGGTTGGTTTGGAATTTGTATTAAATTGATCACCATCAAGATGCATAACTAAAATGCCATTTGTTGTAACGCCATCCATTTCGTTACATTCATTTTTCCATTTTATCGATTTTTCCTATTAGAAATTATAATAATATACAAATATTCATGAATGATAATTTAGTGTGTACTCCAAGAAATATATTTTTCGATGCATCGAAACCAGCAGCATATATTCGAGTTGTATATGGTGGATGACGTGAGATAACAATGCGGCATGCATAACGTGAGATAGTTGATTGTGGAACCGATAAATCATCAAATGTTTTCGCTCCAGCAACCGTATCCATAACAATACAATCGATTTGATTTTCTGATGATCGACCGATCTAAACAAGAAAATTTTCTTTCGCAATTATTTTATTAATTTCATAGAAAAGAATTTATACTTGAAACATATCTGAATCTTCATCGTGTGCATATTGTACAACGACTGTTTGATTTCTTGATAATGTATATGAAATAGAATGAAAATCAGCTTGAGTTAATTTCTAAAATAGAAAACTGAATCATATACTACATTGCTTTTAACATCAATCGTATTTTCATTAAAACCTGTGTGTCCATCTGATTATTTACATGAAACCTATTGCTATATGATAGTTTCGCACGCAATATGTGTACAATCAATATCTATACTCGTCTCAGATTTAATCAATATCGATCACATAAGCATGATTGCATAATAACCTATGTTCCTCATCTTCTTCATTTTTTCATATCACTATGTCTACAAGCAATTGAAAGTCCGAGATGTCCTTGTGGATACGATAGGCTAATTTATTATTTCTTTTCATTTCATTTTACTTTATTTGTTTCAATATTCTTGTTTTATTACCTGTACTTCATCAGCATTTTTACATAAATGCTGTCTTTGTGCTTTCAAACCATTAGGTTGTGTACGTTGTCGCAATTGAAATTTGCTTTTTCGTCTACCACGATCACCACTAGGAATTTGTCCATTATATCTGAAGAAAATATAAAAAAATGCAAAGTACTTTTAAAGCTGAATATATAGACATAATAACAATACTAAATGAATATCATATGACACTAGACATATGAAGGATGTGAATATTTTTAGCTTTGAATATATGTAGATTCATATTCATTTTTCTTTTTATCGAAAATATTATGGAGATCTTTCAAGGTTTCAATTAAAAGCAATATATCAACGAAACAAAACAAAAGAGTGAAGAGTTCATGAAATAGATCTATGATAAGAAAGCAATTATTCATTTCTTATCGTCAAGTAACTGATAAACAGAAATATATCATCATATCGCAAACATATTAATTGTTAATCTATGTTTTATTTACTTCGAGTAATAACGATATTTCATTGTAAAAACATATTACAAAAATATAAAATGTTTAAAGAAATCATTCAATATTCGACTGTGATTTTCATTTATATTACAATAGTTTAGAAGCGAACATCATATATCCGTAATCAAAGCACATGAAATACTTATCGATATTCAAAGAAAATCATTGATGAATGTATCTTTTAGAAAACAGTAAAATATTGAACTTACCCAAGGACAACTAATTCACCATATTTTATTTGTTGTTGATCATCATTTGTATTAATGTCCGGCATCGTCTACGATGAGGATGCAGCACAAAAAAAAAATATATATATATATATATAAGGCACTGCTACAGACAGAGAACAATTCTTAGGTATAGTAGCACTGTGATAGAAGAGAAAAAAATAGTGGTCGAATGATTCGTTTTATGCGAAGAGAGAAAGAAAGGGACTATATTGCTTCGTCCTCTTTTTTTTTCTCTGTCTACTGTTGATGTTACTCGACGAGCGAGCAAGCGAGCAAGAGGGCATATGCATATAAATATATGTGAGGTTATACAGCATAGATATGCATTCAAAAAGCAAGTAAAGAACAAAAAAAAAGTGAAGTCTCTCTTTCGCCATCGACGACGGCGAAGGAAAAAAAGAATTATATGTTTTGTCCTTCTTTGCAGCTGGAAAAGAGAATCTATGTATAAAAAGGTGCCGAACATACGGAAAAGGTTCGCATTCTGGTCACTTAAAGTTTACGTTATACGCAGCAATATACATTGTTTTCATATGCACCTTTTTTTTCACCAAACCATAAACAAACGAAAAGATTGACTGTTGCACTTCGATCGAATAATATACAATCACTACTTGAACAATGAGCTTTCTATCATTCATATTATTTAAGGATAAGATTAAATTAATATGAATAGTTAGTTTGATATTGATTTATTTTCATGATCATATAACTTCTGTCTCACCAGAATAGATAACACGTAATTTCTAATCTATTTTATTCAGAGTTATTCTTATGCTTAATATATTAATATTAACGTGATTGATTGAAAGAAAAGTATTCTATGAGTAACCATGAGCTTGTATTTATTATTTTGCTTCGCTTGAATAGTTAACTGTTCATATAAATCTAGTATGTATTCTAAATATTTAATGCATCAAATATTCTTCATTTGCCACAATGATGCGTCATATATAAACTTCCGTTGATTATTTGCTTTTAAACAAGTAAAAGATTAAATAAAATGGAAATCGCTACATTTGTTGGTGGTTATTTTTGGCATATGTAAACAGTATTTTTCAAAAGTTCCTGGTATAATATCAACTGTTGTCGGTTATTCCGGTGGTCATATACCTAATCCTACTTATGAGCAAGTTCATACACAAGCAACTGGTCATACTGAATCGATTCAAATAGTATTTAATCCTCTACTTGTTACATATGCAACTTTATTAGAGATCTTTTTCTCAAATCATGACTAAATACAACTTAGTCGACAAGGCCCTGATGTGGACCCACAATATCGATCGGTCATCTTTTCTCATAATATCCAACAATGGCAAATAGCAGCAGGTTACATTCAACAATTGAAAATAACTCGAACTCCCCCTATTGTTACTGAAGTCGTACCCTTTCAAATCTTTTATCCTACTGAAGCTTATCATCAATTCTATCAAGCAAGAAGACAATCACTGATGAGGTCATTCTGAGAGTTTGTTGTTTATTTTGAAAATTGATAATTTAATCATAGAGATTTTTGACACTCATCTAATCAATTTTCATTAAAGATCTTGCAAAATACTACTGTTTTGATGAAGTCAATATTTACTTTATTGAATATTAAATCTTACTCAAAGATAATAGAATCTAACTAGGGAAGGTCCCTCGTTAGATTTCTTTCCGATTTGTGAAAAAAAAATATCAGAAACTTGAACCTTTATTGCTGTATTTAAATTGACTTTCGAATACCCTTTTCAACAAACAATTTTTACCGAAACCTCGATTTCATATTTATGTGTTGCAGATTGAAAAATGGCCAAAAACTCAAGAGTTGCCCATAAATCGAAATACTTATCGGCACGATTTTTATATTAGAATAAAAATTCACAACAGCGCTAACATCTAGTCGATATTAATTTCGAATGAAGATATTTGCAAAATTAGATCTAAATAAAATAAATTGATACTGATGATTGATTAATTTTCACGGCAATATTTTTTCTAATGAATTTCACTGAGGTATATAAAACACGATCATCTATACCGATCGGTGAAAATTGTATAAGAAATGACAAATTTATCAGCAGCTATTGATATTGTATTTTCATGGATTGTTTTTAATCATGTTATTCCTGAAAAATGAAAATGGTTTTATGTATTTCCAGTGAAAAAGAATTTAAAAGTATCTCTATTTCGCGGAGAGCTACCATATTGATTACTGCATTTCACATTAACAATCGGTTTCCGACAAAAACTCATCGATTATATACATTGCTCTCTCTCTCTCTCCCATATAGCTTTAAATCTACCTATCTATCTATCTATTATGTCTTCTATATAGTTATGAATGGAGATTTTGTTAGAAAAGATTTATCTTGAACATAAACTGCAACTAACTTCTAAATAATCATCAAGTCTAGTTTTGCTTTGTGTGGATCCGAACCAACGATTATTGTTATTATTGTTTGCTATTATTTTCTATGTGACGTAGACAAATGAGACACTAGCATACGAATATGTATAATGTCAATCTGGAAAAAGAATGTTAAGATGAAAAATGGTTGCTTGATCGAAGCGGGGAAAGATCTTTTGCAAATATGACAATTGATAATGGATGGTCTATAAGGAAACGAATACGGGAAATGAAATTTTGTTTTTGATATATACCAATTCGACATAGATGATTATGAATAATGTTACAAACTAGAAATCGTTTTTTTCCTATGTTCAACAAATAAGATTTATTCCTTAGTTGTTAATTCTTTTCATATGAGTAGATCGATTATTTCTTACTGTCTTTCAAATGTTTGTAGACGCATCAGTTATTACTTGTCAAAATGAAAAAACTGTTGACTACGTGTCACACTTCAATCATTTTCTCTAAAATCAGAGATATATCCAAGACTAAATAAATATTAGTTTTTTGTTTAAGGAGGGGAAAATATTTATCTATTGATTACTTTTGAATGATAGATTGTGCATACCAAAACAAATGATTAACTACCATAATTGATGCTAACCCATCGATAATTAGTATTGTTGGCCTTGGCTATGGCTAGAAGCAAACTTACTCTGTAAAAATATTAGATGTCAACTAGTTTTTGTTTTGATTGTAACGAACATATACGTGGGAATAGAATTAAATTAAAGTAAATTCAAAAAAGAATTGTATCGAACATAAAATTAATATGCCAAAGCAATTTTTTAGATTGAAATGAAAATCAAGCAGTTCAAATAATTTTTTTGAATGTTAAATGTGTATGATATATGTATATATATTACAAGACAACAATTAGTTTATGATTCTTTTAGGCTTGGAACAACTCTTTTCCAGTCATCTTGAAAATTTTGAACTGGTATTTAAAAAGAAGAAGTATCTCTCTCTTTCGGGTCTCTTTTTTTGCGACAGAAAACCTACTTGAAGTTTCATTATTTACATTTTGAATGGCTTTGTGTTCATAGGACACAAGGTAAATAAAACGCTCAGGAATAAAGCAGAGAAAATAGTAAAACAGCAAATCTGAACGGGCTATTTTTCTATTACTCACGATGACAGACTGAATGCGAATAATCTACAGCAAAAAAACGATTGAAAACATTCTCCACAACTATAGACGCTGTAGTCTAACTTAATGTTGTATTCCTGTAGAATGAATACTAATGAAAATGACTCAAATGTATGGATAAATTTTACGCATTTATCTCGCTGACTAATTTTATCTTCATTTATAATTCTGTATATGATGCAGATTCTTAATGCCGTATAATGTTTGGGCTCTATCCTATATCAAATTTGTCTTCTACTGATCAATTGATTAATTTTATGCGTTTCGACGACAAACTTTCATTGATCAACAAAGAAAGTATATCTGTCTTGTCTGTATGTAGGACATTTAGATTTCACTTCCAATCTAAAAAACAATTTAATTAATATTAACTTTTCGTTAGAATCATAAATATCGATTATCATTTTGTTCACTTCCTTTTCAATGAATAGAAATTTCAAATCTCAGATAAATCCTAGGATTATTTCTATTATATTTAACCTTGAACTTCATGCACACAGTATACACATAAGACAACGAAGGATGAATTACATCATCAAACTGAATCTGATGTGTCAGAAAAAGAAACAATTAGTCGAGTTTTTGTTGCTAAAGCAAGTGTTATCGATATTATAAAACTTCTTAGTAGATATAGATACCAATTTCTTCGTTAGCAATAATTTATCGTCATAAGAGGATACATCTACATAATCTAATCAATGCCCACGATTTACTGCTGATGTAAAATTATCACTTAAATAGAGATATTTGTATTTCCTAATTTCTACTATAGTTTTCAGATTAATCTATATATATATATATATATATAGACAATTAACAATGGACATTTTAAAAGATACATAAATGATAATGAATAATAAATATTAAATTCTATATTAGTTATGAAATATTTGATTACACTTTTCTATTATACGAAAAAAGCAAATAGCAATATTTCAGATTGTTATTCATTGTACACTGAACAAATAATATACATATATATATATAGGACGAAATTTTATTTGATATGATTAACTATGTAATAGTTATTCTGTGAAAATATTATAATTATAGTGAAAATTACGAAATAAATAAAACGAATCTATTCAACACCACGTAACAATAAGAAATACCATAGTTGAAAGTATAAGAGGCTTTTCTTTTATGTCGATCAAGTCATTTTCAAATACAATCGAATTCACGATCGGCATCAAAACAGTTTACTATTTTGGAAGGAAACAAAGCATTCTTCATCTATCTATGTAATATTCTCTTAATGAGAATTTTCATACTATACACATTAGTTCAATTGTGCATCGGGTCATCATGTTCTTTCTAGTTAGCCATAAATCAGGCAAATAAGCGATTTCTTTTCGTAGCGCTGTGTTTTTTTGTACATTAGTTTGGTTAACAATTGAAGAAGATATATTTACGCTTTTCTCATTTACATTGAAAATGTCATAGAACAATATGTGGACATACATACATATGTAGAAAATTGTGACAAGAATAGTTGTAAGAAATAGAAGGCTATAGAATTTTTCTTCTTGTTCTTTTTCATAACCTATAGTAATCACGTATACATAAATTGTTTCCTCATATTTCTCTTTTCTCATAAGCGACTGCTACCAATATCAATATGCTTTTCCCAATCGTACCTAAGAACAGAAAAGTATTAAACGGGAAAATGTTAGTCTCGTCAAAGAAGCACTCTGTTGCTGTCGTTATTCTAACACATAAATATGTTTAGATGCTTTCTGTCCCAACTGTAATCATTCTTTGTCCAATATCGAACAGAAGAGAAAAAGGGAAAAATATAATCTAACAATGGAAAAAAAAACGTATTGTACAACTAGCCCATACATCTATCGTTAACTGACGTACTGATGACGAGTAAACATACAGAACAGCAAAAAATCTAAATCTATCTGTTTCCGCAGACGCATCCAAATATATACGTAACTAATAAACCACAATTTTCTCTCTTCATCGTCGTTACCATTACCACTCTCGTATAACAAGAGCAGCTTGCAAATGCGCCCAACAATGCGAGAGTACTTCTACATACCATATTTACCGAGGATCTATATTGTTGCTGTTATCTTTTTTTGTCTTTAACGAAGACGCTCATTTTCCCTCTAAGTTCTCTATATGTCGTAAATACAATCGTTTCCATATTTGCTCTAGAATAATATCATTCCTATCGATATTATTTGGTTATCTTTGCCGAGTATTTATCTATCATTACCCTTGATTTTTTTTTATAGATCTGTTGCATTCTTCTTTGCTGAGCACAGTTTTAAATCTTAATCATTCAACATGTCATCAAATTCAAACACAACCGCTACCATGGATTCCATCAAAAAGAAGATGCAATCTATGAAAACGGAAAAAGATAATGGCATTGAACGTGCTGAACAAGCCGAACAAGCTCAAAAGGACTTGGAAGACAAATTGAAAGTGGTATGTATCATTTCATATATCATTATTCAGTTTTTGACTATATCGATTTTGATCCATTTATAGTCTGAAGAAGAAAGTAATTCTCTACAAAAAAAGATTCAACAGATCGAAGCAGAACTCGATGCTGCTCAAGAACAATTAGCTGAAGCCAATGCCAAGCTTGAAGCTAAAGAGAAAGCTGCTACTGATGTAAGTCTTTTGAATTGATTTCATATTAAACATTACAAATTCAATAGAAGTCATTATCTAAGGTCATTTTCCCTTTTGTCAGTTTATTCAAATAGTTATTGAGAATAGATTCCTCCTGATGCTCTTCTTTTGTCCATTTACATTTATATATCAATGTTACTCTCTTTCGAAACAAGAAATCATACTATTACAGCATCATATAATAGGCTATAAGTTTCGATTTAGTTCACGTAAATTATTTGTTTCAATTTAAAAATAGAGATCGAACAAGAAATATCCTACAGATAAGCTAGTTCGATACAGAATTCTTCTTATTTCATTATATAAGCAAGTCATTACAAGAAAATATCCTAAAAATCAGAACGAGAACATGAAGTAACATCTGTATAGGAGTGAAACATAGCTAGGTGGCGCCTATGTCCGGCTATAGTACTCTGTTGATGTATATGCTTATGTGATTGAAACAGCGAAAAACCTGGTGGTTAGCCGACGGTATACCGATTCTATAACTATAGTAACGAAAGGGTTGAGATAAGCTACATACAATTCGTAAATACAGGAACGCTATCAACAACATTGGTGACATCTATATGATCCATAAAGGCGGAGGCGTCAATAACACGAAGTATGGTTATTCACTGGTAGATTAGCGTTTTGTTGACCAGGCACACGACATCGACAAGAGTAATGTCTGCGAATTCAAATAATGGTACCCTACGATCGTTAAATCGAACTCCACAACAAAGTTCTAGTCCTACACCAATGAATGAATCAGGCGGTTCTGTAATCGATACAATAAGAAAACGTATGCAACAGATGAAAGATGAATTGGCTAAATCTCAGGATGATTTGCATGCATATCAGATTGAACGTGAACGTGAAAAAAATGCACGAGAACAAGTGTGCTCTTTAATGTATGAGAAGAAAATATTATATTCTTGAATATTTCGTTTTAGGCTGAAGGTGAAATGGGTGGTCTTCAACGGCGTATACAATTAGTTGAAGAAGATCTTGAACGTACTGAAGAACGTCTTACACAAGCAACACAAAAGCTCGATGAAGCTTCACATGCTGCTGATGAAAGTGAACGGTAAGTAATTATACTGTATAATGAAAAAAATTTATTTTCTTAAGAGTATCGAGAAAAGCCCAAAGTTTAAAAAAAATAAACATGCAAAAACAAATACTTTAGAAAACGTCTTATTCTTGATGGCAAAGTATCTGGTTCTGGTAACAGATATGATACACTTGAACAGCTACTCAAAGAGGCAAAACAATTGGGTCATATGAATGAGAGAAAATATGAAGAGGTAGAAAAATCAATATTAGAAAATCAAATTTTGCTTTAATTTTTACTAACATTGCACTATTTGATTCTCTTCATTAGTTAGACTGGGAAGGGGGCGGGGGCTTAATTGCATATGTTGATTGTTAACTTTATAATATTTCTCTTTTTTCTTCTTTTCTTCTTTCAATCTTCAGTGGTCGCAAAACTCTCGAACAGCGTACCTTCCAGGATGATGAACGTATGGGTACACTCGAACAGCAGTTGGCCGAAGCACAGCTTATAGCTGAGGATTCCGATCGAAAATATGATGAGGTGATTAAAAATAATAATTCATTTATTGAGTAACATTTGAAATTAAAAAAAATGAGAAAATTAAAATTGAGACGTTTTAAATATGAGTCCAGGTTGCTCGTCGTATTGCTATTATGGAAGTCGATTTGGAACGCGCGGAAGATCGTGCTGAAGCCGCCGAAGCGTAAGAAGCATTCGTGTTTTATTCTTTCTTTTGCACGCTGTTTCTTCTTTTTTTCTTTTGTTTTTACTAACCTGCTCTTGTTTTATTGCATGAGATTTGAAGTGCATTTTGAAGTTTTAATTTTAGGTAGCACGTAAATTGAAAGTACGTGAAGGTGAACTGGAAAGGCTTGAAGATCGTGCACAAAGATTTGAATCGTATGCATGATCTCATTTTGCATTTTGCATGTGTTTGTGTATTTTCCCCTTATAGTAAAATTGCTCAATATGAACAAGATATGAAACATTTGCATTATGAATTGCGTTCAAAAGAAGTGTTTTTAACAAAGGTAAACAATTTTTTAATCTTTTAGAAAAACTCTTGAACTCGAAGAAGAACTGAAAGTTGTTGGTAACAATATGAAATCACTTGAAGTTTCCGAACAAGAGGTAGTTCATTGAGAATATTATACAATACCGTTTGAAGTCCCGACCTTTATTCCTTATATTGATAAAGAAATTACAAAATAATAACAATATTTGTTTTGTTTTTAGGCTATTCAACGTGAAGAAAGTTATGAAGAACAGATTCGTGATTTAAGTACTCGTCTTAAAGATGTAAGTGTTCATTGTCTTTCTTTTTGCGTTTTTTGAAAAACAACGAAAATAGAATCTATGAAGCATTATGCTTATATATATATGTGTGTGTGTGTATATATATATATATATATATATTTATCAATCATACGAGTATAGGCTGAACAACGTGCTGATCTTGCTGAACGTACAATGGCAAAGTTGCAAAAGGAGGTTGATCGCCTCGAAGGTAATATCACAAAAATGAAATTCAATGCACATTCGGCCTCCTCCTGCTCTTGCATGGGTTTCTTGTAATGTTTTTCTATTATTTGTTTCTTTCTACTATATTTTGAATTCAATATTTGCATGTTGCATGTATATTATTAGTTGTATGTGTATATATCTAGACGGAAAACAAAGCTGAGCATGCTACACGTACAATGCTTGTCTTACAGAGAAAAGCAAACCAATTGAAAGGTATATTTTCAAATGAATCTTGCTTGTCAGCTAGATAAGAATACCTTGAGACATATGACCTCAGGATAAAACGGTCCCATAACTTCATGTAAAAAGAAATGCATTTATGATAACACTATCGATCGTTTTATTTGAGCACTGATAATTGTGAGTTTTGAAAGACAAAAAAAAAAGAATTATAGTCAAGATGATTGCGTAGTTTATAGATTTGTTAAAAGATCTCTAACAATGTCAAGTAGAATATCAATCAATCAGATCATTTTAATCGATAGAACATTGATGATGCAGCGTTTATTTTTATGCTTGATTCTTATATGTGACTTATTCAATAGAAACTGCCCTGTGAACTCATGCTACACAAATTGATAAAATATTTCGAATTGAAAATAGTGCTTGATACTTTCCATAGATGTACCTAAAATATACATTAGTGCTTCTTCTTTTTTTTACGCTGAATAGATATTTTGACATTTCATATGAACTAGTTTAGTAAATACATAGTTCGCATGAGATGATGAATCGGACACTAATTTTCATGAATTATTGAATTTTGAGATTTGTTCGTAATTGCATCTATTCGTTAATGCTTGTTTCATGAAAGAACAACATAAAAATATACTGTTGCAAAAAGAGCTTTAGATATTTTACTAACCTTATTGCATGTTCTAACCAAAAAATTGAAAAATTATTCCCTTATATTCTCCTGCATTCGTATGCATGCATTTCAGGCGATATAACAAATGAGAATGTGCGCAGCAAAAGTTTGCAACGTGAAATGGATACTATGATCAATGACCTTCAGAATGTACTTTAATTTACTTGCTTGCTTGTTGTTGTTGTTGTTTGTGCTGTGAAATTTCAATTTTTATTTCCTCGTTCTATCATTGCCATTATTATTATCATTATTATTATTATTATTATTATTATTATTATTATTTTGTGTGTATGCATTTTATTGATCAATTCTTTTTACTTGTAAGCGAATATTTGCTTTTGTTGTTTTGTATGAACATCATTTTAGCCTTTTTACTTATTTATTAATTTTTTCACGGAAACTATTGATAAATTCTTATGTCTTTTTACCTTTTCAGACGAATTACTTGCTGAAAAAGAGAAGTACAAGAATGTCAGTGACGAACTTGACATGACATTGAACGAATTGTCAGGTTACTAAGCAACGAAATCAATTTATTCTGGTGGTGGTGACAGCAGCATCAACAAGCATTTTTCACATGTTTTTCCTTTTTTGTCTATTGTACCTCTATCACCTGTCTGTGAATTTGTATGTGCGTAGCAGTGGCATCAGAACAATTGTTGCTTTCTTCTGTTTTTTTACTACCGCAACAAAGCAATCGTTTTCTTTTTTCGATTAGATCATGCACACTTACACATTTTTTTTCTTGTCTTATGAATTTATCATACTATGTCTCTATAACTAGTTCATTCTTTTCTTCTTTAAAATATTTTAAATCATACAAATAAAAGACTACAAAAAAAAACTAATAATAACACGCTTATGGATGATGTAAGGTTTTTTTGAAGAACGAATCGAGATAAATTATGATCTCACCTTTCGGTGATAAGAGACTTGTTCGTTCGCTTTTATGTCGTTTTACGAGAGAGATAATTGGCAAAGAATGCAGGTAACTCTTGACCAAGAATTAGATACAATAGAACGAAATTATAACGGATGGACTTCGTTGATTTATTATGATCGATCATTATTACAAAAGCTTGGTACGTGTTTACAATCATGTCTAGCAGTAGCATCAGATAATATTTTTCTTAATTTGGTCATTAATCAACGACCACAAGCATTTGATATGTTTGAATATGTTGCTGCATACTTATTTAAACAATGGTATTTTCAAAATCGTACATTGATTGTTGAAGAATTAAATTTTTTAACTGTCGTTGGTACATTTAATCGACGTTTAGCATTAACATTACAAAATGATAATGATGATATTGATGGAATTGATGAACAAAATTCATTCACAAAAAATAATCTTGAACATCATAGACATGTACGAGAATTATTGTTTGATAATTATAGCGAAATATTTGAAATTTTAATTAAAATATTACCATATATGAATAGAAACGAATCAGATTTCGTTGATATGATTTTACCATGGTATGAATCATACATGTTTTTTGAACATAGTTATGTTGATTCAAGATTAGATGAAAAATTTCTTTATTTTAATCAAAAGATAATTGAATGTTTAAAATCTGATGAATATAAACAAAATTTATTATCAATAAATAATAATCAAACAATGATAATAACTGCTCTACATCGATTTTATATAGGTACATGTACAATGGCCATGGGCATACATGTTAATTGTGATGAAAATGAATCCGATGATGATGCAAAAAATTTATTAGAATTATATTTATCGTATTATATAAATTTTATACAGTATTTTTCCAGTCAAATTCAAGAAAATTCATTAAATAATTTAGTTTGTTTAACAGGGATAATAACATATGTTGTTAACTATACGTTGGTTATTGATAATGATAATAATAGAAAATTATTATTTGATTTATTTTCAATAATTCTGCATGAGAATTTCTATATGAATATATGCATTCATTGGTCAACTTATGAAACAATATTATTTGATTCAATCATCTGTTATTTAATAATTTATTGTTTTGATAATATGTTATTAATTCAAGATTTGCTACGTACAGATAATAATTATATAAGAAAATTAGAAACCTTAATTGAACAAGCACAAGCATGTGGAAATCGCCGTATAAGTATCATGGCACAATTATTTTTACTTATAATAACAAGTGCAACAAAAAATGAAGATTTAACTGAAAAATTATTTCTTTCTAGTTTAAATTATATTCAAATATCTTTACAAAACGTTCGTTCGTATCATTATAGTCGAATACCAATGAGTCTCTTTTTTAAAAGTTTAATACATATTGTAAAATATGATTATATACAAGAAATTATTCAAGAACAATATTTAAATCTATTTACGAGTGTTCTTACTAATTATGATAGAAAAAATCTATATGATAACAATATTTATCGTGAATCAACAATTATAACATTGAGTATTTTATGGTCAATATCATTTGATGAGAATATTAAAAAAATTTTAGCAGAAACCGAACAAGATTTTTTCGATATTCTAAAGAAAATCAATTTAAATACAAATGAAGTGTCTGTTAAACAAGCAACATGTGGATTACTTTATAATCTTGATCGATTGGATTTATCGCAAGTAAGTTCAATATTTCAATTATGAAAACATAGACAGTAAGATACAGTAGATCGATAGAAACTTAATAGAATCAAATCGTGAGATTTTATACGAAGAATAATTCTCAGCGCGTGAAATATAATAATTCTGACGTCATTCATTCAAATAAGAATAGTTTTCATTATTCTGAACTGTTATCAACACTTGAATGTTTTGATTATCATTATCTGATGCAATTTAAGTAAATTAGAAACACATTGTGTATCGAAAGAAAATACATGAGATAGCCAAGAATAACATGGAATTTCTATACTCGACAGTTTTGATTAAAACAATAGGTTTCTTGGCTCGTATGATAGGAAAGTATAAAAATTAGTTAGAAAATAAAATGTATTTGACACTCTAAACTACACAATTATTTGATATTGATTCTTTCAAAGAAGTAAAAACTAGTATCTAGTAATGAAAGATATACGAGTTACAAGTCAGCCTAGTTGCAGGGTAAATTTTAAGAGATTGTATTATTCAATTGGCTTTGCGTAACTTACTATTAATAAAAATTTCTGTAAGATCATTCTTGTTTCCTAGAGAAGCTTCGACAGCACTGATCTTTTCGTAGCTTCAAAGAATTGGTTCAGATCTATTTGATATCGAGTCTATCTGGCAAAGTTTTCTTATAGATGTTAACTTATTAGCTGTTTCAACAATATTCTCATACTTCATTACTAGTCTCATGTATGACAATGCTAAATAATTCCTTGAGTTCGCTTGAAATATATATTTTTTTAAATAGGTTTGTTTAGAAAATGAAAATTCATCGAGTAGTATGCACAATAAAGTTTTTCAGATATTTTTATGCTACTTTCTACAATTTTTAATTAGATTTCATATAAATATATATAGAAGACCATTTCTGTAGCATATTTCATTTCGAAAAGTCGTGAAGAATTTTAAATTATAATCGAAAAAGTTCGAACGATTGTGTTAGTTTAAGAATTTCACTTGTTTATACTTGAATAGTTGACAACAGATAATGACCAATAAAGTTATTTCTATTATATATTAGTACTCATTATCACATGAACAACATTTTGGCAAAACAATCGGCATTAGTTACGATCCAAGTGATTGTAAAACTGTAGAAATGATCGAACAAGAATTAAATAAAAATGGTCTTCGTGTATGGACTACATATGATCATATGAATGATGATTTTATTCCAACATTTATATCACTTATGAATAGTACAACATATTTAATTGTATGTGTTAGTGATATGTATCGATTAAATAATCGATGCCGCACAGAACTTTTCTATGCTACATCATCTGGCCATCGAGTTTTATCATGGAAAATTGGCACGTCAACAAATAATTCAGATGATGATGAGCAAATTCGTAGTCAAGCCATAGAAACATTACTTAAATGCATTATACCAAATTATGATGATAAAGTTGATTCAAAAGTACTACCAGCTATTGATATTGCATATATTAGTGTTGATATGAACGAACGTCGTGCACCTATAAATTTTAATCACCGTCAACGAGCACAAGAAATGATGAACTTAGAAAATTGGACCAATAGAGAAGTTCTTGCTTGGTGTGAATCTTTAAACTTACCAAGTTTTTCAAAATTACTGAAGAATTTCGATGGACAAAGTGTTATCAGATTACATGAATTTTGTAAACCTAATTCAACAGAAACTATATCATTACTAAATAATGATCTACATAATATCTGTCAACAAGAAAATACTGCTGATATTCAAATATCAGTTCATGAATTTATTCAATTTCAAATTGAAGTTGAAAAAATGTTACAAACAAAAACCATTTTCAGAAAGTCGTCACTATCAATTTCAACAGCACGACAACATATTTATAAGGGATTGAAAATCAAAACTTGTTCGATTCTTTAGTTCACTGAAATAAAAATGATTTTTTTCCTTTCTACAATAAATAATCTAGCAAAAATAACTTCGAATGAATAGTGTTAGGCAATAGTTATCCGATTTCATTATTTGACTTTTTTCCATTACGATTGATTGGATGGTTTGACTAGGCGTTCAAAAAATCTCAAAGATGTATTCAAAATTATCCGTATATTTTGGCATATTCATGATAAACAAAACATAAAGGCATAATTCATCATTCAAATAAAATATGTCTATGAAAATTACTAATATTCTAACGTAGATCATACACAAATCAAGAGAAAAATGCTTCAGAAATTACATATGCCATAATTCTTTATTTACATGTTGGGTAAATATTCTAATATTTTGTTGTTGCTGTTGCTGTTGCTGTTGCTGTTATATTATTCAATTTGCAAATACAATCATCTGACACGAGACAAGATTGTCTTTTCATGAATTTAAAACAGAAAAAAGCGAACAATCATGGATGACTAAGATACGTTAAGAATGAAACGAGTGCATCCATGATAATACTCTACTAACTGACTACATAGTAGTTAGTTATTTAAAAGCTACAGAATCAGAAAGATAAGCATAAATTATAAACAGGTGCTATCCAGTAGAAACAACTTTTCTTGATTTCTGTTTCACGTTCCCGTGTGACTTAAATTAGAAATAATTCAAATTATCATCGCTGGTAAAACAAATCACCTCCTTTTTATGCTGCGAAACCTCTGTGTTCATGAGAAAACTCCTTCAATTATCAATGAAGCAATTAAAACAAAAATACTAGAACACCAAAATAATATCGATGGCATGAAATGAAAATAATCAAGAAAAGCAGATAATGATAATATTATATTATATTACGAGGCATTCTGAGTAGCAGTCTTTTTGCAAATAATGATTGAATTAAAATGTGATACTGAATAAATATTTGTTTAATTTTTCTTACAATTGACGCAAAAATCTTTCGAAAACTGTAGAAATTTCTTTTCCCAGTGCTCACGGAGAACACAGCTGACACAACTCGTTGTCACAGGACACTTCTCTGTTAACTAAGTTATTACAGGAGAGTAGAGACATCAATATTTTCTTTAGTACTTTTTGTTTTTGAACTTTCTATATTACAACTAATAACAATTCAAAAGAAATTGCTGTTCGATGAGTATATTCTTCTAGCATTAATTGATAGAATATTTCTGCAATTAAAAGAATTAATAACATGTTCATTTAGCTTTTTTATCAGCTTGCTTTAAGGATCATAAAAACTGTTTGCCTCTATAGATGCCTTACTTGTTTAAAGCTGAATCGCTTAAATTACGAATCTACAACATTGGATAGGACAAGAGTAAGATAATTTTCATCTAATAGGGTACGATAAAAGTTTACATTGCTGATCTGTACTGTTTTTTTTATCGCTAGACAAATGCTTTTATTTCAAGTCTTTCACGGTATCACAAACGTCAACATCATTCTTTTATTTTATTTCTATTCAGTATTATACATTTGATTACACATCTGGCTATCATCCATTAGATATATTTCCTTTTTTTTCTTGCCACTTTAAATTTTAGACAGACAAATGCAACAAATAGCTACCCTTTTTTACAATACGTTTAAATAGTTCTCTGTTTCTTATGCGCATTCTTGATTTTTTTTCTAGATAGAACAATGCCAGTACTGAATCAAGTTCAAATAATAAACAAAATGCACAGAAGATTGCAGAATAAAACAAAATGAAATGAACTCCATAGATATGAAATAAAAAGCGAAGATGTTCAATTAGCTTTAGTGCATTTTAGTTTTTTTTTCTCAATAAGAAGTTATAATGAGTTATAGAGAAACAAAAAAAAACAGAACAAAATGAAACGACAAGCACGATGTAAGCGGAAATAAATTGGAGCGAAAATGTGGGATAAATATATGTTGATGTTATTTAATTTTCCTTTTGTACAGTCTCACACAGAAAAAAAAGAAATCAAACGCATACGTTGAAGTATGTCAAGAATAGTATAACAAATTGTTCAAAATTTTTAATCAAAGCTGCTCAAAAGATAGTTAGCTGCCAATTCTTCATTGCGATCACAAGCAAGAAATGCTTCAATAACACGGTTTCGTTCAAAACCCATATCTTGTAACTAAAACAAAATAAAATGATTGTAATAGAAATCTTATTGCGCATAGTAACGAACTCTGTTAATTGCTTGTTGATCTTGAGCTGAAAGTGTTATTGTAACTGTTCCTGGTGGACCTTGACCTCCAGCACCGCCACCAACACCACCTTGCAATGGATCATCGTCATCACCGCCATCATCACCTTCATCAGCTTGATTTAATAATTCAAGAAATTCTTGTGGCTGCTGTTCAATCAACTATTTATTCAATAGATTAAATAAGAATATAACTTTTAATTAAACATATGACTTTACTCGATAAAGATCCGGTTGAGTAGCTTGTAATGTTTGCAAAAGCGTTTGAAGTTGCTCAGGGTTCTGTTGAATTAAATTACGTAATGCTTGAAATTGTGGACTTTGACTCAATTGAGATAAATCTTCAACTAGAAAAAATTTGCATTCATTAAATAAAAATATTTATTCCTATATAAATTCAGTCCTGTTGACATCATTAAAAATGAAGGACAAAAAAAAATGTCTCTCTATCTAATTGAGTAAGTTAAAAGCTGTACAATGTTTTATTGCATAAATCTCTTATTAGAATGGATTACATTTAAGAATAAGATTACTTCCATATTAAAAAATTCATAGTAAGTACTAACATTGATGTATGAAGCTTTTTTCAATTTCGATGTACGTTAAGGATGTGTATACTTTTGCAGTGTGTTTTTAAAAAGCTACGATCGAAAAAAGTCAAAAAACAATTACCTCCAGCAGGTCTTCTACCACCAGTTGAGCTTTCTGAACCAGTAGGTGTTTGTCCTGACTCACCTCCTTGACTTGATGCTGGTGCTTCAGTAAAACTAGGAATGGTACCCTAAATTAAATTAAATAAAAATACAATCAATGTTAGACTATTTTTCCGTTTACTGTAATTAAATATTCGGCAGCACGTTCAACATGATAAAAACTTGCACGCAATGCTAATTCAGCTTGTCCACGATCAAAACCCATATCTGTCAATTCACGTAAAGCTTTTTCGCGTGCTTCAGCTGATAGAAATGTATCTTGAGAAGCAACCGCAGGGTTATCCGTTGGAGTTGGTCGAGGTTGTTGTGGAACCGAACTTGGAGCTGGTGGTGCAGCAGCAGCTGGTATATTTTGTGGGCTAGAAGAAAATTTACTCGGTAAAAACTTTTTTTTTCACAAGTTTTAAACCAACCTAACAGATGAAGGAACATTGCTTGGCAAATTAGTTGCACCTGTTGCCACCTTTAAAAAAAGAAGAAGAAATACGAAGTTAATTATTTGATCAGACTTTTCAAAGTGACTCACTGTTGGAGCTTTTGGTGCGGCTTGTTTAACAACAACAAGAAAACTATCTTGATTTATGGAATAAGATTCAAGTGTTTTCGAGTCTTCAAGGATTTTCCCAGAGAAGATTAATTTTACTCCATCGACTTCATATTTATCCTTGAGATCTTTTGCTGCTATTTTTTCTTTAATTGTTCTTACCTAAGAAAGGTCAAAGAAAAAGATAAATAATTACTTAAAAGTTATGCTAAAAATAAATACCGTATCAGATAATTCACATTCAATAGTAAATTTTTCATTCGACAATGTCTTTATTTGAAGTTGCATTTTTGATTTATAATCAATACTAAATACGTAAATGGGAGATCGATGTTTACAGTAAACTATGCTCTAGAAGGAAATAATGCGTATACGCTGATGAAATAACGTCCAAACAAGAAGGATTCTACGGATCAACACTACACAGAAAAAAAAACAACAATCATAGATCACTGAAAAGAATCCATGTTTTTTTCTTCTACAGTACATAATCTATTAGTATCTAACGTGCATATAAATATGAATCATTTATATATGCACTTTTGCAGTTCACTAGTCATGTAGTAGAAAATAAAAAATAATGATTTTCCAATAGAACTATATTAAATTATTAATTCAATTCACCTATCAATATTTTATTTGTTTAATTTATATTACTGACAAATGATGGCGCTATATTACAATGACACACAGGAGTACTTACATCAGTATACAATTGAAGGAGTATAATGATTATTGTTTGATAGCTTCTATAGGTTAGCAATCCAACTGAATATGAAATAGTTCGAACTACCTACGAAAAAAATTTCATCAGTAAACATTCATAGGTTCATAATACACGTCCTATATTGACAATTGCGATGCTCAAACAATATTAAGATGCCACTTACAAATAGCAACACAAATACACATTCCTGAATGCAATGTTCAAATGATAAACATTCATTTAACTGCACACAAGGAAAGAACATTACTACTAAGAACCATAGAACTTTACATTTCTTAAAACGAAAAAAAAATCGGTCTTTCCCGCTCCTACTACTGAGAATAAAACCGAATTGAGATGGAATAATACTTTATAGTTTCTTTAAAGATCCTCGACGAAAGACAGAATCCCTGATGAAATACATTATACTTAGTTAAACACAATTATTATTATTATTCTCCTCTTTTCTTCAAGTGTTTTGACCGAAAAGTGTTATTCTTAAATTATATATGTATAAACATAAGATGTCGCTTAACGTCAATTTTTAGTGATTACTTAGATACTTTCATAATATATAAATTCTTGTAAATGACTAATAAAGTGAATATTGCACATAGATAAATTTATGAACAAGTATCAATGCATAAGTGAATAAAGTGTTTGTAAATAATCTCATGACTCAGAGTAATATGGAACACGATGAGTATGTTGATCTACACATTTGTTTATTCTTTTCATATGTGGAAATTCATTCTCCGAAATATTATTTAACAGATTATAAAAAAAAATATATTCGAATAATTTCATTAGTTTTATAAAATGAATATAAAAAATAGCTCTCATTCCACAAAAATCGATTTTCTAGAGGGTGCTACATTCTATGGGATACGTGAAACAAAGACCTCATATTTTCAACCAATAGAGATTTTACAATACAAACACATATGATGGATGGTTATTTAAATTGTTGAATGACTCTGTTCTCTTCGTCGTTTGATGTAGATGGAACATTCGATTGTATATTAGTTTAGAAAAAATGAATGAAGAAAAAGAAGATCCTATCTTGGCTGCTCCAACTCTTGTCAAAGAGGAGTCAACACTAATGGATGCGCATGATGGTGACACGACTTCAAATAATGTTGATTCCACATCGGATGATAAGGAAAAAAATCGTCTCAAGTATGATCAGCGTCGTATCAGTTTATTAAACAATCCAAATTATGGTGTCATATTATGTTTTTTGGATAAATTTCGTTCACATGTTGATCTACAAGATTATCCGTTACATTTATTGGAAGAAAATCTTCTAAGCGACGAAGAAAATAGTATGAAAAAATATTTTGCATTTTGTTTTCATTTTTACTTTCTATTCATTTATTATAGTAAGTCGCCGTTTAATTGACTTTCATATCACTCTATTAAAACGAATAGCATTAGGCAAAGGTGCCCAGCGAGATAAATTTGTTCCGGTCATTACTAAAGTATGATTGAAATAATTAGTATGTTTTTTTTTAAAGAAAATTTGTTATGTTTAGTTTGCATATCGTTTTGATTATGATGATGGCGAATATTTAAAAGCCAATGGCTATTCACAAGCAGAGATTGATATTAAAGGCCGTATTTTGAAAGTATTTCAAATTAAAAAAAAAAAAAGATATAAAAAACATAAAACTATAACAAATGTTATGGAAAGATAGACGAGTGGTAACATATCGGACAATTAGAAATTCCTTAATTCGCTGGTAATATACGTGTCGTGCTTGCACGTTTCACAGACAGGACTCAATTATAACTGTTGGAGCAATAAACATGTTCGAAAACGATACAAGTTCATTTAATTAGTGAAATGATGAATAATAATTTCAAATTCGTTGAGATATAAGCACTCGATAATATGCAAAAAACGTTATTTTTTACGGCATTCGATTTGGCAGAAAAAAACAATCATAATCTCACATTATAGGTCATGAAAGTATTAAGAACTAGCGCCCTGTAACTTTACAATAGGTATATGCATTGTTACTCTGTCATATCGTATTTTGATTGAGATATCGAAAAATTCTTCATCTCAATATACATGACTGCATTTTTATGATGTCATGAATGAAAGTTAGCTTTATGCATGTGTATATATTTGATAGTGTTGTTCATTGCTATTAATAAGTAATATTCATTTTTTTATTTTATTGTTAAATTTAATTATTGAAAACAATAAGTCTAACATTACTTTGTCTTGACGAAAAAAGTATCGAAGATAGTTATCGATTTATTTAGAATTTATTGGAAACACAATTTGACTATAATCAAGGATTTAAAGCAGCTTTAATCGAAAAACAAGCTTTCGACGTTCGTTCACAACCTTTTGGTCGCGATCGTTCTGGTGCATCGTATTGGTTATTTCTGGTAAAAGCATGTTTTTTTATTTTGATTACACATATAAAGATACAAATATTTGAATTTTGATAGGACAACGAATGCTTCATACGTTTATTTCGAGAAACTATCGACGATGAAAGAAACTGGACTAATGTTGCAAAGTTAGTTTATTTTGTTATATACAATAGCTAATAAGTAAATGTAACTATTTTTCAGAGACAACGATGAATTAGAAAGTATCATCAGACTACTTATTACTGATTATGTCGTACGAAAAAAATTTCCCGGTAAAGCTTGTTCTCTCTATTTCAATTAAGATTCTTATTTACAAGTGATATTTCTAGATTGGAAATTTACTCATGAGCCTCTAAATTCCTTGGAACAATCTCATGAATTTGAACAACGTTATGCAGTAAAATTTGTTAATGTAAAAACGGAATCCGAACTAGAAATTAAACCCAGTAGTCCATCGCTATTATCACCAGGTAGAGTACTTTTCATGCTTAATGAAAAAATGTTTACGTTTCTATTAGCAGAGCCAATCAAAAATAAATGTAATTCAATAATTAAGTCTAAAAAGTCACTATCAAAAGCATTAATTAAAAATGAAGTACAATCGCACGGAGAATCATCAAATTCCCTCGACAAAAATGGCGAACGATCACGTGTTGTTTCATCAGAAGATACAAATCCAATGGAGTTAGCTCGAGAAATAAATAATAATCAAGAAGATAAAGAACTCAAAAGTCCGACGAAAAAATCTCGTGGAAGACGAAAATCTTCAAATTGGAATAAGAAGAAACGACGTACAATGTCAAACACTTCTAAGAAGGATGAACCTGAGCCAGAAATTCAAACATCAAAAACACCAATGAAAGGAAGAAAACGAAAACAATTGGTGGTAGATGCAAATGAAATAGAAGATACGAAAAGAAAGGAAGAAACTAGTCAGGATAAAGATACAACTCAAATTCTATTGGATGATGAATTGAATATTAATGAAGATTTACCTATTGCACTACGTAGATCAAGACGTGCTCGTAAAGTGCCCATCAATGAACTTCCTTCCAGTGCATCTAGCCCAACGAAATCAGTTTCACACGTAAGAATAAAGTCTTTAATAAATATTGACAATGCACGACACAGAAATTGGTCGTGAGACAGAACATTTAAAAAAGATTGCCTATCAGTTACTAAAAAAAATTGAAATCTTTTCTTTTTTATGCTATCCTCCAGACTTATTTCTCACTCGATGATGAAGATACCATCATTCATAAATGTGATTTTAAAGTAGTACAAGTGAGATCACGAACCAAGGAGAAAATCCTTTTTTTCACAGTACTTTGATTTGAAGATGATTCATAATTGAAATTGAATGACTACGTTGTTAATCACTTATTTGAGAGGTAATACTTCCAAAATTCGATACCAGTTATGATCGATTAGTTGAAAATATATCCAATAAAAATGACTTGTTTCGTATCATCTGTTCGATAGAATGTCACCTGTATTGTAAACTGCGTCGGCCTTTGTAGTGAGTATTGGATCTATTTTGTCAGGTGGAGCATTAGGTTCAAACTACAGCTATTGGAAGCTGTAAGAAGAGTATTGAATTATGGGATTCACTAAGTGAGAAGAAAGTACCCTAGCTTTACAAATAAATGCAAATGGTGAAAAATCCACACATCTATCGTTGAGAGTCACTGATACATTTAGGATTAATGCAATATACTTAATTAAGATCCACGCAGCATCTATTTCAAATTTTTTTAAAATAATGACGAAGACGATGGGCGTTATCTGTAATTATCAAGAGCGAAGATGATTTTTTTCATATTCATAAATTGATTACAAATTTTCGCTGATTTAAAAGAAAAACAAATCAATAACACGCTGATTAAATTATTTAGATTCCAACGAAGAAGAAATTAATGAATGAAAAACTAAAAAGTACTAGTCAAACGACTGTGAAAGTATCATCTAAATCTAAACGTCATCGTAAGCGTGGTCGCCGTCGTGGCAATGGTAAATCATCAGTGAATGGATGTTCATCAAGTGATGAAGATAATCAACCATCAGAAGAGGAAGAAGATGAATATGATACCGATGATTATCTTCCAGACAAAACGCAAATTGATGAATTAAATGATAATGATTTATTGGAACAAGAAGAAGAAGATGACGATGAATTTGTTCCACGTCGTTCAGCTAAAACTGTTGCTAAACGTCATGTACAAATGAATGAAAATAATATTGAAGCATCATCAAGTTCATGTTGTGTTTGTTCAAAAACTGATCGACCAGAATCATTGTTATTATGTGATGATTGCGATGATGCATATCATTTGGAATGTCTTCAACCAATATTATTAGCTGTACCAGACGGTGATTGGTATTGTCCATTATGTGAACATAAACGTTTATGTGATAATTTAGTTGAAAAATTAATTCAACTTATCAAAGAACATGAAGAACTTGAAATCAAGCGTACTCAATGTATGTCAAAACGTAGTAATCGTTTAGCTAATGTTATGCTAAATCTTGACCGAATGGTCAAACGATCATCAAAAAAACGACGACCAAATGGTATTGTTTATAGCGATGAAGAAAATGAAGATGAAGATAATAAATCGGAAAACGAAGAAGAAGATGAAAATAATGACGATGATGATGATGATGATAGCGTTTATGGCTTTAAAGATGATGGAAGCATAGACGATGCAGAGAAACAAAAAATTCGAAGAGATACTGAAGAAATGAACTCATCTGATAGACTTGGTGTTCGATCATGCCGTAGAAAACCACAAAATTATCGTTTCGATGATTATGATAAGAAAATGAAAGAAGCTATGATCGAAGCTGGAGTTAATGGTGATGAAATTGATAAAGATTCAGGTATTTCAAAGAGTTTGTCAGTAGATTTGTGTAGACCTTTTCTGGGAATATTCTTTATAATATGTATGAAAACTTTATCATCAATACATTTACAACGATAATCATCCGTTTGAGAATGAGCACCACTTTTGAAAGTTAGTAAAAATCTTTGTTTTTCAGACATCTACACACTTCGGCTGAAATCTACCATCAGACGTACGACGTTACGGAGATACCAAGTTTTTGAGCTGGAAGATTACAAAAATTCAGGCTTTCATTCAGAAGATGTTGCTTTTTATAAGTTCTTTAATATATGTCAGTACTGTATATTCGAAATTTCAAAACATTTTGCATTTTTAGCAAAGCGGATATGATTTTATATTAGTGAATACAGATAAAAATGTTATCATCCGTTTTATGAAGGCGTGAGATGAGTTTACGTTCTCAGTGAAAATCAGCACAACTAACATTCTGTAGATCAATTCGATAGATCTGAAAAGGTGACTTTCAACTCCAAATAACATCGCCGATTTTTAGATTGGTCGTGATGTGTTGCGTAACTATTTTCAACGAAAATCTTGGAAAGCGCATTCAGAAAAAGAAACATGTTATCATAGTTTCTGATGCATAAATTTTAGTTATCGAATTAATAGAAATGAATATATTTATCTTTAGATGAATCAGATAAAGGAGACAAGACTACATCAACAAAAAAACGTGGTGCTTATAATAAAGATGATGATTTCGATATATCGGATAGGAAAAAAGATGATGATGAATTTGCACCTGATCCAAACCGGTATGTGATCTTTTTTTTTGGTCAACACTAAATTTACTCATATTTTTATTAAAGATCGGACGATAGTGCCACAGAAGAAGAAGAAGAAGAAGAAGACTATGATGAGGATGACACAAGTGATGATGATGATGGCTGGAAAAGTAAACGCCGATCATCACCCAAAAAGAAATCTAAATCAAAGTAAAAATCTGAATTTTCTACCGAAAATAACTTTTTTTCTCTTTATTTTCCAATTAGATCTAATCGTAATAGTCGTAAATCAAAAAAGAAATCCGATGATGATGAATCTCGTACGTAGAATTGTTACTATTTATTTTATATTTATTGCTTGAATTGATTTAGTTTCGGAGACTGAATTAAACCATTTTCAGACCATGGATACAACCAAGTCTGATACAATGAATGATGATGATTTAAATGAAACTAATGATGATCGACGACGATCAACTCGAACAGCAGCACAAAAACGTTATTCTAAACAACAAGATGATGATAATAGTGAGGAAGACGATGATGAAGATTTGTTTGAAAATGGTCGTCCACCACCAAGACGAATGCGTTACAAGAAACGGCATGGCAGTGATGATTCATTTGTCGATGACGATGATGATTATGAAAAATTAGCACGTAAACGTAAAATAGTTAAATATGGTAAATCAATATCACGATCGAGTATTACTGATCATATTAAAAAATTAGTTGACGAAGAAAGTCAACCAAGCGAAGAAAAAGTTTCAGGTAAAATTGTTTGCTTTGTATTGATAATGATAAATTAGTTATTTAAAAATAGCTTCAGCGTCACAAGATGGAACAAAAGAAGAAATAAATGATACTCCTAAGCAACAGAATAAAGTACCATCGACAGATTATGAAGAACCACAACAATCAGATGATGATGATTTTCCAGATGAACAAGAGATTTTCAAAGCAAACGGTTTACTAAAGTTACAGAATAATTTAAGTGGACCTGTGAGTTATCAATATCGGTGGCATTAATTTTTACTATCGCTTTTCCAACGTCTCACTATGTTTTTTTGCATTCATCGAACTGCAAAAGGAAGTTCCCCTAGTTTTTCTCACTTTATCAGTCCTTGGACAAGGACTGAGAAATAGGAATTCCTAATGTGTCGAGGAATTGTCAGTACCGCTGTGATAATGCCTAGAGAAAATAGGAATCAACTATAAGTTCCCTCACAGTTCCACCATTCACGAAAGTTGCGATATTGCTGTTTTAAAAATAAGTTTTGCATGAAATCATTGGTTCTCACAATGTTTCAAGTGACAATGAGTGTAAGAACAAAAATTATCGTGAATATTCCATATTTTTTCCTTTAGTATGCGAGGAACTGTAGGGCGACTGATGAGGAATTCCTAATCCTCAGTCCTTGGACACCCCTCTATATCTGCCGTGAGAATTTTCCAAAGAAATTATTACTTATATTTGTATTATAATTAGAAACCTGCTGCTTTTCGGCCGCCATTCATGGCTCCAACACATTCGTATCAACATGCGATTGTTGATCCAACAGCACGTTTTGCAATGATTCGCCCATCAGTCAGACCAGCCACAAATATTGTTTATTCATCAAATGGAATTGCTAATAACCTAGGTGAAAGTCAACAGCCGAGTGATTCAAATCCAGTCAATGGCCATATCAGCCCATCATGGCGATGATAAATGAAAACGACCAGTTTATTAAAAGAACTTCCATCAATAAAAATCAATTTTTTGAAATGATCTTTCTTTTTCTCATTAATGTATATGATCGTTTTTCTTTTCTTTTCTTTTGTGTTGTTGTCAATACTAAATGTGATTTCACAAACGCATTTAGCAAGCAAAAGTAGTTTTTTCGTTTTCTCATTTTGTCTCTGCCAATATGTATTGTACTATTATTATAAAAATGGCATATGTGTTGCCACAATTAGCTACTCAGTTTGTTGTTGCGCATGCTTGTATATTGTTCTTTTTTTCTTTTTGGTCAGCCAAAAACCGTAACACATTAATAGAAAAGAAATGTTTTTGTCAATAATGATGGTAGTTTTTTTGTGTTTTTTCTTTTCTGCTAATATTCTAGATAATGGTCAGACAAGAATGAACTGTCAAAAAGTTTCGTTAATCTTTGCTTTATTTATTATTGGTTGTAATGGAGTTAAAGATAAATTTGTTTCCATTACACTTGACGCAAAATGGTTTGACACACCACTTCATCAAGAAGCAAGGTACAAATATATATATATATATATATATATATATAAAGAGGAATTAAACTAATAAAATCAATTATTTTCTTTTCGTAGTGAATTTCTTGCGACACAAAATCGGCAATATTTTTGGTCATTAATTAATGATGTTCGCTCATTTGATTCATTTACACCAATTGCACGTACGACACTAAAATTTCCGTTGAGTCTTTATTTGTTTCATGTTATTTTTGTTTGTATTCTAGTTGGATCAGTTCAAAATTATCATGATCAATTGTTATCATTCGGTAGTCAATATTTAAATTCAATAACAAATAGTTTATTACGTATGGCACTTGCTCTTCGATTTTATTCACCAACTGTTCAAATGATGCGTAAAATGGCTCATGATACTGGTATGACACGTCAATGTTTAACATTTGTTGATATACATGGTGTATATACTTGCAATGTGGATGATATTGACAAGCTTATTGAATCGGCAAATGAACGGTGAGTTTGCAATTTTGTTCTAAAATATGAAACGGGTAAAAAAGAGATTTATATTCTTGTTTTACTTCGAATAACTATGACCGCAAATATTCGAGATACCTATCGTCACTTTTTTTTACTTGTTTACTAATAAAGAAGAGTATGAAACCATTATGTAAGATACGTTGATGTTATAAATAACGGTGCTTTTTCATATCGATCTTATTCAAGTAGAGTTGTGTTATAAAATAAAGTATTCAACCATCGAATTAATCTATTTCAGTTTAAAATACAAATACACAAAAATGGATTTTTTTCCCCGTAAAATGAGAAGCTTTACTTGTAATATCTAATAATCAGTATAAATAATAAACAGTATTAGGTTCACTATCGATTTTTTTCTGTGAAAATTTTGAATTCATTTGTGAATGACCTAAGTGAGACGAACTAATAGATTCTATTGAAAACGCCTACAAAATGCGATTCATCTCAATGATATTGCTATATTACAAGATGCTAAACAGTGATAGAACCCGTGCTTTTTAATTACAAAAATATATGAATTGCTTTTTGTTTGTTCATTAGATCGAAATTTTTACTACCACTTGATCATCATCATCCAAGTAGCGTTGCTGAACAGAACTCACTTGTTACAGTCATTCTCTATGGCGATTTTGGTGATCAGTATGAATTTAAACCATTTCACAGTAAACTTATTCAATTATCACTCGATGGCAAAATTGATTATGTGCTTCGTCATAATAGTAGAGTAAGTTAATTGTCAAAAAAGAACAGAAAAATAATTCTTTCTTATTGTAATTTTTAGCCGTATGGGGAAGAACGACGTAAAGTTCGTTTAGCTGGTTACGGTGTTGAATTACAAATAAAAAGTACTGAATATAAAGCAACAGATGATTCAAAAGTAAGTATTTATTGTGGAAACCGAGAATACACAAGATTAGAATACTAGAGACTTTGAAGATCAATGCCATAGGAGAAATTTCTACCGCATTTATCTTGATAGAGATTTTCAACATAGCTACATCAAGCATTAGAGTGGATGTTATTTTTTCGTTCATAATTTTAGATTCGTGACGATCAATTGAATGAAACAGCTTCACAACTCGGTGATGAAAAGCAAGAAGAACAAACTCATGGTTTTGTATTTTCAAAACTTAAAGGTATGACAGTAGAATTATATTTTTAGTTTCTCATGTTATTTATCCTTCTTTTCGTTTCTCTACAGAACTTCATCCGAATAAAAAAAGCGAACTAAATGATTTTCGTACATATCTTCTTGATGGTTCAGATCCAATGACACCACTTAAAGCATGGCAAATGCAAGATCTGAGTCTACAATGTGCATATCGTGCTTTAAGCGAAAAAACTCCAGAAGAAGCTTTTAATACATTAGTTGAATTATCGCAAAATTTCCCATCTCGTGCTAGGTAAAACTAAAAGAATAATGAAAGATTTTTTTCATGTTTGTTCAACTCACATCTAATTTTCTAAGAAATATAGTGAATGCCATTTTCGAGTCCAAATTTTCTTGTTTACTCTTTTGTGTCTTAGTAGAACAAAAATATTCAAAGGTCAACCAATACATTTTATTCAGCAACCCTTTTGTGTCGCATAGTTAAATGACTCTGCTATGATATATACCTACTCTGCTAGTTACTTTAATGTGTACACGGATAGGTAAAAGTTCAACTGACTTTCTATCCAGACCGACAAAACTACTCGTCATTGTATGGTAGATATTGAACTATTGAGTCTACGATTAGACAACGTTCCATTGCATAAAAATAGTATATCATTGAAATGTCATCAATCTGAAATTTAAAATAAATAATTTAGAATATTTTTCTAACGATCGATTATCTTTGAAAAACAAACAGTCTTTTCGAGATATTTAGTATTCTGTATTAATAAAATAAGACGAACGTATAAACGTGATTTTTACATTTCTATCCATAATTGTATCTGTTAACAAATTCTACTATGTGTTTATCTATTTTAGGGTTTTATCAAAAGTTAAAGTTGATTCGTCATTTCGTGAATCTAATAAAGTTAATCAAGAAGAATTTCGGTCACATATGGAAATCGAATCGGGTAATTCAGCATTATATATTAATTCAGTTCAACAATCATTAGATACAATTGATTTATATGTTTTATTAAATGCATTATTAAATGAAGGACAAATGATGGAACGTTTACATTTAATTGGTTTAAATAAATCTCATACAAGACAATTATTAACAAGTGAATTAAATATTCAAACTATAAGTTATATACTTGATTTTCGTCATCCATCAATATTTTGGTTAAATGATCTTGAAAAAGATAGTCAATATACAAAATGGCCATCGAGTTATTACGATTTATTACGAAATAATTTCTTTGGTGGTCTTCGTACAATACGTAAAAATCTCTATAATCTTGTTATTATTATTGATCCATCACAAATCGATACGTCTTATGATTTAATGAAAAATGTTGAAGCTTACTTTGTTCATGAATTGCCTATACGCATCGGCTTGGTATTTTTAACAACAAATGAATATAGTATAAACGTCTATCGAGCATTTCGATATTTAATAAAATATAATGGAAATCCAAAACGTGCATTAACATTTATTAATGAATTGTATAGAACTGCAAGTACTGATGTTCAACAAACATTTTCTAAAGTTGCAAAATATTCTGGCAGTTTATCATCAATATTCGATGAAACAAATCCATTTGAAAACGAACGTCTTGAAATGAATTCATATTTTGAACAAAGTGGTTTATCACGTGGTGTACCACATGTTTTATTTAATGGTAATCCATTAACATCAGATGAATTGTTACCAACAACATTTGATGATGTTATAACAACGCGTATGTTAAAAATGCAATTTGATATTCAACAACAAGTTTATCATGGTCAATTAAAAGATTCAGATGATATTATTGAAATATTAAATACAAAACCAAATGTTGTTAAACGTTTAAATCAACGTATATTTGGACAAACACCATCAATGCCAACAGTTTATGTCGATTTATCCATGATAAATGGTCAAACAGAAGATTTGTTAGATGCTAAGAAATTTCAAACATTATCTGTACGAGAACAAGCTGGCGTTATTATGGCTAGTATGATTTATTTAGGAAAAAAAGATGAATTAGGTCAACCACTTTATCCAATTACATTATGGATTGCTTGTGATCTTGATCGACCTGATGGACGACAATTATTTCTTAATGCTTTAACATATTTAAAAAGTCATACACATGCAAGATTAGGTTTAGTGGTAAGCTTTCTTTAACATTATATTGATAAAAGCTGGGGAAAAGCTTAAGTCTTTTTTTCCTGTTTTCAAGTTCTATTCATTTTGATATAAAGTTTTCCTTAAAGGAACAGTAAATATAAAGTGGCACCAATCGTTTTTTGTTTCAATTTTAAAAGCTTGATGGTGACGGATCCACAGATGCACTACTACGAGTACTACTATTATACAAGCCCACACGTAGTTAATTATCAATAGCAAGATATCATAACCATAATTGCTAGTACTAGTACATTTCTAAATGGGACTAAGTTATAACTTCTATGAGAGAATTTTCAAGTAGAAACAAAGTTTTGTGTTCATCTCAAAAGAAATATTATTCAACAAAAAATGATATATTGCAATCTTATTTAGGCTTCATTCGATGCTGAATCTCGTACTGGCAGTCATCCAATAACAAAAGCTGTTTACTCAGCTATTCGTCTACTATCACCACCCATAGCTCGTACATTTATTTTTAAATTACTCAAAGATGAAAATGTTATCGAAGATTTGTTAGCTCACCGTAAATCTTGGTCTGATGTTACAGTTAGTGGCCTTAGTGGTCAAACACTTGAACATGAAATAGCAACATTTGATGATAATATATTTCGATCTCATTCAATATTTGTTGAACAAGGTCTTATTTTGCCGCGTGGTTCACGATTAGTTTTAGTTAATGGGCGTATATTAGGTCCATTATATGGTCAAGAGCAATTTACTGAAGATGATTTTATTCTTCTCGATAAGCATTTATCGACAACAATAAATGATCGTCTTATCCGTATAGTAAATAAATTAGAAATATCAAGTCATCCATCTCAATTATCTGATCTTCTTATGCGTATATCATCCATAATAAGTCAAAATGATAAAAGTTCTTCACCGGTAACACGTCGACAAACACCACGTATATCATCGGCATCAAAAGCTACTCTCCATCTGCCAGCACAACATGAAAATGAACCAGCATTTTTAATTGAAGCTATTATTGAACCAGCATCACGTGATGGACAACGTTTATTATCTCTATTATCAGCTTTACGTCAATCGATAAATCATGATCTTATTATTTATTTTAATTGTAAATTACAATTATCTGAAATGCCATTAAAAAGTTTTTATCGTTATGTTTATGATATTAATTTACAAAAAATGCCAAGTGCTGTGTTTCATCATGTACCTGAAACGCCTATACTAACATTAGGTATGGTTACACCTGAATCATGGATGGTTGAAGCTGTCGAATCACTTTATGATCTGGATAATATACATTTAGAAGACGTACCAATTGGTGTTAATGCTAATTTTGAATTGCAATATTTATTAATTGAAGGGCAATGTTTTGATGAAACACAAAATTATCCTCGAGGCTTACAATTAATTTTAGGTACCAATAAAACGAAAAATATTTTCGATACAATTGTTATGGCTAATCTTGGTTATTTTCAATTAAAAGCATATCCAGGTTTATGGCATTTAAATTTACGCGAAGGACGCTCTGATGATATATATACAATAGCATCCCATGATAATACAGATTCACCGACACGCACTAGTCAACCAGTTCTTATTGCAATACGTTCATTTGATGCCCGCTGGATTAAAGTTTATGTTGCAAGACAAGCAGGAAAAGAAAACGAAAAATTACTTGAAGATTCATCAGATGAATCTCCACCAAATTCTGGTAGTATATGGGATTCATTTAGTTTCAGTGGTAGCTCATCCTCATCCTCATCATCAGCGGCAGCAACTAAAGTAGATGACGTTACAGATGATACTATTAATATATTCTCTGTTGCTAGTGGCCATCTCTATGAACGATTATTACGTATAATGATGATAAGTGTACTTAAAAATACGAAAAAACCAGTTAAATTTTGGTTTTTAAAAAATTTTCTTTCGCCATCATTTACAAGCTTTTTACCTTACTATGCTGAACATTATAATTTTACATATGAACTTGTACACTATAAATGGCCCAAATGGTTAACTGTTTATCCAACGGAAAAACAACGTGTTATATGGGGTTATAAAATACTTTTTCTCGATGTTTTATTTCCATTGGATTTGAAAAAAGTCATTTTCGTTGATGCAGACCAAATTGTTCGTGCTGATATGGCTGAATTACGTGATCTTGATTTACATGGTATTGACCTTTCATTAGTTTTTGATTGTCTTTAAAACTAAAGCAACGAAAGGATAGAAGTTATATTTTAACTTGAATAGTAATTTTCCTAAATAACTATTTTAATCATATTGAACGGTTGATTGAAATAGAAGAAAGATACTAATTTATATAGAATTTTATATTTTCAAAGCAGCTGATAGCATATAGTAATCCGAGCTGTTCACTGTCAGATGATGATTATTATTATTGACCTATCGATAAGTATAATTTTTTTGACTGTATTATCAATCAACAGTTTGATTGATGTTCATGAAGAAAATATTATTTTTTTAAGTTTTCAATTATTATTTAGAAAATATATAACAGCTCTTTTGTTTTACTTATAGGAGCTCCATATGGTTATGTACCATTCTGTGAAAATCGTCGTGAAATGGATGGCTATCGATTTTGGAAAAGTGGTTATTGGGCAAGTCATTTAGGCCATCGTCGTTATCATATATCGGCACTTTATGTTATTGATTTGAAAAAATTCCGTAAGATAGCTGCTGGTGATCGTCTTCGTGGTCAATATTATGGTTTAAGTCAAGATCCAAATTCATTATCTAATCTTGATCAAGATTTACCAAATAATATGATACATCAGGTTAATATTTATTCGTTACCTGAAGAATGGCTTTGGTGTGAAACATGGTGTGATGACGAATCGAAAAAACGTGCGAAAACAATTGATCTTTGCAATAATCCACAAACAAAAGAGCCAAAGTTAAAAGCAGCTACACGTATTATAGCTGAATGGGCTGATTATGATCAGGAAATAAAAACATTAATGGCTCAATGGGAAGAAGAAGATAAACCAAATTTATCATTATCAAAATCAACAACGAATAAAATGCCTGTTGATAATGATGATCCAACTATTTCAATCAATACCCATGATCCTACCGAGTTATGATAAACTAATGTTGACGTTATGCTTCTTCTACAACACATTCCTTTGAGATTTCGTTTTGGTTTTTCTTATTGCTTATGCTTTATTGTTTCGTCCTCATTCTGTTTTTCTCTTTGACTATCTATCTCTTGTTATTGAGCTATTTGTTATAGTGAGTGGTTCTTATTTTTAATATATTTTTTTTGTTTCTTTGTTTGTTTACGATTTCGATTATTAGGAAAGAAACGAAAGGGGACAGACTTGATTTCGTATAAAAATATCAATAACATTTATACATAGTATGAGTTTAGCATGGGATATTGCAATTTTTTTTATTACAATTTTTCTAGTGGACGAATCTTAAGTAAATGTTATTAATTCACAAAGAACAAATGGGAATTCGTTAATGACTATTTTTATCGTCCAGTTTAGACTAAAATTTCGTTTGCTTGTTGATGATTGTTGCTTTGTTTTCTATTAATAAACGTATTGAGTTATTATAATTAGTCAGATTACATTAAAATATTGCAAAGAAAATCAAAACTCAAATCATATTCATAGATGCAAAGATAATTGTATGTTAACGAACCAGAATATATTCTTTCAATTAATTGTTACAAATATCCAAAGAGATCGCTAGTTTTTCTATTCATACAGAATTCAAACCAAACACAATAAGTAAAAATAAAAGCCGCACAAGATGACACTATCAACTAATAAATATATTAACAACACTCGCTTTCTTTTACTCAGAATCTTGGCATATGTTTTGGTGATATTTGTGCTCAACCATAGTGTGTGAGAGAAATGTTAGTATTGCCACTATCTTTTCATGGGCCAACGCAGATGTACACATGAGCAGAACTCTACTGTGTACATCTTATGAAACACATTTGAATTAAAACTAGATACTCTCGGCATAGCTTTCATGCTAAGAATAATTAATATACGATGATGGTTATCATCATCTTTCAGTCTCGACATGCTATTAACAGTAGGTACCAATTAACACATGTATGAACTCTGTTTGTTAACAATTTTTTCGTTAGTATCAAAAATACGATTGTGTTTTACATTTGAATATAGCATAGCATAGCTTGAGATAGAAGATCTTTTTTCCTGATTTATGGTATTTTAATAAACTGAGCATAATTATGTTATAAAAACAAACAAAAATACGTAACAGAAAATAGGCAAGGTGAAACACGGAGAACTTCGGTAATAATGGAAAGAGATATCAATATAAATAAACATCACAGTCAATATTTAATAATCCTCAGGTATAACGGGAATATTTGCCAGAACATTTTTGACCATTTCACTTTCTCCATTTGTTATGTCTACAGGTAATGACTTCATCGCTGGTGATGCTTGAATCTCATCATAGGTTGCCGGTCGCTCTGCTTGTTTTATTCTCAATCTAAATAGAATAGTATTTATTTAATAAAATAAACAAAAACGTTGGTTTATATTGTACTCATTTTCATTCATAATTATAATAAAGATCGATAGAAAAATCATCATTAAGTGTAATTTTCATTTCTATAGTATTAATAACAGATAAAAGTATTGTAGTATTCTATTTCTCTCATTTTTGAGAAGTTTAACATGTTCTTTTCGCTAAATATATTAGAAATTCTCATTTAATAGTCTTAAACTATCAAGGAAACTTTAAAACTTCGAGCCCATCGTCGATTGAATATTAATTTTGAAAAATAGCATATTTTGTATTCGAGACAATACTTTTTAGAAAAAGTTTCTTAGAAATATATGATTTATCTATGCTTAATAACTTACAAGCAAATGATGAGCTGCTGTAATTCTGTTGATAAAATTGTTGGTGGCTCTGGTATCCATGTCATAATTGCACTCATTATACCTATTGCATTCATTTTAGCGAATGGATGTTGACCAGTAGTTATTTCCAACTATGGAAATTGAAAACATACGTATGTGTTTAGAATATATGAAAACAACTATTATATTTACTGTTGAAAGACCTAATGCCCACATATCAGATCGTATACCATAACCTTCAGGTGCTTGGGCTGCATCAATCCGTTCCGGCTAAAAATTGAAATGAATAAACTTGATATTTACTCTAAAATATTTTTACATACAGCTAAATAAACTTGTGTTCCTTTCATCATTGTATGTGCAACTGAATTAGTTAATTGGCCTGATATACCAAAATCACAAATTTTAAATATAACAGGATTTTGTTTAACTAAAATATTCGATGGTTTAACATCTCGATGAAGTATTCCTTTTGATTTAAGAAATTGTAATGCATCAACAATCTACAAGATAAAGTGTTGAATATCTTCTTTTTAATATTAATCTTATCCGATTTTACATGATTTATCATGCGTTTCAGTAATATGTCAAGATGTTTTGTTTCTTTTATTTTATGCATCGTTGTATAAAATTTTTCCATTGATGTTTCACATGCTTCCATACATATCACTACTTGACTTTCTCTCTATTTTGATATATGAATAAAATTTAAAAAAGAAAGAAAATAACATCGATACCAACTTTATCAATAAGTCCAGCATAGAATCTGATGACATGTGGAAAATTACATGAACCTACTGCACGAATTGTTTTCAGATCTGTTGTAGCTGTATAATCAGCTAAATTATTGGTGCTTGGTATCAAACCTAACCGCTACATAAAAATGTTAAAATAATTCATTTTAGCTAATTTTATAAAAAAAAACATCTATTCATTAGAAAATTTTAAAAGGCATTCGAATTTTTAGATTGATGAATCAATCAAATATTTCAACCAAAATGAGTTATTTACAAAACAGCTGAAATTGAAATATTGCTCAAATTAAACTTATAGTTTAAACTATTCAATGACTAAATTTAACAAGTACTGAATGAATTCAATCAAAGTTGAAAGAGTTGTACTCGTCGTTATACCCCGTTCATGATCTGACTTAAGATTCTATTTCTATTTTATAATCTAAACATACTTTAACAGCCATTTTTATTTCTGGATGATCTTTGACTTCAGCTAACATAACACTACCATAATTTCCAAAGCCAAGTTTACGTATGTCATTTAACATATTTACATTAATAGTTACTACTTTACCATCATAATTAATTGTTGCTTCTTCACCGACATCAGGCAACCTAAAAAAAAATAAACACATTATGATAATATTTTTAAGAAATGCTGCAGTTGTTTTTGCATACATATAAGTGTTATCTGTTGCTGCTTCGACTTGTTCGCCTGTATAATCAGGAAATTCCACGCGAACTAAAAATAAATGCCAGTTATGAATAAAAGTTAATTCTTCAACATGATACACCCACACCACAAACATAACAAGTGAGGATAAGTGTGTATCTTGCTGAAGCATTACAAAGTTTTTCTTGTTTTATTTATTTACTTTTAAACTTTTCTTTTCGATCTCGCTTGGTAGTTCCTTTTGACATTTCTTATATTAACTTCAAAGAGTTGCACGTAAAAGAAATATCTATTGTTTCATCAGATTTGCCGTAGTCGTAGCCACACAACGAGATGAGTCATGTATAAAAGGTAAGTTGATCAACCAATTATGTGAAAATTTTTAACCCTCTGTTCTTCATTTCCATTGGTGTTTTTTATATCTGCCATGTGTTGGAGAAAAAAGGCTAGTAGCTAGCTGTTCTTTCCTTCCTTTGAATTTCTAGTGTAGAATATGTCGAATCCAAATAATGCGTATGTTTCAAGTGTTTCTTAAAATATATTGTAAATGTTATTTAATATTTCATTATTTCATATAGAAAAGAAAAGTTTGAAGAAATTGCAAAAAAAAATCAAGAAAATATACGACGGCTTATATCAACTGAGAATTATCAATTGAATTCTGATACAGCTGATGACAGAAAACTTATTGAAGAAGTATTAAATAAAACAAAAAGTTCATTTAATGCTGGTATAGTAAAAGTGAAATATTATTCTATGATTGAAGGGCGCTGTTAAGGCTTGATGATCAAACAGTAAGCTATTAAAATTCTTAACGAGAAAGAAGGATACTATCGATTTAGCAAATACTACACTTCGAATGAATGGAATTATTCATTTTAGTATTTCGTAACATGTCCTACGGTTGTTAGTACATTGCCGATATGGGACGTAATACAGCGATCGATTTAATGAAGAGCTGTTGCCGTCTTTAGAATTCAGATAACTAAGGATGAAAGAAAGTGAAATATTGTTTTATGAATATTGAATCGACTATCGATTGCTTCTATTACTTATTAGAGTTCAATGAACAAAAAGAAACTCTTTCTTCCTTTCAATTTGAAACGCAATTTATATAAAACAAAATAATCAGCTCGAAAATTTCATGAAAAAACAGTATTATTTGCATAGTATTGATCTAATCACGTCAATGTACTTGAAAATGAACATACACAATACCATGCTACTTACTACATTTGAGAACATCTCTTAAATTGTTTTAAAGTTTTGATTGATAATTTATTTTCTCACACTATCAAATATACTATGAAATCAATAGTTATCTTTTTTTCACATGAAGAACACAATACTAACCAATATATTCTGATAAAATCTCCAAATAGATTTTTGTCTGCTTATAACATGCTGTTCATTCGTGATAGTTGATTTGATTATATGAAAGTAAAACTTTTTTTAAATAGAATCATCGGATGATCTTGGTCGTACTTATCAATATTTAATAGATTCTTTATCATCAGATGCTAATATATGTTTAATATGTATTGATCTAATACAAAAAACTGACGCAGTTCGTATTAAAAATAACTTAGATCTTCTTTCATTTATCGGAATCTTTTATTTAGATTTGGAATTGTTCATGTTGTTATTCACCATTTCATATAGTTTGTATACAAAAATGGATTAAAGATGGCGTATATCAATCATTGGTAATAAATAATAATGAAACAAACAGTTGGCATTGGTAAAATTTTATTTATACAGTAAGATGTTTATCATAATATATTGCTCTTCGTTTAGTCCAAAATGTCGAACTGAATTTGATCAAAAAGATACGCCGAAACGTTATTTATGTTATTGTCATAAAGAAATCGATCCTCAGTTTGATCCATGGTCAATTCCACATTCATGTGGACAAACATGTGGAAAACGATTAATACCTGAATGTGGTCATATATGTTTATTACTGTGTCATCCTGGACCATGTCCACCATGCCCAAAACAAATAAATGTTCGTTGTTATTGTAATCAATCTTGTCCAACAGCACGTCGATGCGGTTTTAAAGGTTGGTCATGTGGAAAAGCTTGTTCAAAATTATTATCGTGTCAGCAACACCGTTGTGAACAAGTATATTATATATTTCATGAAAAATTTGGTTGATAGAAAAAATTCGTTTTAATCAGGTTTGTCATACTGGAGATTGTTTACCATGCCAAAAAACAAGTATTCAATCATGTCAATGTGGGAAAACAAAAGCAGTACGAAATTGTAATGAATTAAATTTTCAATGTGATCAAGTCAGGAAAACGTTCTTTTATTTAAAGAATATTCACTACTATTCTCTGCTCTAGCTATGCAATCGATTACTAAATTGTCATATACACGAATGTAAGCGTATATGTCATAGAAATGAATGTGGAACATGTCCTCGGCAGGGCATAAGAACTTGTTCATGTGGAAAAACAAGTATGATTTATTTATAAAACAAACTAGATAGTAGAAGAAAGTCGTATACAACCTTTTGATTTATTAGTGATGATTGTAGAGAAATCGACACAAAATTTAAAACTTGCCAATGTTATAAAGAGAAGAGCGCCTAAGTTATTCGATTCAATGAGAGGTTTTTATATTTTAATGAGAACTGATGCTAAAATAAATATTTCATGAATTGAAACAATTTTAAAGATACCATTACCTCTATTGTTTTGGTTTCAACTGAGTCTATACTTTTTCAAAATCATTGTTATTCTAAAAATAGTATGACTTATTTGACTGACATATTTCGAAGTTTGCTAGAAGACATCAGAGACTAAACAAGTATTTAGCATTAATAATAGATCATAGATGATGTTGAGTGAGGGAAGTTTTTCATTATCTTAATTTGTAAACGTTATTTAATTATCATGTCGAAAAATACAGAAATTATCGTCTCTGGAATAGATAGTAGCGATTCACAGCCTTAGCGTATAATGAGAATCATATTATTATATAAAATATAGAAATAAACTGGTTGTTTTCCAATTATTCTTTTGAGTATTTAATTCGATAAGAAGATAGGGATAAAAACTAATCTTCTCATGTTGACAAAAGATTTAACTTTATCGAAAATTTTGTTTTAGAATATGAAAACTTGCCTTGTTCTGAAGACGCTCCAACATGTGGTGATACGTGTGATAGAAAACTTGATTGTGGTCTTCATCGATGTTTGCATCGATGTCATACGGGTTCTTGTGAATCAGTAAGAGAAATCATTTTATTTCTATGTTCTTTGCATTCAAAAAAACAAATTCAATTTATTTCAGTGTCGACAAGTTATCTTAAAGCGATGTCGTTGTAGTTTAAAAGAAAAATTAATTCCATGCTGTCAAGAATATCTCTGTGAAACAAAATGTACTCGCATGCGTTCATGTGATAAACATCCATGTAAACGAAAAGTATGAAGGCAATAAATTCTACTTAACATATAATGCAAAAGTTTAATATTCATGAGCTCATCGTTTTTTATGGATACCATCAAGTATCGTATAAGCATTCTTCTTATAATGAATTTTTTTCCAAAACAAAAAATAAGTACGGAATGAATAATACTAGTTCAGAACTTTTGCATCATCTGTTATGTCTGTGTATTTTGAATAATAATATTGATTCCTTTCTATTTTTGATTTCCTAAATAAATTAGTGTTGTGATGGAAATTGTCCTCCTTGTCAAACAGTGTGCGGTAAAACACTTAATTGTCGTAATCATAAATGCCTTAGTGAATGTCACCGTGGCCAATGTTATCCGTGTACACATAAAGCTAATGTTACATGTGCATGTGGACAAACATCAGTAAGTGTTCCATGTGGTTGTGAAAAACAAACTCGAAAACCACGTTGTAATAAATTATGTTTGTAAGTTGTAATTAGATTTTGTTGCGAACAATTAAACTAGAAATCATTTTTTTCCTTACAGAAAACCATCAGATTGTCATCATGCAGAACGTGAACCACACTTATGTCATTTTAATGATTGTCCAGATTGTAAACAACAATGTAATTTATCATTAAAAAATTGTTCACATTTATGCTCAGCAACATGTCATGATTCAGTTATGGTGAAAGAAGAAGTCAATTCATCAAATACACCATGGGGAATGAAAGAGAAAGAAAAACTGATAAGAAAATCTCTAACTTGCCCACCGTGTCAAGTTCCGACAACGGTTGAGTGTTTTGGTCAACATACTGTATGCTTCGAATTTTTTTCCAAAAAAAGCAATAATTCATTCATTTCTTTTCTTGGATTTCGATTAGTCTCGAGTCATTCCATGCTCCCAAGCACGCTCATTCTGTTGTGGTCAAGTATGCAGTCGTACATTAAAATGTCACAATCATTTATGTAATCGTCCATGCCATGTTGTTACTGGTGTATCAAATCAAACTGATGTAAGGAAGTATTTAATTACTATTTAAATTCCATCGTATATTTCAGGCTGGTACGGAATGTATGCAATGTGAAGAAATGTGTACAAAAGAGCGACCACTAGGTTGTCAGCATTCTTGTCCATTAGCTTGTCATCAAGATAAATGCCCACCATGTAAACAACGTCTTCGAATGAGATGCCATTGTAATACACAAGTGATCTATAGTGATTGTCAAACATTTACAAATGCAACTGATGAAAAGAAAGAAAAATTAAAATCATGTGGAAAACCCTGTTCAAAAAAAGTAAAGAAACTTATTAGTTTTGATAAATTAAATGTATTTATCACTGTCAAAAATAAAAATACTTGAGCTCATCCCACTCTCTATGTAGTTCGGTATTGAATATAATTTATATCAAAGATTATAATTGTCTGAAAAATTGAGCATGGCAGTTGTTAGAATTATAAAAAAAACTCTGATAACATTAGCTTTGAAGGAAACGATCTTAAACAGATTCAATACTTTGAATAAAATCACAAATCCTTGTATTCTTCCCAATAGTTGTAAGCATCGCAAAATGTATCTTTCGCAATTCTATGATAGATTTGTTTTTTTCATATCTATATCGTTTGAAGAAAAATTCATGTGTTATCTTGTCTTGTTCGATGCCAAATTTCGCCTTCTTTAAGACGAAACTCACGAAAACTAATGTTCATCGAATAAAAAAGTAAAACAATGCGTTGATATTTTATTTATAATCATTACTATTTGTTATGTTTGTCAAAAAAAAATTTTTTTTCATGGATAATTAAATAATTCTTTTTAAATTTTAGCTTGCTTGTGGTCATTTGTGTACTTATGTATGTCATTCAGATTCATGTTCGTCTGTTTGTAGTTGTTCACAATTAGTTCCAGTTCGTTGTGGATGTAGACGTATGAATAAAGAGTTACTATGTTGTGATATAAATACAATTAGAAACTATCGAATACCATGTGATGAATTATGTGCTGAAATAAAAACGAATCGAATTGCAATATCATCGAATCCTCTTGTTGTTCAATCGATAGTTGAAGAATCGAAACTTCCAACGGACATCGATAAATCATCATTAAACAATAGAATGAATCGAAAAAGTTCTTCTGGCGAAAAACCAACAACTAATAATCGAAATGTGTCAGTAAAGAAAAACAGAACACGTCGTTTTGTCTGGACATTAAATAAAGTTATTATTTTGTTTGGAATTTTTTCAATTATAACTGTTTCTTTGATTATTTACATGTTTAAAGAAATTGCTTAAATTCTTACGTCTGTTCTGCTTAATTTGTTTTTTTGGTTGGTAAATTTTAGATTTATTTTTCATAACTACTTCAATGACAACAGTAACAATTGAACATATCAGTTAATGAAACACTTGTTCATCATTATATGCAAATATTTGTTGATTATTTAGATAATGGAATTGATTTTTCAAAATGATCACAAGTTCAGTAACTTGATCTTAATTTACACGGTACAAAAATAATTATCAAAAGAAACTGTAAATGTGATAATTATTAGTTCTTGTATTGTCTAAAAATAAGCATTGCCAGTAGTCGCCTTTAGGTTAGCAAAACTCACATCAGTTGTTATGCGTCTTCTTTTTTTCTCAACCCATACAAGTAGAGTTTCTTTTTAATTGCATGGCTGAATATGTGTCGCATATATCTGAAGCTTTTCAAATGAAACATTCTATTTTTGAACTCATACAGTATATCTAGGAAGCGTAAGAAGTATGCATGGTTTCACTTCTTTCTTCGTGGTATAGATTTTAGTGCAAGCAGTTTTCCGTAAGATGGATTGATCAACCAACTAATTACAGAAATGAATTTTTACATGGTCGATAGATCTCTACAATAGTATGCATATAAAAAGGTGAATTGTTTAATGATAATGAATGAAAACATGAGTCTATTGAGCATCAACACATATGAGTGTTAGACACATGAATTTCTACTAGCTTCAATACGCATTGGATATTCTCGCTTTGTTTCGCTTAGTGTGAAATCAGAAGAGAAGCTATAGACTCTTTTAATTCCACGTTAAAATGTAGTTAAAAAATATTTATTGCTTTACTATGGCTCTCAAAACAGTTAAGATTTGTGATCATATTTCGAGATTATGACTATCGATAATTCTTAATAGGCATCACGAAGCCCTTGATTAAAAAACGTAGCTGAACGGATTACTAGTTGAATTTTGCCGAATGATATTATCTTATGAAATACTTTTGGGTCGGTCTCAAAAGTTGTGTTGATTTTTCATGACATCTAACTCTTAAAAATCATAATCTCAATATATGCACTGGTAGAGCTCTGTGACACGTCACTCATGTGTTAGGAATTTCTATAGAATTTGAATTGAACTTTCTTTCTATTGTTCACTCTCACATAAAACTCAGAAAATGATCCTAACCCGTTGGAATCCATCACCAGGAGACAATCAATTGATTCTGAAAGCCTCTGTTAATGTATTCATAAACTGCAACTCGAACTGTTTCAATTTTGAAAATTTAGATTACCATCGACGTATTCACAAAAAAATTGAAAATTCGCGAATTAAATTTGACGATTAACAAAAATAATCAGTAAAGCAATCAAATTAGAACAATTCTTTACGTTAAGATTTGAATATTTTAGGAATCTCAACTTTCAAATAAAGCGATATTAATACCTACAATACAACAAGCTAAAATAACTAGTGATCAAAAAATTCAATTAAGTCAACAAATGCTTGATGTCACTAAGCGACCATCAAAACATACTGATCTAGCTTATCAAAAATATGGTAAAATTAATTTAATTTCTTCTATAAGATTGCTTTGTATTGTACTCTATGGAAAATTGAAATTACAATTGATCCGAAGATATTTGCTAAATTCTACGGTAACGTATGTTTTATTATTCTAGTCTAATTAAATAATCAACAAAGTTTCTTATCGAATCATAATTCAAATAGCTGAAATTCTGAGAATGAATATGATTCTGAATCTAGTATGTTTGTTTTGAAAAAAAAATCGAATTTCACCGCACATACGATTTTTACTTGATGTTTAGAATCTCAACGTTCACTATTAACAGTAAATATTAAACGAAAATTTATATGGAATCGTGAGCAAAATGAAAAACTCATTAATAACGAGCGCGAGAGTAAAAGGTTTGTACAAAACAACATAAATTCGAATTGTGAAAATGGGAGAAAATTGAGAATGACTAATAATATATCAATAGTACAATCTGATGCAACTACCTAGTGTTTATGTGTTCAAGTATGAAAAAACACGATTTTATTTTTGTTGCAATCATTTTTCTTTCGTTTAGTTTTCTTATGGATCAATGATTTTTTTGTGATAGTAAAACGTGTGAAATATAAATGGTATCATTTTAAGTGTGTTAACCTCACAACTAAACCAAATGAAAATAGTTTTGCTCTAATTGACGAGAGAATCGAATCTAGATGATTGAAAACTGAACTTTTATTGTTGTTCCTGTATATGTGTATAGTTTGCTTTATTTTCATATTCAATTTGTCTTTCGAAACTCATCAAAAAATAGATATATGCAGACATACCAAAAAAAACATTTAATAAAGTCAATATTTTTTGTCGCCATGAAAGAATTGAAAACAAGTCGTAATTTCTGAAAACACATGGAGCACATATCAATCCTAAAGAAGCTTGTCAAACGCTCTTCAAACAAGAATTTAGTAAAAAAAGTTTTTTTTTGATAAAATAATTATTTTGTTTATGATCAAGTAATACTGTTAAGTATCAGTAATAACCATTAATGCAATCATAGTAGTTGCCTATATCAACAAAGCTCATTTGAAAAAGAAAAACATACAATAAATTAAACTGTTTTCAAATGATCAAATATCTTTTATGTGGCGATCTTTCAGGAATAAGTAAACTAAGACAATTGGAAAATGCTATTTTCTTTTCAAATAGAAAATTCAATGTTACGATCATTATCACGTCAGTGCTAGTAATAGCTTAGATGTTTTATTTCATTCTAGCGTTGATAGCCTAGCTAGACACCGGCCATTTTCTACAATAACCTGAGTATTGTGTGGAAACACAAAAAAAACATGAGTTAATCATTGAAAGCAATTAGTGAAGATTTTTATTTGATGATTTCATTTCCAATATTGAATACCTCAGATGATTTTAAAAGTCATGACTCTTACAATAAAGTTCTAATGTTGCGTCTTGAGAAGAATATTGTTTATTTTAATCAATGAGAAGTTTGAAAAGACGAGAACATATTTCACCTTTCGTTCATAATCCTACACAAATGCTAATAGATTAAAGTGATATCTGTATCTGTTTGATAGTTCTATAGATGTCCATGTTGCAGACGTTTTCATTCTATATCAAAACTAGAAATACTCTTACTATCAAAGAAATCAGTAGTAGTTTTTGAAAACTCCGCCTCATAAAATTAGAAAAAAACAAGTAAACCAATAATAATAAATCAGTCTTTAGCTGTCCCAAGCAGACAAACGTTTTCAAAAACGCGTTTAAACACTCAATCGGGAACCGTGATTGTGGGTTATTAACGCTCATTAATGAAACGCAAGAAACGCGTTTTTTACGCAGAATTCTCACTTTCCGAACGCGAAAACTCATAGAAACTCCAATTTTGAGCGTTTAAACGAATTGGTTTTTAATTTATCGAATAANTTTTATGGAGAACGACGTTGACGATTCTATCTCGGACCATGTCCTAATTCGTGCTAGTTACGAATTTTTGAATAAAACTGGAAGCTAGACAATAGTGCGCTTTTTTATGTTCATGCTGAATAAATTGTTTTTGAAAAAACCGTTCACATCTTCAACATTTTCGCTTTGAGGTCATCATTTTTTTCCCAAATGATACTCTATGATCGCTTCCCACTTAACTACGCCGAAAAAAATATTTTTGAATGAGCCGTACTGAAAATATTCGCGAAAAATTGTCATTCTACATTTCTCAGTATAATGTAAATTTTTCCAGAACAGAAGATGATTGGGGGCTGAAATTTTTATCACTGATAGATCTTGTTAGTTTATATCTTGAGTAAAAATTTAAGCCTAATCGCACTAATTTTTGAGGAGTTATAAAGCATCCAATTTTCAAATTGTCATTCTACAAAGTGAGTATAATGACCTTTTTTTCAGAAAGTCTTCTTATTTGTATCGATAAGGAAAGGTAACAACACAGAGTTTTTTCTTACCATTTCGTTACTTAAAGAGTTGTCTTTCCTTTCGTATAATCTCTGCGTCATCAGCTTTATCAGTAGTCGAACTGTAATCACGTTTGTGTCATTCTACACAAAAATACAAGTGTCTGTCAAATAATGTGAACGTTGGACGAACGAGAGAATGAAGTATAAAATTTAAATCCATAATATACTTCGATAGAGCATTGAACGTTGTACAAAATAATCTATTTAAATATTTTTTCTCTTGCTGTTCTATAGTCCAAAAATTCATTTTTCTTCTCACGTGTCAGTAAAAACTAACATTTTGTTGCCATGTTTTCCTTATAACTAAGCGATTGTATGAGCTAGAGAGCTGAAATTTTGTGTGCCGGTGGGACATACTAGAATCAATAGCTGATGAAAAAATTATCAAAATCAACTAAGAGGAAAAACAGTTATTAGACAAATACAGCTAAAATGCAAAATGTACCAAAAAGTTGCAGTTCACTCATATATATATATATATATATATACGTATATAATCATTAGAGTATTGAAGTGTCGAAAAGGTTTCAGTACTATTAACTTATTCAATGTCAAAATGAATTACTCGCGTCATTTTTATCATTGATATAAAGAGAAAATGAATTGAAATAAGAAAAATCTCAAGTGCATCGGTAATTGTTTCACCAATAGCACATTTAGTTTGTTTTTAATACTCATATAAAACTAAAAGACCAAATTAAATTTGATGGAAAATAATTAATCTAAGTTTTCTTCATGTTGTCAAAACTTTCTTAAAATGAATTGGTGCACCTGCAAGAATGATCCTTTGATAGCAAATTAGTATCCAACCAACGTAAGTAACATTTATCAATATTAATATTTAAGCTGTCTAGCATTTCTATTTCAGTTACTCACCGCCATACGAACATACGAATAGTAGAAGAAAAACAACTCGGGTGGGGTGTATTTTAACTATTAAACATTCGCGTTTTTCTTTTTTTCTAGTGATAGAACGGTGATTGGCATCAAAACTTCAAGTATTTGTTTTCATTACAAGATGTCGAAATTTACAAGCTAAATCATTCGTATTTGTCATAACCGATTCTATTGTATCGCAGATTTTTATTTAGTTGAAATCCTTCCAAAAGTTTTCGGACACCTTAACTTATCAATTGGCGAGCATAGTAATATCCAAAGAAATAAAGACCAAGTTTTTTATTGTTAATAGCTAAGTAGTGAAAAAAAAGCTGAAATAATTGTTGGTTTACATGTGATAAAATAATTTTCAAAGTGAAAAGTTGTTTGAACACATTCAAAATATCAACAAGTAATTGAATAGCAAAAAAAAACTTGTTGAATAGAAAATAGACATACATAAACAAAACTTCATTCTGTTGTTTTTTTCATTCAAGTTTTATTCTCATTGCAGTAATTTTTTTAACTTCGGCTTGCAATATCAGCCTTTAATTGTTCAACATTGGCGCCAACAACTCGATGAATTTCTTTTCCATTTTTAAAAAACACAAATGTTGGCATTGCTTCAATGTTGTATTCTTGTGAAACCGCTTCAGCTTGATCAACATCACATTTAAGAAACACTACGCTATCTTTGAATTCATTATTGCTCCAATCTTCAATTTTTGGTTTTACTCGTACACATGGTCCACACCATCTATAAAAAATAATAATAATAACAATAAACATTATTCAAAAACTTCTAATTTTCGCATACGTTGCAAAGAAGTCCAACACAATAAGTTTATCGTTATTTTTCTCGTTTTGAAGTTCAGTTTGGAGGTCTTCTATCGAACTAATAGTCTGTACCATGTTTCTACTGTTCCGGTATTAATGTGGAACAATAAAGTAGTCTAAAAAATATATATATATTTCATGTAGTCAAAAAGGTAGAGTTGAATAAAAAAGAAATATAAAGAAAATAAAAAGGAAATCAATGATGATGGCTACAAATAAGAATTTTTCTCTTAATTTCTATAGCATGTTAAAGAGAAAAAAACAGAGAATGGAGACCAATATTAGTCTTTCATTTTTTTTCTATTTCTTCCTTTCTTTCTATTGTCATTGCATGTTTTTTTTATGAAAGAAGAGGGATTCTATTATACTGAGAGGAATAGAAAAAAACAAAAGAGGAAAACGGTTGCCTCAATGTGAAATTCTTTTCAGTTACGAATAAAATAATTTGATGCGGAAAAGAAAGAAGAAATGCATGAATAATGCTAATGCTACTGTCATCATGACGTAAAGAATTCTGTGTAGTCATCTAACTTTAACAGTTGTATGCACCAATGAAAAGTCATTGTTCTAGTGCCAGCTTGCCACCATTGTTTGAGTCATATCTTTAACCTTTGGAATCTTTGGAACGCATAAATGCATGCATACATGAGTATTATTTTGATGAAGCTTTTTGTATTTGATTTGCACTTGATAGTAAACAGAATAATTTGATAATCAAGTTTATTGGATTCAAAAAGAAAACGCTATATAAAGGTTTTATTTAAAAAAATTAAAATATTAATTTCAATTAGTTTGTATTGATAAATGAATAACTATTGATAACTAGTGTCATCTTTCGAGAAAATTCTCGAAGCTATATGAAAGAAAAGAATATAATAAACTTACGGTTGTTATCATAAAATGAATTTCTCACATTCAATCAATATTAATCATAAAATTCAATCGACATTCGATTTCAAGTAATTATGAAAAGAAATTATATTTGCTGTAGTTGAAAGATATAATTTTGGAATTGACAATTCTAGTTTCATAGATGTTCATGTTTGATTCCCTTTAGCCTACGATAATTCTGTTAAGTCTATTGTTGTCAATGAAAGAGAGAAGCAGAATCAACTATTTAAATTCGTATATAAATTAAAACTGTTTTTTCTTAGATTTCGAAAACATGATATTAATCGAATAGAGTAGAATACCTTCCTTACTCATTTTAATATTAATCTTCATTTAAACTGATGAGCTGACCAAGCTTCTATTTAGAATAAAAGTACAAGAATGACGGATGTGTAAAAAGAATCAGATAGAATCAAAATTCAAAGTTAAAAACGAGATCACTATAGAAATAAATTATTACCATTTTAAAACAAATCCATGAATTGCTCTGTCAAAGTACCATCCATCTGAAACCAGAGATAATGGTAAATATTTTCGATTAAATTCTTTATTCTCTTTCAGTTTTACTTTTCTTGTCGTATGCCATACTTTCTAATTAGTAAATATCAGTGGTAGTTTGCTACTTTCTTTTTTGAATTTGAACATGTTTAGATTTAAACAGCAAACGCTAATGCTCTCTCTTCCTTTATTCTTTTAGAGAGAAGCAAAATAAACAACACTTCATCTTTTAGATGGCAACAATCTAGGTTATTGAAATTTCAGATAGAAAATTTCGTAGAGGGGGCTCAGCCCCCTCTGGCCACCCCATAGTTACGCCACTAGTACAAATGCCAATAACCGACCAGTAGTGTTGTTTTTTTTTGACGAGGGGTGTGTGTTGTGTTAATAACACGTTTGCTCATTATATGTGCCTTTTCTTTTCATTCAATACTGAAATAAGTAAACGGACACGATGTGACGACATACTCTGACTTCACGACAGATAACAATATAGTTGCTAATTAATCTGTCCTTTCTTCTTCGTATTTCTTCTCTCATATATAATTTTGTGTTATGTTTGAAAAGCGACTGAACTGAAGTGAAACAGTAAGCATATGTAGCGAGGAATAGGGTAACACTACGATTTTTGTCGTAATTTAGGATAGACAGTGTCTTTTTTTCTTGTGGGGTAACTATAAGAAGAAAGACATACAGAACAAACTAAAGAGATATATTTAATGATGAGACATGAGTACTATCGTTGTCACTAATATTCATTATTTTATTTTGCCTAACGCTTGTCTAAAATGATAATAAATATCAGCTGTACACAAAAGTTCATCTGTTGCTTTCGTTTAGTTGAGCTGAGATATCTTTAATCGAGCAGCAAATTTTATTTTCGATTTTGAACCGAGCGATTTCTAAATATGACAGATGCTTGCTTTGATTTGTACCTACCCAGGTCGTGGAGGTACGGCGGGAAACGACCGGAAAGCACGGGAAAGTGGAAGCAGTATTCTGCTCGAAAATAGCCGGATTATTTTCCTGTGGATTCCCGCTGGAAGTTGACCAGAATACACCGGAAAAAATCCGGCAACTTCCGACCAAAATACTGCTTCCACTTTCCAGCGCTTTCCCGTGCTTTTCGACCAGATACGGTGATTTTTCCGCATCTTTCCGGCTGGCTCCTGCAGTATGCGTCCTCCGGAATCATCGATCTGGATACCCTAGCCAACTCTTCCATGAACAGTTTGCCGGGAGTTCTCTGTTAAACTCTCCAAGTAGTCATGACAGGGAGTCCTCAGAAACTATCAGGCATTTCAGAAGGAGTTTAGCAATTTCACAGGAATTTCTAAGTCATTTAACTTTTTGTTAGCTTCTTGTGAACCAAAACCCATTTTTTCTAATTTGTCTCTTACCTAAGGGAATCTTCTACCTAAGCCATTTAGTAGGTCTTGCCTCAATGGAAAACTCATGCGATTGCTAAATCACTTCAAAATGATAAGTTATCGCTAAGAGAGCATCAGTAGACGTTCAAATGATATTTATCACTTGAACAAAATCTGATGTTAAAAATAAACAATAATTGTTTCTAAATTTTGAGTCTCTCATATACTTTCATAAGCGCAGAAGAAAATGGTGAGTACATTTCTGCACTCCCTAATGAATAATCCCTCAGAGATTACCTAGGAGCACCGTCTAATAAGTGAGTTTCATTATTGCATTTTTCAATACATTAAGACTTCACTAGAATACAATATTCAGTTGAAATGTTGTTCAGTTTGAATAAACCAAATCAATCAATATTTGATTATATTCGACACAAATATATAGAATATACAGTTTTGGCATGGATATAAAATATATTATACAGTCGTACTTTAGTCTATATCAATATAATATCTAGTAAGTAAAATGTTACTTAAGAATGTAAAGTACCTTTCCCTTCTCTGATTGTTGATGGTTTTAAATGAATTCGTTTCTGTTTGCATATGCTTTATTAAAGTATCATAGTAGGATACACATATATATTTATTATCAGAATAAAATTTAGATATTTTATTTAGTATCAATGATCAACTGTAATGGTCAAGCTTGCAATTAATTGCATTTTTTTAAATATATTTTTTTAAGATTATTGGGCTAAATATTCTTAACATATGAAACATGAGACTGTCTATATAATGGTTGATATGAATCCAATGTTTGCACATAAGTATGATTTGATCGTTGAAATAAACTTGAGAACTGCTTGTCTTCACAGGTGCAACATGGGTCTTGGTGAAATAGGGGCTAGATTTTCAATGGTAATCTGGCAATTTATTCAGCATATTTTAAACAATTTGCTTTCAGCTCTGAGCATACATCTGCAATACTTCAAAACAAAACATTTACAAAACAATTAAAGTTGTCAAGGAACTAAATTTTTGCTCCATCAATATACTAAGAAATAGTTTTATTGACACACTCGAACTATTAATAATGATATGATTACTGTTAGAATATTTTATTCATCGTCACTTTAGATTCCAATTTCGAGTGTTATATAAATTGGAGAAACTTTGAACATGCATAGGCTGAATTGAATAATTTAAAACTGTAACTTTCCAATGTATATTTTTATTATTCGCCTTATCATTAAACGAAGTACCCGTTACAAAAAAAGTAATACAGTTCTACCGGACAGTGTTGCATCTCATTCACAAATTGCTGAAGTTTAACAATGATGAATAATATTTTGAAGATTGAAATGAAAATTCCTCTTTTTAGCGCTCCAACTTTTGGAAACACGTTTTATTTTTGTTGAAAGAATTAATCAATTGATTGCAGATCAAGTTCGTGTACCACAAGGAGACGTATAAAATCAGTTGATGAAAAGTACTGCACACTTATTCTACATCTTTATTAGCTAAAGATTTCAGCGTTCTAGTTATATTTACAAATGTGAAAAAAATTGATTAAATATGTCTCTATGTGTAGTTTTTCAACCATTTCTTTTTCTATTTATGTATTTTTTATTGTTTAGTGTTTGAATAATAAAAACGAACATTGTGTAATATGGAAATTTAAATATAGCACGAACTATCGAATTCAAATTCGAAGAAAAGCTGTTAGCACGATTCCTCTGAGATTTAAAATGTGAAATATTATAGAACTATTATTGTTAGGTGTCAAAAACAAAGCTTGTTAGCGCATGTGCATTTGGAGTTAAAGTATGAAAGTCGCATATATGTCGCTTATATTTACTAATCCAATCAAAAATAGTTCAAATGAAAAATCTACTTTATTCTCTAAAATCTATGATTAGGACACAGCTTATTTGCCAATATCTGCAATAGAAGGTTCTTTTTTTATGGGTGTGTCTAGCTGCCAGAGAGGTTAGTTTGCTAATGTCTGTGATGATGCAGATTGATTTGTCTCTTCATTAAGAGACAGGCTGATAGTTTTTTTCTCTGTTTGATTTCCATAAAAGTTCATTTAATATTCATGTGTTTTATAGTCTTGAATGTTTCGTTATAGTTTGTAGTATAGAATTTTGAATCTGCAGATTGTTTCAAATAAAAAAAAACGTAAATATACCTACATATTCTTTATTAACTATTGTTTGGATTATTTTCTTTCAGATCGAGAAAGCAGCCAATGGGAGACACGACCGAGTAATCCAGTGAAATATGATGATTGGGAATCTGAAGCGCAAAAGCACTCAGCGTGAAAGAATGGCTTTTTTGTTCTTCTGCTTCGACTGAAGTCAATCATCGCGACGCAGGCGAGTATGAATCGAGCGCACAGGTAGTATTATACAGAAGTCACTGCAACGAAATGCTTTTCATTCCTTTTTTGCAACACTAGTTATGCGTCGACCATGATTGTCATGCTTCTGATTTTTGCTCACTATCAAACACAAAGCAGGTAAAAAGTATATTTTATGTTGAAAAACTATCCGAGCAGTTATTAAGTAAAAGACGAACCAGTGGCCAATCAACCATAATGCATAATCGTCATAATTCATAGTTAAGGCGACGTGTACTAGTTTTTGTTATATTCAGAAGCGCTTAAATGGAGATCAATTTAAAACTTAGCAGTAAAGTATACAATAATCTGTAACAGCATATTTAAAAGTTGATATTCCTGACAACAGACTATTGCACTACATTTTAGGCTGTGTTTAAAGGAGAAAATTCGAAGGACGACATATAGGAGAATAATCAAGATAGCGGAAACAACGTGAATACAGAAAAAAAAAGAAAAAAAAGAGGCGCAGAAAGTGCAGAAAAAAAGACACTCTAGTGCACACGTGGGTATTAAATTAAAAAATCAATTCTTTAAGTAGTACAGTCTTTTGCCTATTTTTTAATTGTTTTCATTAGTCTCATCTGAAAAAAATGACGCATATTATCTTTTTTACTTGTGTTGAAAATTGTCTAAAAATATAAATCATTGGAAAAAGAAGAACGTCCTCAATGGGCCTTGTTAGTTTACTTTCATATTTTTAATGTTTGAGAGTCTTCACTGAATAAATCGTTGCAACACTAATGTCTTTCTATCTGAGAGAGTATATATAGAAAAAAAGAAGGATAGAATATCTTCGCTGTATAACGGAGCCACGCCATTCTGTTTCGTGGTTGTTCGAATTATCGACAGTAGATGATATGTTACGGTATCACTGATTGACTTCGGCATCGCTATTTTATTTAGTTTCCTCTTACTCGTATAAGTATCAGCTATTAATTCATCAAAAATAGCTGAAAGCAGAAGATATTCACCGACGGAATCTATCTTTTCAATTCATATAATGGATAATTGATCTTTTCCCATTAAATCCTTTAAAAACTACAGTATATATTTTTACAGACTTTTATAGTGATTTCGATACGTCTTCATGATCTAGTCGTACATTGGTTTCATCAAAGCTCGTTTCCATCCTTAGGTTTTGCTCTGTCATAGAAATGAGTTGTTTAGTGAGTGTTGTAAGGATGTTTGCAATATCAGCTACTTCAAAAGTTGATTGCTATGGAGATATCGGCTTTTTCTCTCCAATGCTTCTTATATGTTTGAATCACTTGATATTTATCTCTCAAATATCTAATGCGCAAAGATCGGATGCAGTATGTTATTCTATTGCTTTGAAGAAAATATATGATGAGTAACATAGTGTTTTCGATCGATATACATCTCATACGTAGTATCATATTGTAGTTACTAAAATTTTTCACGTTGAAGCAATAGTCATCCGATTTTCACGCACAATCTTATTCAATTCGTTTTATATTATTGATTGATCTCGGTATCTCTTCTTTTAAAAACTCATGATCCATGTCTTATAGTACATATAGAATAACGAGTGCGAATCAATCCAGAATAAATTTCGTTTTTGAACGATCATCAGTATTTTCATGATTTTTGGAAGCTATTTGTCAGTTAACACTAATTTTATATGATCCTCTTTACTGTCGACACGTAAATTTAGTGTTATTTCAATTCAACTAACGAAGTTAAATCGATTAATTTGAATACCTGCTTGTTTTAGATTTTCGACAATTTTTTCTGCAACATTAGAGACCAATGATATTTGCTGAGAGATTTTCGAGCGATTGAAAACTACATAAAAGCACGGTAAACAACTAGAGGCCGCTCATTTGATCTGATCAAAAGGAATTAATTTTGTTTCGAATACGTATGACTCGTTGGTACGTTAGTCGATGGTTGTTTACTTTGAGCAAGAATCTCTTACTGAAGTGGTTGAGTCTGAATGTTTCTTGAATGTTGTTATTTTGGTGTTGCTGGACCACCTGAACTAGTACTATACCGTTTAATCTTTATTTCTTAGGTGTCGATGTACCTGGTTGTAGTTGCAATTGTACTCTAATGGAAATATTTTCATGATTATGACTACTTAGATACATTTGTCGCTGCTATTCATGGTACATCACATTCTGATTTTCCTAGGTCCCGAATTCACCGAAAATTTTGGGTGCAAATGACTTTTGTTGTTGCTGTTGGCGAAAGAGTAAGATACCATTTTAAAATGTTTCATCATTTGCCAAGGAATTTATCATATATTTTCTTTGTAATTCATTAATTTCATTAACATGCGAATCATAATTTTCCGGTGTTTTGTGTTTTTTGTTGGCAATTACTATTTTTTTTACTACTAGAGCGGTTAGTCGTAGAGTTTCTATGTCCACCACTGCGACAACTGTAGTATTGCGTTTCTATCGTCTAATTATTTATGTTCCTATATACGCCTCCGTCTTTTACACGGATTACTACAGAGAACTATAGGGCAATTTGAATATATATTGTGTAGAGAGCCGAATGCAAACTGAAATTTGATGCACACTTGATGAAGTATATTAATGGATTTTTTATAACTATGCGACAATTGGCTAATTCATTTCAATGAAAAAAAAACATTAATTATCTGATTCAAGTTCGAATCTACATGACTCTCTCATAGCGAAAGATGAGAAAAGGTCATGTAATATTAGCGCTGCAATAACTGATATAACTTTTAATAGTTAATATGAGAGCGAAGGAAATCGCTAAATGTTTTTTTAATTGATGTTACTAAAATAATGTTCGTCTTTGCGATTAATTTTTTGGAACTCACTTTAATTTTGGAGAAAATGGTCAGTGTAAGTTTAAAGTGAGATTTTTGTGACCCCACCTCTTCATTGCAGACATTAGTGAATTTTAAAAGTGTGTTAATTAGAAAGTATATGCTGCTATGTCTTCCAAATTTTTTTCATTATAGAGTATAAGAAAAAAGTCAAGCCTATCTATTACAGACACTAGCAATCAGGTTAGATCACCACTGGATACTATATGTACTAGGTGCGACTAGTTGTTGTCGTTAGAGAGACCACCCAAAAAAAATTGACTACCAATCACAGATATAGGCAAATAGTTTATGTCATAACGAGACATTTTAGAGAATAAAGCAGATTTTTCACTTGAGCTAATCTGTATTAGCTTAGTATATCTAAGAAATATATATATATATGAGTTCCACGCTTTAGCTCCAAAGGGGCTTGTGCTAACAAAATTTTCAAAGTGTATCATCTTATTTTAGACATTACATGAACTGGATCGACTAAGAATCAGTGGCGGCGGAGCCACTGAGACAGGTGAGGCATGAGCCTCACCTAGTTTTCAGCAGATGAGGGTCAACCTCACCTAGATTTCGCGATGTGAGACTTAGCCTCACTTGCTTTTGTACTGAATATTGCTATTTTTTTATTCTTGCATCAGAGTAGAAGCAAAGAAAAGTAGTTTTCGGTATTTTCCAATCTTCTTTTTGTATACTGACCATTTTTATTTTTACTGAAGTTCAATAAAAAGAAGACTTATTTACTACTTGATGTTTCATAAAATTCCACGGTAGCAAAAAAATATGATGAGCCTCACCTAGCTTAATGACGCTCCGCCGCCCCTACTAAGAATATAGTACACTTAGCAATAGTGGCTGTCAAGAATTAACTGATTAGCTTTTCATTTTCATAGCACAAATGAAAATTTATCTGCACATTCTCAATGTTGTTGTAGCAACGTTAGTATTAACACAATCGGTGAAAGGAGTAGTAACCTTTACTGATATTACGATTTTCTCAATTTTAAAAAGTATGCCGAATCCTGATCCAATCGAACACCAGATACAGACTAATTCTATTTGGAGTTGGTCTCAACTAGTGTCCATGGAAAACATAATTTTATTTGCTGACCATGAAACATCGTGTTCTTTCCTTAAGACTAAATATCCAAACATAACTTGTCACAATTTTGCCTAGCTCAAGTGTTTGCATTCAACTTACAAGCGTCCTTACATCAATTGTGCTTTCGATATAGCTCAACAGCAAAAACAAAAATCAATTCTAGTCTTTGTCAATGGTGATATTATGTTACATAATAGCATTTCTCATACTATTTCCTTCGTAAATGCTAATATGCATGAGTTTTTTCTTGTTGGATGTAGGCGACACTATGAAATGTCACCTTCGTTAAAATATTCTAATTCAGAAAAGACTTTACAAAATGGTTTAAATCATAGTCAAATTCATTCAACAGCTGGTATTGATTTTATTGCATTCAAAACAGATACTCCAGTTCGCATGCCACCGTTTCTCGTTGGTGTTTATCGATGGGATAATTGGCGTTTAAGTGAAATCTTATTGAGGACTAACATAACTGTTATGGATGTCACTCAATCGATCTTTATTATTCATCAACAGCGAAAAAAACTCGAAGGCCAGAAACCTGAACCTCACGCACGTCGGCGAGGTGCTGTTTACAACGATGTGCTAGCGAAGAATATATCGGGAGAAGATTATAAAGTTGGCTTTATTAATAATGCTAATCAAATACTCTCTGGAAACTGCGAACAAAGCCAATGTACATTCAAAGACAATTTGGACCGAAGCCAGATTGTTCTACTTAAACAAAGGACAAATGCACAAAAGTATACAGCGGTACTTACAGTTACCAGTGGATATATGCCGCTCGCATGGAATTGGGTGAGTTTAATAGTATTGCTTTCTAGATTTCAAAAATAATCTCAAGTACACCTGAGAGAAAAGCGATTTCTTTGAATATCATCCGAGCAAGATCTATTATATACATCTGAATACTTCATATGTCACTCAGCACAGTTTTTCAAGACTACAGAATTTGTTTCTGTAATACACTAGTTTTTGAGAGAATTTACGTATTATTACTTGTTGTGATCCTCACTCACTCGTCTTGACCACTTTTTTCTGAATACTGAAGCTTCAAGTTAAAATGATACGAATTTTATCTGTGTATCAATTATCAATGAAAAAGCAGCAAAGCGGTGAGGTAAATCTAATATATTCAGGTTTCAGTCATGAGTTTCATAAATGTATCAGTACGCATTCTTCGTTTTCAGTTCTCATAACCAAATAGCAAGAAAAAAAGCATGAAAATAATTGACAAAAGAGACAATTATATACAGCATGAAAACAGAAGAAATTCTGTTCATCACACATCGACTAACTAATTAGTTTATTTTGATCGATACATAAAAACCAAACTAATTTGTATGATGTATTATAGCATAAAAACAAACGAGTCTTTTTGAAATCTAGATCTGTTGGTCGAAAAGAATTGGATTTCGTAACTACATTTTACTTGCTGAAGATTTGGAAGCGTACAAAATACTAAGAGCCGCCAATGAACCTGTGTTCATATCGAAAGAGCAGTCGTTGAATACTTCTTCAAAGCCAGAAGCTAAATATGGTTCATACGCTTTTCAGATTACTATGATGTATCGTCTTGAATTCCTCATGCGTGTGCTTCGAGCAGGTTTTCACTTTCTCAGTGCAGATATGGATACTCTTTGGCTTTCTAATCCATTCAATTATATTTCACATGACCTATCAATCACAATTCAAGGTCAAACACACAAACAAACAAAAATGAGCGGAGGTTTTATTATTATCCATGCCACTTCAAAAGGTCGCAAATTGTGGCAAGACGTAATCAAATGCCAGAATCAGAATCTTGTAGACTTGCGAGAGCAACAACATCTCAAGCGTAAACGTCCAGCGAGCGATTTCACAGAGCAAGAATGTATTAACAATAGACTTAATACCACCACAATTAATTTGCTCGATCCATATCTTTTTCCTGACGGACGATCTTTCTTTGATCTACATCGACCGCAAAGTCGAGGGATTGTTCCCGTGGTCATTCATGGCAACTGGCTTGTAGGATTGGAGGCAAAAATAAAACGATTACGGTCATGGAATCTTCTAGCGAGCACAGGTAGTTCATGTGACCCATTGGAAAATGGTATACCTTATTCTCTATCCAAGACGAGTAATCCTGTTCGCATTCGTATTAGAATTCTCGCATACAATCGACTGCAAAGTCTTCAACGACTACTTGAAAGTCTTCAAGCAGCTAACTACTTGAACGATTCTGTGGCACTAGACATTTCTGTTGATCGACCTTCCTCAGCAGCTGGTTCAAGTGAAAAAGAACAATGGAAACAAGTTATGGAGTATGTTGGTGATGGTGAGACGCATCCATCAAAATTAAAGTAAGCTTGAAGAAAGATATAATTCTAAAAAAGTAGACTGCCATTGAAAAACCGCTCTGTTCCATCTAAAATGGATTATTTTCAAATCAAGTTTTAGTAAATTTTTTTAGTTCATCTACATTGGCAAAAAAATGTGAGTATAAATTTGCATAATTACATTATGATTGCTCTGAATATCTAGCACAAGTCTCAATTAAGATTCGAAGAAGACAGAAATTAAAATATCCTACGAGAGTACTCTTGAGAAAAAGGTGCGGTGTCGAACTCTTTTATGGCTTTAGTCACAGAGCAAAGTGTTTTTGGTTATAGTGCTGGATATCATGTTGGGAACCTTTTTACAGTGCTAATCAACAATTAAAAAACTCTAAAACAATTTCAGATTATCTGAATAAACCTGTTGCCAATCCAAGTGAACATGTATAAAAGTGACAAAATGTACAGAAAGCTGTATGAGCGAAGGTTCTCTTGTCATTTATATTCATATCGTTATCAAATGAAATGTGTTTGTTATAATAGATCAAATAAACGACGATAACAGAATATTCAGTGTAACAAAGTTTGCGAGAAGTTTAAATGTATTTCAGCTTTTGATACCGACTGATACATTATAGAAACAGACTGAAAAGCAAGTTGTTATGATGTTTTCATAAAAAGAAACTCGGATTGTTAACTTAGTTCAAGTACCATAGACTGTGTGACACTCTAAATAGAGTATTACGTATATTACTAGAATCGATTCGATATTTTTATGATTTGAATGTTACTTCGAGATCATTGACAGTAACCCAGGACGAGCTTTACGACGTCCGTATACGGTGAAATACGGGCCGTATTCTGCCGTATACGACGGTAAATCGCCGTATCTGGCCGTATTACATGGCTCCGTATTACGATCGTAAATCTCCGTGTCGTAATACGGTGAAATACGATCAAAAACGACCGTAAAGCGCCGTATTTCGCCGTATACGGCACGGAGATTTACGATCGTAATACGGAGCCATGTAATACGGCCAAATACGGCGATTTACCGTCGTATACGACCGTGTATGTTCGACCTGGGTAT